AGAAGAGATGGAATGACATAATGTACAAAAAGAGTTTCTTTTTTCTTATTATCCGTTCCATCCGATCGTGCCGTGGTCATTTAGTTTAGAAGAATCAAAAAGTCAACTGGTATAAGGATAAGGAGTAATATGCGTATAGTACATGCACTTTGTTCAACGTCGCCTTTTTGTATGGATGTCCATTGTGGGGTATGGATGCTTGGCGTGAAGAAATATGTAGGTTGGACGACGACAAAGTTTGGTTGGTTGGATGGATTGAGGTTCAAAGTCACAACATTCAACTTGAAAATGTGTATATTTTTCTGGTATATTACTTATTGCGTTCATAGATTGCTTTATTGGATCATCGCGTCATGTCAGTGTGGAAAGGTTCCTTTGGTAAAGGGTCCATTGAAGGGTCCACAATTGACGGTATTGTCCAGCCTATAAATTAATAAGAGTCAGTTGAGATATCACTTCATCCGTAATATCATTTGAACAAATGTTTGGTACGTACAAAATTGCGAAAACCGACTATCGTAGCGTAAGTTCAGTCGATCAGTCTCATCTTAACAAATAGTATCGTAGTATCCTGAATTCTGCATACATAAGTGCAGGTTCCCTTCAATTCAACCCTCTTTGTTTGCCTTGACGGGTAATTTTTTCAGTTGCTGAAATAACAAAAGAGTTTTAAAAGTTTGTCTTGACTTTTCGGCAGAATATATGACTTTCTCCCCATTCTCTCCATTTCCTTCCTTCTTTTTCTAAAGAAATAGAAGATATCGACTGGTCCCAAATCCCCTCATATATTTATCCAGATAGCTGCGTCATTCAGACGTATTACTGGTTATTTTATCTTTATCCTATTGAATACATACACTCCAGTTGGTACATAATTTCCTAAACCTTTGGTCTCCCTATTACCTATCCAGGTTGGGTATACAGTTTTCCGTGAACATGACCATTTGTGGATACTTTACTCCATTGTGTTGATACTTTTCAATTTTTACATCACATTTCATCACACAAAAACTATCCAAATATCTGTATTTCAAATCCAACAAACAACAATCAGCACCACTCGTACGTACGTACGTACGATCTGTGTATAATAATAAATAAAATGGGTATTGACTTTTATACTTTCCTTTGTATTGTGTGTGGATAAGTGCCACTTAAGTTAAGCTTTGAGCACAAACGCAAATATATAAACAGAGAGGAGGACAAAAAAGAGAGGATAAATGGTAAATAGGTGAATTGTAGTATTCGTACATAGTAAAAGTCAGAATTTGATGTATAAATCACCCACTAACATACATCACAGGAAACGAAACAAGGTGACATTTTTGGCTTGTGGGAATTTTGTGCAATATGATTTCATGAAATAATTTTGCAAAATCAGTGGTGTATGTACAAAGTGGTCGTATATTGTAGTAGCAATTCTGTCTCATTGTCATCATTAAGCCCAAAGGGACACTTAACTCGATTTAATGTTATCATGTAGGAGGGGACCCTGTTGTAACATAACTTTGTCCCAAATCGGTTTACTTGTGGTTGGTTGTTTTAACTCATTTAGCGTCCCTGGAGAGAAGTCCTCTCAAACTTCACAGTTTACCCTTCATCATATTTACGTGTAACAACGAGTTGACCCAACTTTCAACTCGGGATCTTATTGTTTGTCTCGTTCTCTGAGATTTCATTTCATTATTATTGCTTCTTCCCTTTGAAATTAGATGACTGCCTGACGCAGAAAAAAAAACAAATTGCCACCTCTAGCCAAATTGAATTCCTCCTTGTAAAACAAGTCCCATAAAGTTAATTAATATGAGGAGGATTGACTGACGTATCGTTATCGTATGTATCGTAAACATTTACAAAAGGCGACTCATCCTAAAGCTTGGAGAGTAATTATCTATGTACGTACGTACATACAAACCTTTAGATTATGCAGTAGCAGTGGTTTTCCGCATCCAAAATGGAGAAACGTAATAAAAGACCAGACCACCCATAATTATTATTGTCTCCAAAACCAGTGTCACCGTTTTATTCCAAAATATTCTAAATCCTCTCCCACATACAATAGTTTGAACTATTTATGATAATTCCGAACAGGAAGACGCGATACATAAATAACTCTCGATGGCTTAAAGTGTTCCAACTTTTTTCTAAAAAAAACTTTTCCATGTAAATATTTAACGTTAAAAAGTAGGAGAAGATCATAACACGTTTTGAATAGCACAATGGCCACGATATCACATCACATCACACACGGGAGGAGAATGTAAAATTCATTTTTCTGAATTGTCCCCGCTGTGATGCGCTTGTGCTCAGCTGTGACCTTCTGACCTCATGCTGGCAAGGCTACTGTTAAATGTTGAGGTAACTCTGGCGTTGGCACTACTGACATTGAATTCTCAATGAATTCATGTAATAATGTGTGTGTGTGTAATGAAATGAAACCACCAACCAAGGAGGACGGGTCAGAGGAGAGGCATCAATTTCATGTTTTATATCATTTATTTAATTCAACCCGAAAAAAAAGAGTGGAGACCAACTGGAGTGAAGATGTGAAGTGAATTGATTCACTGGTATTGCATACTTGTAACAAATATGTGTGCAGTAGTGACCTTTGACATTTCATCCACTTTTAAATTCTATGGCTTCTGTGTGGTTTCCCCAAATATTCATATTTTTATGGAAATATGCACCAAATGTAAAAGGTTAAGGTTTTGAGATGTGTGGTTGCATTTTCAGGAATAATGGAGGCGTTTTGTTGAATGGGAAAGGTGACCACTGGGTGGACCTAGGCTCCATGAAGTTGCCAACCTACCACAGGGAGGCAACAATGAGATTCAATCGGGGGCTAAGGAGGGGAGGTTGTGTACTATCAACTCTCGGATCTCGATGCCCTTTGGATATTTTGTAGTGTCCCATGAATGAACAAGAACCCTGAAGTGGTTTAATGCCATGGCCACATTTGCGCCCGCCACACCCACTCAAAGGTGCCCAAAAATCGCTTTCACTCTAGCTTTCACTCATTCGAAATAACGCCAAACATCCAATTTTACTCCGATTTTCAAATTTCTTTCACCATTATACTCCCAGATAGTTGATCTCTTATATACAGCATCAAACTCAACTTTTTTGATGATTATCTCGCAGAAATAATTTGTTTTGTTGATTTCTACAACAATGCTCATTCAGAATTTTAAATTTTAAAAATACTAAAAATTCTGAAAAATATCCAAAGGGCATCGAGATCCGAGAGTTGATAGTACACAACCTCCCCTCCTAAGTTAAACGGATCAATTAACTGACAAATGAATTAGTACAACAACTCCCACCCATCACAGCGTGAATGCGCACCCAAGTTTCATCGTAACGAGACAATCCTAAAGAATATACTTTAAATACCATTGCTATTTTGAATAATTTTATTAACGATATTGCATTTGCACCAAATATGTGCTACATTTTAAGTGAGAAAGAGAGGAAATGGATAATTTCGTCGCAGTATAAAACGAAGCTGCAGCATCTAAAGTGCACACTCTCCCCGATAAATAATGACGAGGCCAAACTTCCTCCAAAAATATAATGCACAAACAACCATAAGACCAATAAATAAATGGCTTTTGTCTCCCTTTTCCACCACCCCACCAACCGACCAACCAAACATCACACCAGAACCACCCCACCTCCCCATCCGGCACAAGAGTGAGTGAGTAACAATGTAAAGTCACACTTCAAAACGATGGGTTCCAATAATAGTGGGATGCATACATATTTACAATAAGCCATATTTTTAAGTCATTCACTTCCGAATTTTGAAAGTCAACTTGTGTCTGGTTTCTAAAATCCAGTCCAAGAATTATAACATAAATGAGACAATTCAAGTCAAATCTGTCCTTTGATTTCGTGTGTTGATGATGTAATAAAAGTGCGGAAGTAGAAAGTGGTGGTAGGTGAAAGGGACCAAGTACCAAAAGTTGGCCGGAGAGCGAAATTACTTGATTGTACTTTGTGTCGCTCATCTCTAAAATTCGTGTTCTCTGTTCTTCTTAAAGGGGGACGAACGGACTGCCGATCTGCCTCGTTGACTACTTCCTCTTCTCCCCTCCTCCTCCTCCCCATCATTATTGTCCCGGGTGTGAGAGGAGAAAGTTAGTGAAGCTGGTGAAATAAGTGTGATTCTGCTGATGATTATGTTTTGACTGCAGTACGCATTTAATGCTGCTGCTCCATTCTCTCTGTCCCCACAATTCGGTCAATTTCACAAAACCGAGGGTTTTCTGTGTATAAATAAACGTTAAGGGCGATATCTGGAACGGACGAAGGGAAAATACATGGGTTGGGATACAGTCGTATGAATAGCTTTTAATGGGACCGGATAACCTTGGTTTGATTTATGAGAAAAGTCGAATGGCAGAGAAAATATGTATATATTGAAAATTGCAAGGTTCTTAGAAAGTATGCAGAACACATAAAAACATAGTAATTAAATATGTACTCAGTCAGTAAAAAACGCCAAAATTTTGAACTTGAACTTGAAGTAAATGAGTTAATCGAAAAATGCATGCAAAATATTAGACAAACAAACCTTCTATGAGATTCACAGAGTATGAGATTTACAAAATTATCTCTAAATCCCCTTGGTCATATTCAATCCTGTCAATTTAACATCCTAATAAAAACGGATGACCCGCATTTCACTACTAATCCACTCCGATAATTATACATAAATCCGACAAAGAAAAATCCATCGCCTCATTTAAATACGACTCACACAATGCAGCAGACGAGGCAATTAAGACCTTTTTCACTAATACATACATTATTCTTGATGTATTTAATCCCTATCTCCGAAAATCAAATAAACTTCAATACATATTTCTTCCAGCCTCGTGTTTGTGTGCGGTCGGGTCTCATTTTAGAATAAAACAGTTGGAGATCCCAGTGACAAAAAGTAATGCGAAATAATTAAATAAACAAAACTCAGCACACGTTTTGCGTGGGGACGATTTTATTAGATTTCATATTACACACGACGAGATTCATGTGCCTTTGGGATTGTCAACCAAAAACGGTACGACGAGGCGAGTTTATAAAATCATTACAGGATTACATTACAGGCTTATTGCTATATTTACTTTGAATATTTTATTTTATTTAAGTAAGGCACACAACACTCGCCGAGAGTCAAGTCGTCGTCGTCAGGCGTGCGTTATCTTCCTTCCCCTCCAGATTGCTTGATAAAATCATATTAGCGTTGTGTTTGCTAGTTTATGATGCGATTCCGGTGGTTGAATTGTATGCAGGCAGCCAGAGGTTTAGCTTTTCTCCCTCCTTTCTCTCGCCCAGATTTAATCAAAAGGCGATTTGGAGGAAAAGTGAATTTTCATTATGTGTACACACAGATCAACACGAACAATGGAAATGCAATGCACTCCTTCCTTCTCTCTAACCCTTCCGGATTTTCTGGCTGAATTTGACTGCATATGCACGAGAACGACGCCACGCCACACCAGAGACCAGACCACCGAGCAGATGAAATCAATGAGACGAAATCACACCGAAATTTAATAGTAGAAAGAACTCAGAACGATCATTCAATTTGAATTACACATGGGAATTATTTGATGCTAAATTGTTTGCAAAAAATTGTTACTTATTTGCAACACGCAGATACATTTACGGGGAGGACGTGACCAGTAATTCAATGAGATTATCTTCCCCCAAGATAAATTTATTCATTTGTATCCATTACCACGAAATGAGTGAAAACTGTCAACCCAATCCATCAGATTGGAATTGATTGCATGCACAGATAGGGTTCAATAAACGGTAGTGGGGTAATATCAACATAGATATTAACATATTATTGAATACTAACTAATACGTGTTACTGCGTACATACGTCGAAAAGAAACTGCCTGCAACAACTAACTAAAAGCTTGATTATACTGATATTTTACACGCATTACTTCGACGCATAAACAAATATAGCATTGGTCACTGGCTTCACGAGGTCCTTGAAAAAGTTCCAAGGCGGTTGCAGTTGCATCTTCATAATCGTCAATGAATCAGGATGCAGTCCCCCCGAGTGAGAGTGCACCGTGCAATTAAAAATGTTGCGTTGAATCGGAAATGAAAGTCTCCCACTGCGCTCCCCATGCGTCGCGGTGGCGGTGGCGCAATATGGACCAGCAAAAAAACAGGTGAGAGAGATCCAACTGCAACTGTTTCTTTCTGCCTGGCAACTTTTTTTTTACTTTTACATCTCGTCCGTGTAGTACATTACATTGTGTAAATAAATTCTATTCTAGTCTGGAGGAACAGATTGAGAGAGGCGTGTTTTGTGTATCAGCCAGGACTTCCAAGAATAGTATGCCACACTTTCAAAAAACAATTAACACACACATCATGAATATGACGACAAGGACAGAATTATGCGTGCATAGTATTATTGATGATTTGCTGACGAAACGGTTAAGTTGACATCTGCATGATTTGGTACAATAGGACTTCTCGAAATTATGGATTCGAAGGTTTTGATGCACGACGGGGGGATTTTATTTTGCCTTTAGTACCTTTCGGTTTAGTGGGTTTGGGTTTAACTTTCTTTTTCTTGTAAAGTCCGTGTTGAATCTAAGAGCAATTGATGGAAAATTAAAATTAAGTATTTTTTAATGGCATAAAATATGTAATTAACCGCACCATATACTTTCTCCACCATCGTTGTATCTTTCTACAACTGTAATACCTCCGCATGTGCTGAATTCTTTCTAAACGTTCCTGATTTTTCTCTTCTTCCCAAGGAATCAGTTCTTCAATTTGTCGGTGGATCTGTGTAATGGTCAATTTTTGAGTCTTAATTAAAGAAATATAAATTAATTAAAATTGGTACCAATTCCTCCAAGGCTGTAATTTTCTTCTCCTGCTCCGCAATGCTTTCCTCCTTTCGTGCTATCTTTCCCTTCATTTTGCTATCATCCAGTGCAAATTTTTCCTTCCATTGGGCAATCTGCTTATCCAACTGGGAGCACTTGAGCTTCGTCCAAGCCACGACGTTTTCGTACGCTTCGCAATCTCGTTCTTCGTACTCGCTGAGGCCCTCGATTTGCAGTTTTCGGTCCAAAACCTCTGACTTTTGGAGTCCGGAGGTGAAATCGTTGCGAGCTTTGAGCCAGACTTTGGCGAATTGTGAGTCTTCTTCTCCCTTTTGTTTGGCAAGATGAATTTGATCTTGAGGGAGAGAGGTTAATTTTATTAATTTAATTTTAATGATTTTCGAAAACTTTTAGATACCTTTAAGCTCGTTTAGAAGACAGAGTTGGTCCCTATTCCTGATTCTGCAATTTTCTTCTTCTTCTTGAAGCCGTTTCTCAAGTTGTTCCTTTATGGCTTGCATTCTTCCGATGTCCGATTCCAACATGACTGATCTGTCCTGACGACGTTCTTCCTCCTCGACAGCAATGCGTAAGGTGGAAAAGCTATTTTTATTTTCCAACTCTTCTCTCACATTTTCCACCGTTTGCGTGAGAAATTCTAAATCGTTTTTGAGTTTTATGAGACTATTTGTTCCCTTTTGCTCTACATTTTTACTAGCTTGTTCATCTTTTGATGCGATACTTTGATCGGAAAAGTTAATAATATTTGAATCGATAATGGAATGGTGGAGGCCTAATTGGTCACTCAATTCGGAGAGAATTTCCATCAAGGCAAATGATTCAAGTGGATTTAATTCCGTTTCGAAATGATTTTCAAGGTTATCCATGATTAAAATTTAAAATAGTATGAGCGACAAAGTCAAAATTATTTTATAAAACTGTTTGATCAATACGGTCTCATCGTCCCTTCCCCCAAATAAAACTGTGAATACACGGGGGAATTGTTTCGAGGTGGCGTATCCCGCAGACAAAAATTTCAACAGAGCATCATTTTATTTCCAATTAATTAAAAAAAAGTGTAATAAAAATTTTGAAAATTCTCATATTTTGATAATTTCCACAAAAAATATCAGAATTGATGGCCGTAATTCCCCACGGTAGACTGGAGCACCATCTTTCATCCAGTTCCGCTGGTCTCAACTCGCCTTCGTCGCCTCCCAGCACCACCTGCGCCACCACGACGCACTAACAAGCCGACCAACGTGCTCACTTTCAACTCTCCGCTCGTGTGTATTCATACCGAAGTGCACGTCTTTTTATCCTTTCCAGCATTTCGGTAAGTGTCACCGCTTTTTTAAATTGGTCAGATAAGGGTACGGCTAACGATAAGTGGGTGTAACGTTAGGCTTTGTTGGAGAAGCGCATATTTTGTTGCGGTCGCATCTTAGATTTATTTTTGTAAATGGTTTAGTAATTCTTGGTTTTGGTATCGATAAAAGGTTTTTGGAGATGGTAATAAAAACGAGAAATTAATCACTGCTATTTTTTCTTGTTGATTGCAGACGTATTTAGCCCTTAGAAATGGAAGACACAGCGAAGAAACCGGCCGGTAAGAAGGCCCCAGCCGCCAAGGCGGCCGCTCCAGCAAAAAAGGCTGCTGCCAAAACGGCAAAGACAGCCGCCGCTAAGAAGCCCAAGGTCGCAAAGCCTGTGCTCCCCCGTCCCCACTACAAACCAGGGAGGATGTACGCCAAGTCTGTCTTTACCGGATATAAGCGAGGTCTCAGGAATCAGAGAGAAAACACGTCGCTTCTGAAGGTAGAAGGAGCTAAGGACCAGAATGAGGCAAAATTCTATGTTGGCAAGCGATGCGTCTATGTCTACAGGGTGAGAATTATGAAGAATTGTGCATTTTTAAGGGGATAAATAGTGGATGAACGTTTGACGCAATTTGGGATTTGTACGATTGACTATAAGTGAATGTTTGTGTTTTTAACAGGCCAAGGTAAAGAGGAACGTCTCAGGAAGAAGAGATAAGCCCAAAACCACCACCAGACTTATTTGGGGAAAGGTCACACGAACACACGGATGTTCAGGATCTGTTAGAGCGAAGTTCCGTCGTAACCTTCCCGGTCAAGCTATGGGCCATCGTGTCAGAATTGTAAGTAGCTAATTTAATATTTAATTAATGCATAGTCATTCACTCCTCAGATAAAACTGATTTCATATTCATTTTTGCAGATGTTGTACCCTAGCCGGATTTAAAACATTCAACTTTTTAATAAATCCTTGTTTATAAGTTCGGGAAAAAATAAAGTCTTGTAACGGAGATGAAAAAATTAACTTGGGTTCTGGAAGTTTTTTTTTATTTGTCATTCATCGTATAAAACAAAATTCCTTGATTGGACTATTAGTATAATAAATTATCAACTCATTGACTATTAGTTAAGCTGCTAGCTATACTTTTTGCCACCATATGAGACGGAATAAGCAATCTAATTTGTTCTGCACCATCAACTGCAGAATTTGGAGAGTTTTTATGCATGAGAAAATGTCCTTGTAATACTGCAGGACTAACTCTAGAGTCCAGGCCGAGTTCTTTCAACTTGTTGATAAAGTTTTGTGCTTCCGACTTGCTGCTTTCGGGATAAAAATTATAAAACAGGTCTTCAATCTGTTCATGCGTGCAGTAGGATATCAGGGCTTGAAAGTCGATTCGACCAGGTCTAATGAGGGCAGGGTCCAACCTTAAAGATTACCAAAGATTAATAAATTTTAATATATCTCTTATTTATAATGCATTTTTGTTTAATCATACCTGTCTTTATAATTGGTCGTCATAAATAATATACGACCCTCTGACGATGCTACACCGTCAAGAACATTAAGAAATCCACTCAGCGTGACTCTATTCAGGCCTTGGTATGCCGTTTTTACTGAAATTCATGAACCGTAATTAGTGATATATTTACAAAAACTCAATGAAAAAATTTCATACCATGCTCCGTATCCTCTCTCGACACAAATGCAGCATCCACATCTTCTAAAAGAACAATGGTTTGTTGGGGAGCAGAAGAAAGTAAATGATTCAGTCTATCATCTGATAAACTACGATCTGATAAGTTTAGAACACAAATTCCGAGGTCCAAATGCCCAGCCAGGGCTGTGATAAAAGACGATTTTCCACAGCCGGGGGGACCATACAGCAAATAACCTCTTCTATAAGGGATCCCTAAAAAATCAGACAACAAATAATAATGTTTCCATATCTTTCAGAAGAAACTCAATTTTGTGAATGTGTCATATACCTCGATCATGGTACCACTGAGAGGTTTTAAGAAATTCGCTAATATCATCAGTAATCTTTCGACTAAGACCGGGCGCTAAAACCACAGATTTGATGGGTCGCTTATTCTTTGGATGTCCAAACTGCCTCCACTCTGATCCAACTGCGACATAAGTTACCGTCTTTCCTTCGAATTGTTTTAACGCAATGACACGAGCTACAAGACGGCACGAGATACGTTAGAATCGTAACAGTGAAATTATACCCAAATTAAGTAGTACCTTCTTCTAGCATGTCGTAGAACATTTGTCGATTTCTTCCAATCGCTGTGAAGGTAACCGTTTCCCATGGAACGCCCATGTGGAGATCAAGCGTGTGCTGCTCTCGCGTCCTTTCGACTCGAATCCAATTACCCTGATACCTATTTGATCAATAATTCATGAACCATTAAAAAAGCTATGTACACACTAAATATGGACTATTCAACAAATGTTTCAATACGTGAAAAAATGTGTCCCCACACTGGGCACGAAGGCGAATTTGGTCAACACCTTTCCCGTCTCCTTCTGTTCGTAGGACGTCTCGACGGATAAGTGCTGCGTTCCCTTCGCCCCTTTTGTCGTCAGCCAGTTAAGAACCCAGGAGTAGCTTTTATCCCGGCAAGGAATTTCCAGCGTGACCATGTAATGCCGTCGGAAATAGATCATTCCAAACTGTGTCAGAAATTAAAATATTTAACGTAATCTAATCTGCGCTCCCTTAACTATAATTTGTGCTGTATAAATTATGCATACCTGAGTAAACTTTCGGAACACGGCCGCACCCACGCCGACCCCAAACAAACCAAATCCAGCCCCAAAATAGGGGTTCTCCGATAACCCGGTGACCAAATCCGTTAACCCCATCTAAAAACTGACTAGATAAAAATGCAGTAAATAAATAAATATGATGTGAAATAATTTCTATATTTTTGGTTGAGTAAAAATTGCCGACTATTGCATGTGCTTTCCAACCCGCCGTGGATCACTTATGAACCAAGTCGAAAACAGGTTGACTATGAGAATTTTACATGAGAAATAAATATCGGAAAGTTTCCGACGGAAACTGAAGAGATAGCTTCACAACATTTATTATGTAAATTAACTTTTATTTAAAATGCTCATCTATAAGAAGAATAAATCTAGGACAATATAAACTAAACAGTTTAAGAATACAACAAGCGAACGCGACAAATTAATTAACTATTATGGTAAGAACAAATTATGAAAGTGTAATCACTAGCAAAGGAAAAAATGAATTATGTGTTACCAAATTTTTGTATGTAGATAGTTCTACCACTCAACTCACAAGTCATCAAGTCAAAAGATTCTACTGCTATTCCTACTTTCGAAAGAATTCAGGATTACTCTTCCTCAACTCTTCTTTCTTTTCGGCATTTCTTTTATCAAGCAATTCCTCAACATCAGACGCCTTTGTGGTTGTTAATTCTCCAATCTGAATTTCACTAACTTCATCTGCACGACTTTTATCTTCCCATGAGGCTTCGTCATTATTGTTCTAAAATTGTTAAAATTTAAGGGGTCTGAGAAAAATAGTTAACATAGCATTTCATTTAGGGATCCAACTGTGCAAGTGTGTAAGCACGATTATTCATGTAAAGTTTAATTAATTCCTGAATTATTAAGGTTCTACCTTCTTTTCCAATTCAACAGAGTGACGACGAGCATCGGTACTACGTTCTACAGAACGGGACCTTGATTTAGACCGAGAATTACTCCTTCGATCACGACGATCACGAGGAGACCTTGACCTGGAAGGGCTATGACTGAATCGATTTCTAAACTTGCTATCCCGAGGTCCATTAGGTCGATAGTCTCGCCGCCCTCTTCCTCTTGGAACATATGCTCGCCGACTTCCACCTCCACGATTGCTGTTAAATCCTCTAAAAAATCGAACTCCTCCTCGACCTCGATCCCTATAATCACGACGATCGTAGTGATCACGGTCATAACCGCCACGTCGATCTCCTCTGTATCGGTTAGTATTTCGACTGCGGGGGGAACGACTCCGACTTCGGCGTGGTGAACGAGATCTACTCCTGGAATACGAACTTGATCGTGAGCTGCGAGAATGTGATCGTCCACTGCGACGATGACCACCACGACGAGGTGATATTGACTTCCGTCCACGATAGTTTCGATCTTTATTGTTGTCATTGTCAAACTTTTGGACCTCGAATGGATTTCGAATGGCTGGCTTAGCAGGGGAAGCCGCTTTTGGGTCGTCATCTTCAGCCGGGCTTGGAGCGGATCCTAATGGTTAAAAAAAATATAAGTTAAGTTGAGTGAGTGCCATAGAGCTGTTCAACCGGGAATAGTAAAAAGTCGAGTCAACTCTGTGTTTTTTATACTTTTTAACAAATATTATTGACATCAATTCGCAAATGCACAATGTCCTCGAACAAGGTAACCACACCTTCTCCTGCGAATGAAACTGATAAGGTAAGCCAGATAAGGATAGGGTATAATACAGAAATTATCAAATAATAATAATGTTGTCTTCATAGGTTTCCTCCTCCTTCTCTGCAAAGAAGGCAAAGTATTCATGGGAGATGCTTCCACAAGAACCACCAAAAACTGATGACCTCCCACCGCAGTACAAAGACCGGACCATTGTTGTGAGAGAAGTAAGAAAGGAGTGGTGCTCAGTAGGCAAGATCGTCAACATGGATAAGAGAGTAAAGCGTATGGACAAATCAGACAGTGGGGTTGAAAAAATAAGGAACAAATTCTACGCTCTTGTTCGTCCAGAAGAAAAAGAGGAGGAATTTGACTCTCCCGAATTCGACAAATGTACTCCAGAAGGTTATACCGAGAAGGTGGTGGAGCCATTAAGTGACGACGAGAAGCAGGAGGCGACCAGGAAGATCAAGGCTGCCAAAGGTGGAATAAAAGTGGACGGAACAAATTTTCATCTCGTTTGGCGAGAAATTGCTGGTTACGAGAGACTAGTTCTGGATGATAAGACGAATGACCAGACTGGAGGGAGAGTTGTTTGCACGTTTGAGGGTGAGAAATTTGGTTTCTGTTTAAAAAACTTTATTTTAAGTATGCAATTGATTTCAGACTGTTTCAAATATCTTGGGACGTCTGGTGTAGCCCCATTTTGTAGCGCCCATAGGAGTCACTGGGAATATGTGGTGTCAGATTATGAAGATAAAGGAAGCATCACTCCAATATTTTTTCACTCCATAACCCCCTTTACATACGAAAATGAGGAAAAGAAGGCTGAACGAGCTAGTACGGCTTTGAATAAAGCAATTTCTACCGGTACCGATTTGACTCCCTGGGACTGTTACGCTAAAGAATTTACTGATGCCAAGCTACCTCCTCCGACTTATACTGAAATTCCTGGTCGTAGACGATACTTTACAACAGAACAAGAGGCCAACAAGGTTTATGCAGCCAGACAGGTACATAATTTACACAATTATGATTAGCTCATTCTGTTGTTTAATATTTTGTATCGTTTTGCAGTATGTCACACTTCTACGGAAACTAGTCCCAGCCACATCAACATTTCGATATTTGAACAAGAATGTAGCATTGCCAAATGGAGCAGAGACAGCAGTATTAGAAGAGATGAAAAATTGGGGAATGCAGATCGGTATCTCCAAGTACTTGGACCGTGAGTCCAGAGCCTCCCTCCCATACCCATTCGGTAAAGAACGAGAAGGAAAACAAGTGGCTTCCTCAATGGTGGTGGCCAAAGAGCATGGGGTACTCTACGTCGTGTCCAACCCACATATCAATTATTTTGGGAAGACCCTGACTGGTGATAAGCTTCATGAAATAAAAAACCAGAATGACACTGTTGCCAAATACAGTTTGATGGAAGGTAACCTTCCCTGGGAATTGATTCCCTTGTCATCTTGTCCTGTGGATGAATTGGAGGCCAATGAAGCTCATCTCCACCTCGCCAACTCTTTCGCCGACCTTCTTCGTATACATCAACAATTTGTCTCAGACCCTCCTTACACTTCTCCAGAAGGATCCACTCCTTTTGACGCCTATCCTATCTGTCTCAACAAATTCACCAATGCCAAATACTTTGACGATACTTCTTTTACCAAAATCAATCAGTTTATGTTAAAGCGTTATGGAGTTGAGATCTACATTGGTCCAACGTATTAATTTTAATGTTTTACCTAACGGTCTCCATTTGGATCCTTGCTCATTTTCCGACTGAGGAACCACTGCATTCGCTTTAAATTTAATTTCAAACTTTATAGGCTTCGGCTCTGAGGAGGTAGGTTCTGAGGTAGTATTGAGCACAGTTCTCACTCTGTAATTTAAATTAAAAACATTTTCTAGATTATAGTTTCCTGCACAAATCGTCAAATTTAGAGATCAATATGAATACATTTTCTCGGGTTGAATATAATTTCCATAGTCATCAGTGCGCAGCTCAATCTTATTTCCCCCCTTTCCCCCATCATGCCATCCTCCACTGTTGTATAAACTAGAAAATAGAATACAATTTGTTTGAACACCAATTAAAAATCCAAGACTATAACCACCTATTAACTAAAAATTAGTTATTAATGCTTACTCGTGTTTTAAGTCTGCATTAGATTTCATCTCAACTTTTCGAGCGGGTTCATTATACGCATCCCTGTTTTGTTCCCATCCACCACTGTTGTTTCTTTCAACAGTTATCTTCACGGCTTGTGGAGGAACAATAGGCTCGAGTTTTTCATGTTCAATCTTTGAATAATATGCGCTCAACTTGGCCTCCAAGTCTCCAAGGTCAGGAATAACTGAAGAAATACTGCCCCCCAAATTAAGAGATGTATTGGCTGACGAAAGTTTTGAGGATTTCCGTTTGTCCTTAATTCTCGCAGAGTCGTCTGAATCAGACTCCGAAGAAGATGAGGAATTTCGTCGGCGTTTCTTACGCTTGTCCTTCTTCTTTGATCGTTTCTTATCTTTAGACTTTTTACTCGATCGTTTTGACTCGTCGTCAGAATCTGAATTAGAAAAAAGTTTAGTTTATATTCGCATTTGACACTCAAAGTGAAATGGAAATAAATAAATTATACCATGAACTTGATGTACTGTTTGCTGCTGCGATAATCCTAATTGTTGACCCCATTCGGAGAACGAGGATTCATTAAACCCAGCTGAAAGTTATACGTACATTGTTTATTTGATAAATTGGCAATTTTTAATTAGACTTTTTGTTAATATTTTGTTAATTACATAATCCAGAACCTGACACCCCTTGTCCGCGGGGATCCACAAGGCGTTTAGAAAATGGACTTAACGACATTGGTCGCGCCTCCTCTCTCGACTTTTTACTTTTCTTACTCTTTTTCTTCTTGCTTTTCTTACTCTTCTTGCGCTTTTTCCCCTTGTCCGAGTCATCAGAAGAGTCTGAATCCGACTCCGATTCACTAGTTGATGAAGTAGAAGAGTCATCATCAGAAGCCGACGACTTTCTACCCTTTTTCCTTTTGGACTTTTTATCTTTTCCTCCAATTTTTCCCCCGTCCAAATTCATCCTCATTTCAGTCTGCAGTATTAACTTTAACCTTTCCTTTAGTTCAGCAGCCTTCAAGGCGGCGGGTGGAACGAGTTTCGTTAGGTCGAGTTTATTGGTTCGATCGAATAAGGATAACAGAGCGTCCCTTGCTTCTTTGTGGTCCTGTTTAACCGCGAGACATTTAGAATAGGAAGAGACTGCATCCTCTAGTTTGGCAGCTGTTTCTTGTCTATTTCATAGTCAAATGATAAAGTTAGATGCATTACAACTAAACGACTTTAAAAAAAGTAAAAAAAAAAAATAATAATAATTAAAAACTTACTGTTTTCCCAATGCAACTAAAGTTTCTGCAAGATACTTTCTGGCATTGTAATGATTGGGATTAAACTTCAAGGCTGCTTCAAAGTCTTCAATGGCTTTTTCAAACCCAGCGTTGTTGGCATACCTAGAACAAGGTCAAATTAGGCAAACATAAGATTATAGTGATCCAACAACTAAATAGTAATAGAAGATGATTTTAAACCATAAAAGGAGTTCATTCTCGTCGTTCTTAAATCTTTCATCGCATCATCATCATTTGTTTGTTTGTACCTCCCTCATCAATTCATTCCCATATAACATTTCTTTCATCATTTCCTTTCATATCTTTGAGTTTGATTTCATTTTCTCATTATCTTTACCAAATTAATATAATAAATCATCAGAATTTGAATTGTATAAAATTCAAACCCATGCCACTACTAAAACTTTTAGTTCTACTCACAATGCGCCTCGTGCAACGAGTCCTTCAACATTCTCTGAGTCGATGCTGAGAGCTTTATTCAAACATTGGAATGCTTCTGTAAACTTTCCCATCTTAAAATATTTTATCCCATCTGCCACATTTCCATGTGCCCATTTTCCATTTTGGATTCGGCGAAGGTATGCGGCTCCCTCCTTGACTGGAAATTCATTCCTAGAATTTAACCCATCAAAAAAAAGTTTAATGACGAGTAAGTCCAATAAACAGCAACAACTCACCTCAATCCAACCATCAAACTGTTTCTGTTGCTCAAAATTCCCATTGTTGATGCTAAATGACCGATATTTGTTGGATTTTGAAACCCACTGCTGCGAGTTAACATATCTTCGTAGCTCCTTCTATATCGCGAGTCAGAGTCATTCGTTGCCAGCCTGCAAAGGCAAACAGAGGCTCAAGATATATATTTTTTGTACAGATAATCTGGCAATATATTTTCTACTAGAAATGAACCAATTGCTAGTTATCTCCACAATTTACAAAAAAAAAACAGACAATATGTTAAAAATATTTCGCCAGGTGCTGTTATCATACGTGAATTGACGAGGAAAGTCGTGACGACTGATTTTTCCGAGGTGGAAAGTGTGTTGCATTTCTGGGCTTAACGTTACGCCTTTCATCCCACAAACAAGTTTTTCTGAATCGGCTGAAACTTCGAGTACTTCAACTCTCACGGTATCTCCAATTTCGTAATCATTCTTCTCTCGAGGAGGAACTGTGTGACTCGCTGGGCAAAACGCTTTGATTCCGAGATCCTCTAATACGATGTGTTTTCCACCGTCGGTCGATAAAAGTTTCAAATTTATCCCAGAGTTATTTTTGGTGTAAACTGAAGCTATCAAAATGTCACCAACTTGTAGGTTCTGAAACAAAAAATGATAGTATTTCTGAGTAAAAGTACATGGGTTTTATAATAAATCAAATACTTGAAAGAAATAGCTTCGAATTTCTGGACCATCAACGTGGAGATAGTGATCCAATGATGGGACAAGTCCGTAATGATCTATAAGTCACATAGCAATGTTTAGCAATGAACCAACCTGCTGGAACATAAAAATGCACGGAATGTTGTAAATTAAGTACCTTCGGAATTATGCTGAAATCCTTTCACTTCCGCGAGAGGCATTTCATCTGCCGTCAACGGTTTGAAAAGCAAGTCTTTTTTTCTCGCGATAAATTCGTTCATTTTTAGATTCAATGAACGCTCCAATCTGACAATCATTAACATAACTGAATATTAAAATATTCTTCCAAAAAAGCAAACACAAACACAATTTGTCAAATTGTGTTTGTGTAGTAGATATGCGAGATAGTACGAAGACTAATAAGCTGAAAATTAGACAAGACGAAGTTTGATGAAAAATCGGGTAGTTTACAGTTTAAAAGTAATACTTTTAAGCTTTATAGGATAGTTTTACAGAAATAACTTCCACTAACACAATCGTGGCTCAATTATGTAATATGTATAATAGTCCCCAGCAAAACAGAATAGTTAGCTTATAGAAATATCAGCAAAAGTCTCACCTTCCATCACTCCCTAGTCCGACAGTGGGCGAAGCGCCAGGAGGGCCGAGACCTCCTCCTCCACTCTGCATCACGTTCATCCAGTTAGTCGTTTCCCCATTTCCTCCTCCTGAAGAGTTTCTATGATTTAGGCGTGGGTCCCCAGGTGCCATTTCCGGAGGTGCTCCTCCCGAGAATCTGGACGAAGAGTTGCCATCCCGGTTTTTCAATATTCCCCGTGGTGGTGCGCCCCCACTGTTACTGAAATGATGGTCAGCCATTTCACATTTGCGATGTATTGTCTTTTCCTTCAATTATGCGCAATGTTGCGGCGTGAGTGTTGGAAACTGTGAACTGTACGGGAAAACCTGTAATTTTAATAGATAAATATAGACAAGAATTCATACGAAACCATCAATATTGAACTTTAATAGCGCCTAAACTACAAGCAACGTATGCATTGTTGACATTTAATTTACCATTTGTAATCTATCAAGCAAACAAACAAAAACAATGCGGAATGTTGAAATAACAATTAACCACCTCCAGAATTTCGCAGTAAATCTTTTCAAAAAGCAACTTACCACTTGCACCTTAATCTCTATAATTAAATGGCACGATACTTTAACTTTTGTTATTATTATTTTGACAAGTACATTTTACGAAATTTCCGGAAAACCCGTGTATTTATTTTCCATGATCTGCTTCTCCACAAATTCAAAGTTGGCGCGAGTTGTGGGCTCGTAGCATTTCTCCAGTTGCCCATCTGTCACATATTTCTTATTGCATTGCATTCTCATTTTCATACATTTTAATTATGAATTTGTTTTATAAAATACCAAAAAGAAGACAAAGTTTCCAAAATTTTATGATGAAGGTTTATGAAAACCGAAAACGCAATATTTATACGATGCAAACGACAAAAACTGCTCTATACACAAAACGTGCCGCAATTTAATGCAAAATCCTTAACCATTCATTAATTATCACTGCAAATTTCAATTTTGATTTAAACTCATAAAAGTACTCTCAAACTTTTCATTTTTATCGGAATTTCTTTCATTTTTCATACATTTCCATACAGATTCTCAACTGGGACATAGCCTGAGATTAGCATCGATGAACGGAAAGCCCAGCCTTCAAAAGGCGAGGTTTGACAAGCTGCCCAATGGATTTGTGGAAGCGACCGTTGATTTGAGCTTGAGCTGATGTTGGGGAATGTGGACCGTTTCTACTGGTTTGCATAGCACACTGACTTTCAACTGCTGCTGCTGCTGCTGATCTGCAATTAGGAAGGGTCCCTTCTGCTTCTCCACAATAGAAGGCCGATAAGATAAAAAGGTAACCACAAAAAAAATATTTAGGCAACCAACGGCTCCATCCATCCATTCTTACAGTTTCTTTCTTCTCTTCCAAGCCAGGTTTGAACTCGTCTTTCTTCTTAAAAGTCTTCGGTTAGGTGACTTGTCTATTTCCTGCCTGGTGCAAAGTCAAATTAGGTAATTTTGCATTATCAATTAGCTGGGATAATCTACATGAGACGCGGTTGCTAGTGTGTAGGAAAGGTAAGGAAAGATCTTGATTTTTGCTTATCTAAAATCTAAAATTGGTTTGTAGAAAGACGCAGGTTTAAAGGTTTTGACTTTTGTAGATAGGACTAGGACCGAGACCAACACATCCTGACCCTGACGAATTATTTGACTAAGCATCAAACACGCCAATCTCCGGCAAGGTAAGTAAAATTCGGTATAACTAAGCCAAGACATAAAATCTGTAGTGTTTCGTAAGTAATGCACGAGTAAGCAACTTTTGGTCGGTTTATGTAAACTTGACTAGTTGCTCTAAAGTTGAGGATATGATACCAAATTGCATAAATGTGTGGTCGTACATTACCTGTTCCCAGGCAGTCCTGTGATATTCAAAATTGTTCACCATTTACATAGCATTGCTGGCTCTAGTTTAATTCCTCATGACGACTATCCTTGCACCTTGAAACTACGAACTCTGTGGTATTTCACTTTGATTTATTATTATTTGTTGTGCAATGAAAGCCTGACTCTTATTTGACACTATCATTTAAAATTAAAAATATCGACTAAGCCAACGAAACAAGTGCTCAACAATTAACTACATAAAACAACTTTTACAGATTTCAACTATATGTTTTCCAACCTCAATATGAACCGTTTTGGAGGAGGGTCCAAATCAACATCGACAGGAGCAAACAGTAAAGCGGCCGGTGGGGGAAAGAGGAAAGCTGAAGTTTCGCCACGAAAAATGGAACCAATAACCAAGAAACGATCCGCCCTAGGAGATTTGACCAACGTAAATATATACTTATTATTGATGGATCCACTAATTCTTCTTTTAATCAGATTACTAAATATGAATCCTAATTAATTTTAGGCCGTCAAGAAGAAGGCTCTTGGGGGTGGAACAAATAAGGACAAACATGCAAAAGCAACATTAGCAGCAGTAGCAGCAGAAAAACCCGTTGTTCGAGTCACTCGCTCCAAGAGTTTAGTTTCCGAAGAACCAAAAGAAACAGCTCAAGTTGTCGCCCCAGCGAAAAAGGGGAAAACCAGCCAAACTGTCGACAAGGATGTACCCGTGCTCGTCAAAGCCAAAATCATTGTCCCAGAGAAATTGTCTGTCGGTCCTTCCAAATTGCCAGTCAGACAAACCAGAGCGAGTCGTACTCGGATTAGTGAGGAAAAAGAAAATTCAACAACAGTTCAAGCCCGTCGTGTTACCAGAAGTTCTAATTCTAAACCTACTGTCCAAGACTCATCCACGTCCGCTGACGATGAAGAAGATTCTTCTCTATATAAAACTGCTGTCAGTACCCCGGAGTCTGAGTAAGCTAACTTCTAATATCTCGAATGATGTTGATAAATGCAACTTAATTTATAAATTCACTCATTAATCGTAGTTTAAGTCAAAGCGTTGAAGACCAAAATCGTAAGAATGAACAGCTTTCACTCCAGAAAAAATCAAAGTTGCCTCATGGCGTCGTTGACTTTGATGCTGAAACGGTCAAGGATCAGTATCAAGTTGGGCTGTATGCTGAAGAAATATTTGCGTACTACAAACGACGTGAGAATAGGTTTCACGTTAAAAAGTATTTGGATGAACAGACTGAACTTAATCGTAACATGAGGTCAATTTTGGTGGATTGGATGGTCGAAGTTCAGGTAAGCACTTGTAATATCATTTGAATGCATATAATAATATCTACATTTTGATGGTACAATTCAACTAAATCTATCTTAATATGATTCCAGGAAAGCTTTGAGCTCAACCATGAAACAATGTATTTGGGCGTTAAAATTGTCGACTTGTTTTTAAGCAAGACAATCGTGAAGAGAGAACAATTGCAGTTGGTTGGAACTACGGCTTTATACATTGCAGCAAAATATGACGTATGGAGACAATAATTAATTTCATAATAATTTAATCATTCATTCCATGACCTCAAATCAGAAAAAAAGTGTTTAGATATTTCACTAATAAAATTGGAAAATTAATAATCAACAGGAACGCTGTCCTCCAGCCATTGATGACTTTTGCTACATTTGCGACGACGCTTATCCTACGGTAAGAGTTTTATTTAGATTTATTATTTTTTTAATACAAAGTTAAAACAACCTATTTAACAAACTTCCAAATGATATTCCCATCCTCATCCTTAACCACCGGTGGGATCTCTACCTCTACAACTTCACCAAACAAGTAACCAAACACATCGTCAAACAGAGATTTTGAAAAAGAATCATCGAAATGGGAAAACTTTTGAGCTATAAAAATAATGTCGTGTCCATTGATTTTCAAACCCAGCATCCGGGTGAGTAGTGACGAGACGTGTCCGAGTGTTTCGACGCGCTGAGCTTGTTCCTTCATTTCATCATGTATCTTTTTCTCCTCAATTGACAACCTGGTGAAAGTCTTCTCCTTGATGAGATCAGCTTGGGGGTGAGCAAACTGGAAAACCCTCTTTATCTGGCTTTTGTCAAAATCCGTCAGCCCCGTCTTTCCTCTTGTGTGGCTGTATGATCCAGCACTTCTTCCCCTCCCCATCGCCCACTTAACCCCAGAGTATTTCGCCGGTGTCGTTGTCCCTTGCGAGGTACGAGCTGGACAGATAGTCGTAGGAGACTGATGGGTTGAGAGACTGAGGCAGAACTGTCGTAGACTTCTTGTCCCCCGTGATTTTGAAAATGAAGCCATTGGTCTCAAAAACTTGTCCCAATTTCACGAAAAAGTCCTTCTGGAAGCCATCACCGTAGCGGAAGTAAATCTCCTGATTGATAAATTTTACTCGATCTTTCACATTACACACCGAGTTGTGCCACGTGGTCATGATGCTCATAGCGACCTAAATGATTAGATTATGACAATATTTATGGTGGTGGTGGTGGTGATTATGACAATATTTAATATTTGCATACCATGTTGTGAAGATTCCCCTCTCCAGCTAACAAGTCGTTTGTCAAGTAAACCAAGTTATGGAATGACCGAAGGACAGCACTTTTATGGGAATTCATGTAGTAGTAGAGGGATTTCGAGTTGGCCTCGGCAGTTAATGATTTCGAATAGACTTGCAACTCTTTGTTAGTGTGTCCTTCTAGTTTCTGATTATTGGGAATTATTATTGAAACTGTGGTGACATCAGCTTTAACGTCCCGAACAAAATACACCGTTTTGTCGCCGTGAGTCTTGCAGTAGTTCTACGCTGGCGATTTCTCATCATTCCAACAGAGATCCAATTTACATTTATAAATGTGTGACCCATTTGGGCGTCCAGTATAAGGGGTAGAGTCATGAACACCCAACCGTGACCGTTTCTTGTCCCATAACGCGGTGAGAGTGGCGCCTTTGAAAATTGTGGTGATCGGATTCTTCTTGAGCGACTCCATCGCCACTTTAAACTGAGAATCTTGAACTAAATCTTTATCCTCCCCCCCAAATGAGATCCTTATTTTGACTGCCTCCCTTATAGATTTCAAACGTAATGTTGGGACAATAACAGCAGTGGTAGCAGCAGTGGTCGATGGCCCAGCTTTGACAACTGCAACCACAGTTTAATTTATTATTTTAAATAAAATAACAAGACAATAATAAGACAACGTACCTTTTTTATACTTTTCATCTCTTTCATCAATTTTTTTTAGGAGAATATTAAAAAACTGGGTCGTTGTGGTTTGAGAGAGCCCACCCTCATCGATCTTCCTTTTCAGTTTCTGGGTCGACATATTCTCGTACTCTTCGTCAGAGTCGGATTCTGAATTGTTCCTCTGCAGCACAATAACAATTATTAGATATTAGTGTAGTAAAAAATTAAATGAAAACCTTACCTTCATTCTTCCGGTGGGTGTGGTTTGGGAAATTTTGAAGAAAATATATAAGAGAGATCAGAGAGAGAGAAAGCTAGATGAACGACGGAGAAAGAGAAACATGAGTTGTTGTCGTGCTCTTGGTTGGCAAGGTCATTGAACTTTACATAATTTTCTAATTTACAGAAAGAAATCATCAAGATGGAGATGATAATTTTGCGATCTCTCAACTACGATATTGGCTTTCCATTGTCATACCGCTTTGTTCGTCGTTATTCCAGAGTGAGTTGATTTGAAACAAAAATGCAAATCAAATTTATAGTATGCCATATGTTTACCATAATTCAATTTTAACCTCAGTGTGCCAAGTTGGACATGGACACTCTCACTCTTGCTCGTTACATTTTGGAAATGTCGCTCATGGAGTATGACTTTATTGACGTCAAGGATTCCATGCTTGCCGCAAGTGCTCTGCTTCTTGCTCTGGTAATGAAGAAAGTGAAAGCGCCATGGAGTAAGACGTTGGAGTACTATAGTGGCTACAATAAGGAAGATCTCTTCGACTTGACTCACCGCTTGCATGAGTATCTCACAAACGTTCCAAGTCATCTGAAGACTATACGATCTAAATATTCCCACAAGTGAGTCAAATAACAAATTCGCATTTCAGTAGTTCTCCCATTTCAATTTATAAACTAATTCATAAATGTATTACAGAGTGTTTTATGAAGCTGCCAAGGTTCCACTTCCGGATGAATTGAAATTATAAAAGTATACATATGTCCTGCATGAAAATGTTAACTACTGCCTCCCTATTAAATTCACAAGTGTCGTCGTCCCGAATAATTGAACTTCTTTTCTAATTTAAAATAGACAAATATTCTGTGTCGCCAACATATAAGAAATCGTGTCTCGTAATGCAATTATTTATCTGTTATGATACAAATACGTTGACGATAAACATATTTATGTACACGCATATTCCTCAGGATTTTATCCCATAGTTGGTTTCTGAGCATTTCCGACTATTGTCTTATTCACTGTACTCCAAGAAATGGTAAATAATGCAATAATTTTATGAGAAGATGAAGATGAGTTATTAGGAGTTGCCACTCATGGATTGTAATAATTTGGCATAACTCCTTATTTTTAAAGTTCGAACGGCATATACAAATCTAGAAATGTCATGCATTTAAAAATAATTATGTAAATTCAGAGTTGGAGATTGCTGTCTTGTAGCTAAAATGATGTATCGTGATGTCTGGTTTTTGAATAATAGAATAATAACCTGTCTCCTACATATTTTTATAATTGATTTAAACCCTCTAAATTCCCTTTTACCAATTAATTGAATTTTTTTTTCGATAAGTTGTGCTCTCTTAACCGTACAAATTCCTGGTGATCTTTGACACAGGAAGATATAATTCTAATACATTTCAGCACTATTTATTCAGATTCAGACAAGTTTGTTATTATTTTTGTTTTTACGTATACCATTGATTGGTTTTGTGTTATGCAGGAGTTGTTCCTGTTCTCACGTGAATATTCTTTATTTCCAGTAAAATAAAGTTGTATGGTTTTGTAACAAATGACCAATTTCATGAATGAAATGAGAACTGATTTCCAACCTTTTTACAAAAAATATACTTTATTACATATTTGACAACACAGCAATTTGCATACACTCACTAATTGATAATCACAAATCCGAGTTTTAATGTTGGTTAGTAGTTTGTATATTTTATTTTATGTACATTTAACACATCCCTTCCTTCTTATCATCTAAACAAATTTACTTTTTGGCATGCTGATGATAAGCAGAGAAAAATATGTGATGACGATACATAAAAGTAATGAAAATTCAATGAGTATTATCATTTTTTTTTATTAAAAAAGGAATTTTATTTTTTTCTTCATCAGACTTCGTTCGCACACAAGAAGGGTCTCTTTTGTATTATCAATAGTCAACAACAAATATATAATTTAAATAGGCAATTTTTTTATAAGTAAGCAAGATAATAAGTTTGAACAAACTGAGCAATAAAATTAAAATAATTATTAATAATCAACAACAATCAATAATAATATAAGCAACAAGTTCAACAATCAATATCATGAAAATACATTTGAGGCTTGATGAGACCGTGAGTGTTAAATATACGCGTTTCCGCACTACTCGACATCACCGATCTAACATATTTCCTTCTTCTTAGGTCTTCGTTAAATTAGAGTTAGTTAGTTAAGAGTGGAGTACTAATTAGTTCGTGGCCCATTTTCCGACTTTATCGACCAGGGTGTACGTACAATCGGGGTATTGGACGGCACAATCCTTTTGCTCATCTGCGGCAACGACGGCATCCTTGTAAAAGTCCATGCTCCTCATTTGCTTTCTATAAATTTTTTGAGAAAAAAAAAGTGTAAAAATTAGCAACATTATTAAATTAGCAACATGATTGAAATTTGAAATTATGAGCAAAAGTCGAAAGTCTAGTTGCACAAAAATTTGGGAAAGTTGGTCAATACATTTTGTTTCATTGTATTGCCTGCCAGCAGCCGAGTTATTAAAAAAATCAGATATTGTTAAATAAGATGAAGGTACGGCTCAATTATTAATTCTTTGTAGGTGGGAGTGCAATGCATCACTCATTCATGGTGATGGTTTTAAGTAATTCGAATGAAAAAGATTGGCCATCGTTCAATAATATACTATTTTAGGTCTTGCTTAGCTGACCAAACCATAACCAAGAATGTTTCTAATATGGGGCAGGAGGAGGATGTACTGTTGTTTATGAAGGAATGTAGATATGTACCTGAACCATCCCGTGGCGTAGTTGAAGATCTTGTTACGGCCAGCGGTACCTGAAAATAACACCGAAAAGAATGTCATTGAAGATCGAATAAAAATTTAAAAATTTGATTTTTGTCGCAAATCATATTTCAAACTAATTTCTAAAAAAAATATTTCTGAACTTACGCTCCATTTCGCACGCAATTCGCTTACGGCACCCATCTCCTTGGATCTTCATGACGGCGAAGGTAGTGTCGACGTAGTCGATGGAGTTAAGAACTCGGGACATGAGACCACCATCCTTGACAGCGTCGAAATAGGGGGAAGAGTTGGATCGGCCCCATCCGTCACCATGACCGTCAGAGAGAAGTGGGGACAACAGCATGTAGACGAGACCACCGAAAGCGGCCAAAACCAAGAGGTTCAAAACGAGGGCGACGATATCAGCCAAGGCTGGGTAATCTCCTAATATACATAAAATCCTCATGGTTAGATTACAAATTCCCGTTTTGAATTTCCATCAGATTTTCGTACCATGTCCACCTCCGGTAGATGCTCCCCATCCCCATCCTTCTCCACCACCACCACCCCCACTTCCGTGACCACCGACATGAACGACTATTCAAAAAAGTAATGAGTATTAGCTGGATATCTTAAACTTTTTTCTCATTTTCCCAGAATTCTTCTTACCTTCTGGGTGAGCGTCATGCGTTCCGATTCCGAAACCTCGCTTGGAAGCTCCGGATTTCGTCTTGGTGGCTGCCGACGCGACGGCAACACACATAAGTGTGACCAATAATATCTTATTCATGGTGTATCTGAAGAATTCAAAAAAGTAAAAATAATAATTACACTTAAATCCTCACAGTTAAAATTCTTCAATACGTAAATAAAACCCCAAAAATAAATTATAGATAATTGAATTGAATACGATCTCTTGAAGAGCTTGAGCGAGCAGAAGTAGCGTTGTCAAAACTGTGAGGTTAACACCGTGTTGAACGATGTCGTGTTGTCAGACCGAACTTCAACCAGCGTTTGAGGACGGAGTTGACTTTTGACTTTTCGAATTGGCCATCAGGTAATTGACTCGTATTGGTTTGGTTTGGTTTGGGTGGTTGGTAGTAGTTTCAGATATCTCGTCTGGTCACTATTCTCCTCGTAAAGGGGTGGCTCTCTCTCTACTTGGTCCTTTGGTGGTGGTCTGGTCGTGGACTACTTTTCCACGACCAAGCTACCAGTTTCATAGGCAGGAGAAGTGAAAGAAAGCAGGTTTTAACTAGGGTGAAGGGTGGTGCAAAGGAGTCGTTTGGCTGGTCTAGCTGGTCCTTTTTTATCGCGGAGGAAAGATGCCACATTTCATAATTTTGTTCATAAAGAGAAAAAAAACATCTTCACACAAACAGGTTATCATCGAGCATAAGTACACCAGGTGAAAGTGTCACCCTTGACACTGGCACGGCATATGTCAAGTCAATCAAAAAAAATTCTAGCCATTAATACTGCAACCAAACCAAACCACCACCACTAAAAACTTTCTACTGTGATTTCATTCACTTCTTACAAGAAGTAGGAGGAGGAGGATGTAAAGGTAGCTTAGCTTAGGGAGGAAGGTGTCTGACCATGATATGAATATTGTACGTGTGGCGTTCTTATTATTCTTCTTCTTAGCTGCACTACCATAACTCATCATCATCAAAAAGTGGATGATATGCGTGGATATGAATTGTTTACAAGCTGTAGAAAATTAACTAGAGCAATTTCTCTCACGTATTTCACCACCAAGTAAAACACGTATACGACTCATATGAGAAGTAGTTGCTTATTCAGGGTGCATCTTTTAATTTGATTTTGATAAGTTTTTTTTATACAATTTTTATTTTTCCTTCTTTCTTTTAGCTTATGCTGCATTTTATTGTCGTTTTTATCTCGCGAGATTTCTTTAATCTAAATATCCCCGTAACGTAACCACCTAGGATGGGATAGCGTTCGTACGTTTTTAATCAGATCAGTAATGCAGTGACTGCATCTTCTTCATGCAGCAGGATCGGTCTTAATAAGTGGTTTGGTATGATGTATGCGGTGATTAAATGCTTCAATTCGTTCATGTAGTGGACTACAAAAAAAGTTTTAAAAACAGGGCAGCACAACTAACTAAACTAAAACTCATTTACTTTGTGCCCATGCCCACCTTCCTCACTTATCTTTGAACTTGATCACTTTTTCTCTTTTTTAAGACAAACATACTCATATTCCAATTTTTATTAAACACCTGAACTCCCCAAGTTTTAAATGGTGATAAGTCATTATGTGGTCTAATAACTTGGCTTCTCTTTTTTATGATTTTTCTCCCTAAAATCATGTTCAAATCGTACAACATCGACATCATTCCTTAATTTTTTAATGGGGATGGGAGCATCGAATCAACACCGAGACCGAGAGAAGGTTATGGGTCGTGTGTTACAAATTCTGTACGCTCATCAAATCCTATACTATTTATTCCATGGTCAGTTATTGGACCAACTAACTAAGTAAAGCTGACGAATTTTTACACATGTCTGACGCTAATCTAATTAAGAGGGGCAAAGATAATCCGTGAAAAACAAGTAACAGTTGTACATACATCGATCGAGCTGAATGATTATTCCGTGTAACAGAATTTAAAATATTTGTGTACATAACTGCCGTGTAACAGAGTTCCGACCACTTTTTGGAATGCTACCACCTTAAAACTAACTGTAATTGCAAATATGTATGCACATCATGAAAAAATCAGAGATTCTACCGAACCAATAAATGTCCTTTGTGCAACTACTACCCAAAAAAATGATCGGTATGTATGCAAATGAATCCTTGTTTTTTCCATCTCGTTTGCATCATAACATTCACGTCAAAAAAATTGTACACGTTGAAGGAATGAATAAGGTAAAAGGTAAGGTGTGTGTGGGTCGACGGATTAAATGGGCCATGAGGTTGCACCACCACCACCACGGTCACAACTGGTCAAACAGGAAACCGACGTTCTTATCCCAGTCTTCCCTGCATCTCAGTCAGTTTTTTTGTGTGCCTGCCTGCACTTTTTACATGGTTGAGACTCGACTTAATAATATTTGCGTATATGGGATGAGCCACATTATGGGGGCACAAAAAATGAGAAAATGCTTAATAACGAATTCTGCACATGCAAAGCTAAACGGAACGAAATGCTGAAATTTGTACATGTCTAATTTGTGAATTGTTTTTCTTATTCTTAATTTTTCGTTTGATTTCTAGCCGTACAAATTAGCTAATTAGTTAATGGGGGACGTTGTCAATTATGGTAAATAAATCTTGTCCTATAATCTGGGTCCCTTATTGAATATGATGCCGTTTTTATTTAAATTCAATCTACGAAGTATTAGTAAAACTGGCCCGAGAAAGAAAAGAGGATCTATTACGACTTGTTAATTTGTAACTGCTGCAAAAAAACAGGGTTCTTCAATTACGGTAACAATTGTGTGATGACTTCACTATTTGGCCTGCCATAAACTACAAAAAGTTGCAAGTACAGGAAATAAATGCTATTTGAGTAATCGGAGCAATTTTCTATGGGCATCCTATTACAGATATAGGAACGTGATCTGATTCACAATTATTTGATTAGGATAATGACAGTTGGCATCAAATCGGGAGGTGACCTTTACTTCCAAACCGGTATCGAGAGTTAAAACTGTCATGCTTGCTATATATCTTTCTGAATAAATCGGCAACGAAAATATGTTATTGAGCCGTCTTCGCATTAAAATAACACGATTTTTCTACCCTTCTCATATCCTGTCATCTATCCTCGATTTATCCTACCGATCAAAACACTAATTCCAATTTAAGCCTTCAGCACTTGGATTGATTGATCCATCACAAAGAGAAAGCTGCGAACGAGGTGAGCCAATATGTTGAGGCAAGTTGAGATTCTTGAGATCCCTCAACTACCCAAACCTCTCTTTCTCTAAAGAAAGTACCAATATGTAGTAAAACCGAACCCAAATATCCAATCCACCGATAAAGATGATCCAATTTTTAAAATTTTTTCCAGAAAAAGTCAACTCCAGTCCTCCAGGTTCCAGTCCAGTCCAACAACAAACAGTTCAACACACACAAAACTTGGTACATAAGTGCACTCCCACTTTTTCCTTGACAATGCTACCCGATCACTTTTGCTTTCAATGCGTGTATCGTTTCGAAAAGTTTTATGAAATGAAATTCATAAACGACCAACGACTTACGATTTTGGTTTGTTGATTACGACAAATGATAAGCCTGCCTGTGTGCGAGGAACGAAGGAAAGAACTCAACTGAATCAATGAACAGATGGATGAACACCTTTTATATGGAGCAACGTCTCAACGTATCGTTTCTTACACGGAAGGGTCTCCTTCATCCCCACAAACCACCACCACCACCAGAACCATATCCATCCCAGATAATCCCTTATCCTTCAACTTGAACCCATACAAGACCAAGAAGAAGACGGACGAAGGGGAAAGCAGACAGGTTATGGTGGAGAAGGAGATGGCAAAAATAATGCATGTTGTAGAGAGGAGGCGATATCCTATTAAATTACACGGTTATCATGCCCACAATCATGGGTTGCTTTAGGTGCATGGCTGGCTTGGCTTCTTCATAAGCATTTTTTTGCATTGGTTCTTCGTGGTGCGATTTCCCATCATGAGAATTCATACATTCTGCAAGCAATAATTCTGTCTTGTTGGGTAGGTAAGGTATCTGTAATGATGAATCAAGTTCGGCCAATGCAATGAAATGAATGAAGATTTTTTACAGGATTCGAAAACTATGCAACATTTGATTAGAAATCGCAAACAAAATCGCATTTTGCATTAAAAATTATAGATCTCTGTGTCCAAGAAGATTTTTAAATATGCAAATTATTTCTCTAATCTATTAGATTTTTTGAGGAAATGCTACTTTAAATTTTAATAGATTAAGTTGAGAATCTATGAAATGCTAGTTTGGGGAAAATGAGTACTTTTTGTTTCAAAGTGGTTGGGGAAGGTTTCCATTAATTTAATTTGTTAAGGAGATATTGACCCTTGGGAAATTTTTTAGACGCCATAATTTTCTAGGAATATTTTTAGATTATCCGAATAAATTTTTCATAAATAGTTGTCTCCAATGCATAAACTGTAATAACTGCACGTGCACATCCTGTACTATTCTAGGCATTAAATTACTTGAAACAATTATACATAGCATTCAGTATATTTACTGAATTAACTCTGTTTTAAAGGTCTAGAGCAATCTTTTGTGCAGCAAAAGCCAGTTTTTGCACTTTCCTCCTTTAACACAAGAAAGAATCACACATTTCATATTTCATATCACCTCAAAACCTTCTTTCATCATCAAACCTGCATAAAACATGCATCCTCGTATAACGCTAACAAACCAACCTACAATCCCACATACACATAATATTTCTCCCATACTCGTATACTTATTTGAATTCGAATTCAAAACCGACTCACTGAAACAAAGGATGATATTGTTGTATGTAACATCATTCTCATACGTATCGCTACATCCTCCTCCCTGCTTCAAGATATGTATGTAACTTGTCTGTTGACGAGTCGGATAAAAAATTGCTGCTGCAAATTCTCGGCGTATTTCATTAAATAAAGTGAATACAAACTTTAAAGAAAAGGGAAACGACATACGAAAACGCATATATTTCTCGTCTTTTTCGTCATACATATGTGCATGTAAGGTGAGACTTGTAAGATGATACGCTTGAACAGAATGTAATTAGCATGTTCGTAGGTGGGGTATTTACGACCCTTGTACAGCACACGTTATCATGAAGAAACAACACTTTAGCCACATAAAATGGTTGGTTGTCGAGTTTCCTCAAAAATATTTGAAATCTTTGTCATGTTTTTTATCCCACTTTTTCCGTGTAATATATAATGTAACATTTGGCTTTGGCTAGGCGTCGATGCGTTCATCAACCTATGACCTCTCTCACGTACCCACCAACCACGCATGCGCATACATATGTAGGGAAACATTGTTGAGTAAAAAAACTATTCCGTGTCAACTAAAGTAAAAGTTACATACATTGAAGAACAACTCCCAGTTTCACTAAAAACTAATCTATTGATTTTTTTTCGTGCAAGATTACAACAAAAGTCAGCGAGTCACTAGAGCAGGAGACGAGACAGGGTCTGGTAATGGAAATAATCACACTAATAACGACGAGTATTAAACTTGATTGCGTACTTTGGGAGGACGATTAATAAATAAAAGGTTTGCCCATCATCGACCAGAAGAAGAAGAAGTTGAACAGGATGAGGATACAAAATATTGAGGCTAGTAAGGACATAAAGTGTATGTACATATAGCAAGTAACACGTTTTTATGCCAAATTATTATGAATTGAGTGAAAAAACGAGTATTAATTTTAATACGTTTAACTCACTTTTCATTGGGAAAGAAAGTGTAAAATCTATCGTTTAAGTAAGAGACCATCATCAGCGGGGTCATCATCATCTTTTGTCATTAAAGGTTTTGTGTAAATAAATATGTGACGTGCTGTATGTGACACTTATGCAAAATTGATAGGATTCGTAGAATCAAGATAATTTCTTACGAATTTTTCGAAGAAATTCTGACTAAATTTCTGAATAACTGATTTTAAACAGATCATTTTCGTATCACTGCAACTGAATTTTCCGAGAATTTCCTACCTAATTTTTAACAGCAATCATCTGACCACCAAGCGCATAAATACATAGATGAACTTCTTCTTGTTACACCACATAATTACCCACAATTAATGGACCTCTCATCCATCTTGTATCTGCATTAGTGTACTAATTACCGCAAAGATTTTGATTTCATTTCGCAAAATTTGTATGCTCTTGTTTTTGCACTACTTTTTTTAATCGATTCGCAACGGTGTATCAATGAAAGCATTGGAGCAACAACCTTTTACCCAATTATTAAAAAAATATTTAGCAAATATGCACACAACTTTCTACGAGGAAAAAAACATTACAAAAATGTAATAGTAGATTATGACAAGAATTAGATATTAGACTTAAAGCCATTAAAAACCATTTATTGGCTGAGCTCATCGTTTATTATGCAAAAATTACGAGTAAAAGTGTATCATTTTCATTTTATGTATGGATTACGGCTATGTACATTGTGGGGTCATGTTAGTGCAGAAAGTGGTAAACATAAGTACATACCGATAGCAATTGCTATTTAAATTATACGTGATCGTGGGTTGACATCAACTTTCAGTCAACATTTTCTAAGATGGAGAGGGAGGGAGTCGTTGTCTACATATGTCCAAATCATAATATAATCCTCCTTAATTTCATGTTATGTCTTCATTTGCAGATTAAAATAGAGACGTACATGCGCCAAAGATGCCTAAGTAATTTTAGTATCTGGTGATAACGCTACCAGACCACTAATCTCATTGGGTGGGTTTTATGGTAGTATCACCCTGAACGACAAGATAATTAAAGGGTCAATCCCAACAAAGTAGTTAAATATGCATAAAAATGTATCCTTCGTCGGAAGGAAGTGGATTTTGATTACTTTATAAATATTCATGAATTGCTTTTTTGTCTCGAGTTTCTATAATTTCTAGCCATCCTCCTAATCGTTATTTTGCAAGATTGGGACAAAAATTTGCAGGTGTCCTGCTCCAACGTATGCATAAACTGAGACCTTAATATGCGTGCAAGAGAAAACATTACTACTTTTTTTCAAATGACATCTCTAATTGTTCTTAAACTTTTTGGTGGATTATAACAACAACCAACCAGTAATCGATGAGTAGTATTATGCAAATTTTTTACATGCAAAAAAAGTCAAACGTACGTATGTAATGGTTGTTAACCTGTCTGTGACTTTCCAATTTCATAAAGTTTACAAGAGAAGTGCAATCAAGGTACAAAATATTATTGACCTTTTGGCTGTAATTTTTTTTGATCCGATTGCCTCATCACTTCTTTCGTATTACCACCACCACCAATGCTAAATAATAATAAGTGAAAGTTTTATTGTGTTGGATAATGGGATTAAAATTGTTATAAAGTTTTCTCAAAATTAGATTTATGTATGTATGTACATACATCCTTCAATAAGCAGACAAATAGTGTTGGATTTGAAATTTGTTATTTCCCAGCTTATCCGTACTTACATATAAATATTTTGTATTAAATAAAGTGGGATGTACATACATAATTAGCTATTAAATATGTTTAATTTTTGTCATTCTTTTTCCCTGGGAAGGGAATCGAAAGTGGTTCCAATCCATAAGTGTTCAAATTGTAGAATAAAAAAATTTGCAATAAAATACAAAAGTGTGAAAAAATACGGAAAATGAAAATTATTTATCACGCAGTAAACTATGTACAGTCATGTCAACTTTTAGCATATTACACATTGTTGTATTGTAAGATGAAGCCCAGAGTTTTAGCTTTTTCATGTAAAAAGCACATATTTTTCAGTCTCAGCTCATCAAGTAATCAAGTAAATAACAAGGACAACAATGGAACGGTGTTGGTGTGTGTGTAAAGAAACAAATAAATAAAAAACTGTTGTTATATTCAAAGCCTAAAGGTTGGTTTGTCGGTGGGAAAATATTGTTGCGAGTTTCTAGGTTAATTGCAAATATGTGTTTGTTTGAAAAAGTGCAATGCGACCTTCCTTTTTCTTAACAATAAGTTCCATTTCAGTCTACGCCCACGCAATGCACGTTTGCAAATGCAAATTCTGTCATTTGTTTTCACTTGAACTTGTGCATGCATTCCCATAAATATCGTGTTATTAAAAATATAAATATGTATGTAAATTAACCAAAGACCGAAAGGTATTTCCGGATAATAATTGTTTTTGTTTATAATTTCTAAATAACCATTATCAATTATTTGAAATATTGAGTGCATTTTAAGGATAATTTCTGTAAACAATGCAAAACTTGCTTAAATGTATGGAAATATGTATTTAAAGCGTAAAATATATTTTGAAAAATTCGCATGAAATTTGCGTAGATTTGGATAACAAAATTCTGTAGAATACCCGGTAAGCCAACGGGACTGCGTAAGATATTAAATTTTGCATCTTTTTTTCGCATGCAAAATTTAATCAGCTACATGTTTGACGTTTTTATTAAAATATTTCACGCTTAACTTGATCTTGATTAAATGTATGTAGACACGCTTTGTTACGGACTCATTTCATCAGTGACAAAGACGCTAAACTGCAACCTAGTTAGCTTAGCTTGAAGTGACACATCATCGTAATTCGAATATGTCGAGTTAACTAACTAATTTCGTGATTTTGATCACAAAATGACAATGCTTAATTTGCTTTAACATTACACACGCGCAGTTTTTGATTGGATGCTCACGACTCTGAAATAATTTAGTGACATAAGTGAGCCACACACTTTTTGTTAAAAAAATTAAATGGAATGCCTCAAAATTTGTAGAATTACGCATGATGATGGATGCTAGGAAAATGGGTACGCATAATTTAACAAATCACTAAAACAATGGGATGGCCAGGTAAAAGTAAAACCGTCTTTACTCGCAAAGTTGGAGGAGATGATGATGGCAATAAAATTACTTCCCCTTAAAGCGTGAACTACATAATAGCGGCGTTTCACATGAAGATCAAGTGCATTTTCATATGTATGTATGCATTCATATGTATTAAGAATGTCAACATTGAGACGTTTTTTTCCTTGGTTTTTTTACACCTCTCTTCCGGTATGTATAATCTAGTTCATCATTTTCTTCATACCTCTGCTGTGAATTGAAGTTCATCTCTAGATTCAACACAGATTCTCATTGTTCCCATCTTATCCGTGCTTCTCATCAGAGGAGTTGTAGTAAGTTGATTGTAATACAATGAGGATAATTTGTGTTTGTTTAAGCAGCAGATTGTTATGCATGATGCACAAGTTTATGGAATCACAGAAATATTTAAAAAAGCGGGTATTCTATCAATTTTTTATTTTTTTAGGAAATTTTTAAAAATTTTACAAATTTTACTCTGTCTGTAGTGGTAATATAAGTAATTAAATGACACTTATCAGTATGTTACCCCCCGATTTATAGCAAATCCGGCATGACCATAGGCGAGTTTAAATCCTTTCGCTGCACAAACGTAAGTATGACTGACCCAATTATTTCAAGCAAAATGATTAATTACTAATTACAAAGTCAGGAATTTAATAATTCAACCGAGTCATGATTCAATTGAATACACGAGGAATTTGAGGTGAAACTGGTACCTATATACATATGGACAATATAATTTATGAGTATTTTTCATACCAAATGTCAAACAAAGTCGTCTTGTTTTCATTTTTACAAATATGCGTATCCCATGAAGTTAGACGTATTTACATATGTCGCACTGCGACTGAATCAGATAAAGAATTATGATTTGCTGCGAGTTGCATGTCTGCATTTCAATCTTTAATCGGAGTAGGTATTTTTTAATAAGTCTGTAATTTCAAAATAAATAATAAAATAAATAATAAAATAAACCATGAGTTGACGGACTTTTAAAATTTTCACTTCCGTGAAAATCTACGTATTATAGTTTCTCCGTCTGTCTCATTTTATTAAAAAAGTAGCAGCAGCCGCAGCAGGAATTTATTTATTTTTTATCACAACTTTGAATCAGTCTTGATTTATACTCACAAGTTTAGAATTTATGATTATTTTTGCCAAGCTTTCCATTTTATTAACCTTCCTTTTACTCCATTTACTGTACGTTAGTTGGTATCAATTGATTATTATTATATTCTTATTAACAATCAGATATGCATGCAGTTCTCATCCGACGATACAATGTTGTTATTAAATATAAGATATGAGATTTTACACTCGTCGTGAGAAAGTATGTATTGCAGCCAGCCGAGTATATTTTAAAATAAGCAAGGTCATAAATTTTGCTCTAATTGTATCACACAATTAAAGGAAGTCTTCTTCGCCAGAATGAAACTTTATTTGTGGAAGAGCAGAAGAGTGAATAAGCTAATTAACTAATTAATATATCACTTTACGTTCTTCTTCTTCGTGCTCTACCAGCCCATTACATCTTTACTTTACTTTATTTACACACTCCTTAATTGACTTTAATGCCTTAATTTACTCTAATTTCACATAAAGTTAAACAAGCAAGTTTAAAATTTGAAACTACATTTAAGTTGACATTGATGACACTTGAGCTGGATTAAAGAAGTAAATAAGCGAGTAAATAAAAAATGACAGTTTGATATACATAAAAATTGTAAAAAAGTCTCACTTTCATAAAACGAAAAGTATATTTTTTTGCAAGAAAGGTATCGCATTTTTTTGGCTTTGGCTGTCGTGAAACTTGTTAAAATTACAATTATGGAAAACTACGTATGCAATTTTTTTTTGCAGATTTTTGTATACACGCTTATTTTATACTTTGGCTCACATGATACATTTTCGAGATCATCATCAGAGTGTTAAAGTATAAATTGGTGTTTTGGTCGTTATTATTATCTTTAATTATAATGCATGAAATGCAATGCTCATCATCGTCGTTATTTATTTACTTATTTCACGAACTCTTTGACCTTATGTGTTATTCATTGTTTATTTTTGTCAGATTTGTATTTATGAAAAATCGCTAAAATGTATACATATTTAATATTTGCAAAAATATTTTTTACGAAATCTGTACGAAAAACTATATAAATAGTAATTTATTCAAAATCTTTATTCTGAATTTAATGCTCTGGATTTTTTTAGATCGAATTTTTTTGAGGAAAAAAATCGTCTCACATCATTGAAATATTCACAAAATTATGTCTTTTTGAAAAAAATATGTAAAAGATTTGCGTATTTTTAAAATAATAGCGACCATATATCCGCCCTCTGTACATGATTTTTAAGGGCTATCGACAGTAGACATGTAAAAATAAAATGTTCGAAAACGTAAAAATTCTTCAGAATGGTGATCCTGAAATTACATAATTTCTGCACTGAAATTCTCCCATTTAAAGTCAATCCGACAAGTTTTTGATATCGAAAGTTGTCGAAAAAAGTAGCAACTACACGCAAATTGAAGGGTGCCAAGTAAATAAATAAGTGCAGAATAATTTTACAAAGTGAGTGAACTTTACAGATGATAAAAATGTGCCCCATAGTCATGTTTTTTGTTAAACGATCATGAACTAAAATGCACTAGTTTTCATTTCAACAAAGTTGCTTCTTGCAGTTCATTTCATTAAATGGACAAGTTTTTTTTTCAGACGAGAAGAACACAACGTGTAACTTTCTTTTAGAAGAGAAGAGATTATCGTTTTGTATAGTCTTAGAAGATTCGTGTGTCAATTTCGAAACCAAAAGTTGACGAGAAGAATCTTTACATATTTTTAATAGATCGAGTAACTGATTGTTCATAAAATTGATTTATGACCTAAACTCGTCCCAATTATTGTCGTATTACGTTTAACTTACAAATTATGAAAATTGAACTGACCACCCTGATACATACGCAAATATTGCTGATTGATTGAATCAAGTCTCAAAAGTTTTACTTTTTCATGTTATAGAATTGTGATGATGAAAGGTGAATTTAAGACGAACTTGGTATAAATATCGTACTTTTTTAACTGAGGGATAATCACGAGAGGAGAGAATAACTAAAAAATAACCAGTTTCGTCACTTAATTCTGCTTCATGCCTCGTGAGACGCGAGTAAATAAATATGTGCTCCTCCGTCTTAATTGTTAATTACTAACTGCCGAGGAGATTTCAATGCCTGTAAGCTACAATCCTTGTAATGAATGAATAATAACAAATTTTTCCTATTTGGGATCATCCGGTTTAGTTTTGCAAGCAATTTTAGAGCGAGAAAGAGGAGGACGTTTGCATATTCGATCAATTTCTCGTGGTCACATATTCATTCATGTCGTCGCGTATCAGTTTCATTTATATTTCAATCTGGAGAAATATGCCATTCATTCATTTCTTGAATTTTGCGTGCGAAATTAATTTAGTGCAAAAAAATGAATAAAATAAAATAACTGCACTAAATTAATCAGGAATTTCCGAAAACCGTCTGCGCACTGCATACAAAGATTATCGTGCCATGAGGGTGACACAGAGCTGCTCGCAAGTCTAATTGATTCTGCTAAAACAAGGTCAATTTACATTAAAATCGAGTTTGACGAGTAAAGAAGTACATTTCTCAATAGGTCTGGTATGCAGTTCCTGAAATGACGGTGAAGGATTAAGAAGTCTCATGTTTGCATGTTTTCTCATTCCATACCATTGATCACAACATTTCCATGCTACAGATGTATGTAGCAACCCTATTAAAAGTGGTTCATGAAATTAACCTTAGCCTTTTCTCGTCATTTTAATTTTAAAAGATAATTTGTGAGGGCAAGAACGCACCCACGACTCCACCACCAAAAGTTCAGGTTAAATTGCATGTTATTGCAACCAAAATAACAACAATGTCCATATTTTTGCAGTAACACCAACCACGAAGCATTGTGTTGCAGGACGTCAAGAAACATGATTTGAATTATCCTGCTGGTTGGTGGTTCATAGGTTGCAGATTCAGATTCAAGGTAATAAATAAACATGTCAGAGTTGACACACTGGCGAAAAGATGGCCGATCTCGGGGTATAAGGTCGCTCGGCGTGGTTTAACGAAAATGGAAAACGCTTCTCATATTTATTATATGAAGCGTTAACTTGTTGCCATTATTTTGTGGTGGAGTGGAGGTGCATCGATTTGATATAATAGCAACAATAATATGCATGTACGATATGTTGCGTTTCTCTCGTCTAATAAGTAACTACATATGCTTTTTCATTCATTCATCATCCACCAATTTCTTTAAAACCGATGATGACGGAATGACACGGCTGTTTAAAAGTCCAAAATCTGGTTTTGAGGATGGTCTTAGTAGGGAAATAGGTCAAATCATGAACAAGAAGAGTCTTGACTTGGATTTGAACTATGCATGCGCTGCATTTGTAAACGCATTGCAGAAGAAAAATAACAAATTAATGGTCACATTAAAACTAGGCATCAATAGCTAATTGAGATGACAAAACCGAAAATGCACAATTGGTGAGCAACATTTATCTTTTTATCCTATTCAGAATGTCTTCAAATTAATATTAAACAACTTTTTCTGTTGTGGGGCTTACAAAGGATGGAACTTGTCGATTATGATAAATTGCACTCACGTAAAGGTTTAAAATTCTATAATCTGGCTAAGCAGGAAAGAGTTGAAAAGTGTTATTGTTGCAGAGAAGCCAAAACCAGATTCATAGATATTTTTGAAAGCAACAATACTTACTTTTGTTCATACATACATGGTTTGTTAGATCTTTTTTGTATTCGTCAAAACAATTGATTTTTTGACAGGGGGCATCATATTGATGAATTATTGGTGATGATAGAAGTGTAATGAACTGTCGACTGATTATTAGAAGAAAGAAATCTCTAAAATGGTTGGTTTTGAAGATATTTGCAAAATTTGGATTGAGGTAGGTTGTGGTGCGGCAATTTTGCTCGGACAGTCATCATCATTAAATGGGAGAAAATGACCCTAGTTTATTACAACCATCACGAATATCATACATACGTTTTTTAACGTACAAATAAATTACATATAAAATTCGCACAAGGCGATGAGCTTTATGTAATTCGAATTATCCTACAAAAATTCTGTCTTACAAAAAATTACATGATACCCAGAAAAAGGAGTTAACTTTGGTACAAAATTAAATTTCAAGGGGTGGTCCACGCATCATCGTCGGTCAATTTTCTTTTAACTCCTGCCGTTTGCAGATGAGACGATAATGAACTAGGTGTTCCATATTGGATAAGTGGGGGATTTACTCCACCTAATTAATAATAAAACAGTTAGGCAATGAGCAATGAATTATATATAAACTTAACGTTTAAGTTAACACTAACTAATAATTCTTCCAGGATTTTGAGGTGTTTTAAATACTGAAGACCCAGGTAACCGGACATTTGCTGAAGGAGGGTGCGAATTACTGCTTGCGACAGCTTTCTTGTAAAATTCCAAATGATAATTGGGCTGTGTTAGACAGAAACGGTCGGGAGGAAGGCGAAGGCCTGAAGTTGATTTTAGCAATGGGAGTGGCTGACTATTTTTATTTTTTGCAAGTTCTAGCAGCATCTGCAATTAACAAAGTGCAACAATGAATAACAATAGTGTTACAATTAGATGATGTAAAATTTTGGGATGCGACATTTTTTAATACAAATTGTGACACATCTTACTTCTCTTGGGGGAATAGTCGTGAATGATTTATTCGTCGTCATTTTCACTGCAAGTTTTATGTCGTCTATATCAATCGACTTTTTCTTGGCGTAAGTAGAATAAACTCGAGCCTCCTCCACAACATTTGTTACGTATCCTATACAAAATTATAATTTATACTGTTATCATTGTCCAACAGCAAAATAAATAATATATAAATTCTTCTTACGATACACAAAATCCAACATTTGGTTTATCACTCTTGGTTCGTGTAGGGTTACACCCATTTCTTTGAGAAGGCTCTGCATCACAATGGCGTCCCTGGGCAATTGCTTCGTTGTCGTTGAATGACCGGCCGCCCCTGGACCAGGATTTGACGACGCCATATTTATCCCGTCTACACAATCGAGACCAAAATAACATAATTAACATTTTGTGTTTCATTTTTATAGATAATTTTGCCCATTTTAAATTTAAATCCATAATACGAATGCCAATTGACAATTAAATTTTAAAAATAATTTTAAATATCACTCTAAAACGTTGTTTGAGAATTCCACAATCAATCCTTCATTTCAAATTTGAAAATATCAATGCAAGAATTTGATTGGAGTTATATTTAAATTTGTGTAAGTGTAAATTGAAAAAGTTCTGCAATAAATTCGAAATTTTAATTTTAAAATGATAAATTAATTTCCAGTTGAAATTTAAAACTGCAGCAAAAACTGAATCTTACCACTGAATTTCTGCACAGTTTCTGGATAATTTTGTTGCACTCAATAAAATTGTAAATATTAAATTTGATTATTTTTCAGAAATTTCGGAAAAATCAAAGTTTTCTTGTGTTGATTTGGCTGCCCCGGAGCATTCAGGTTTGATTTGCATGGAACGCGGTAGAAAGTTTTGTGCGATTGTGTCGTTTGATGCGTCTCCTCTGCCTGTGCATTCGAGAACACGTTCTTCTCTCCGGTCTTTGTTTTATTTCACTCTAATTTGACTAATTATCTCCCAAATAGTTAGCAAATAATTAACAATTTAGACTTATCTGACAATAGTTATCTGAGTAGGGAATCTCACTCACCTTTAATCGCATGACTGACTAAATAGACCAGTTTTCTAGAAACTGGTGGTGCTTGATTGATTAATAAGTTTGCGTAGACAACGAATATTCGTACGGAAAAGTTTTTCGAACAGTTTTCTGCAGGGCAGAACATAGTTAAGCAAAATGCTCAAAATAATATGCACGAGCTCAGAAAAACCAAGTAAGTACAAGTTTAGTTCGAAATTAAAGCATAAATATTAAGGCATTAATTCACATTTAATTAATTTGTAGGACAATTTGTCTTGACGGTCGGTAAAAAATACAAAGTTGGGAGGAAGGATTGTAGCATTGATTTTCCAGATGATCAGTCCATCAGCCGACATCATGCAGAAATTGTTGTTGAGCACCCCATGGCGAATATGGTAAAAATTACAATTTATAATCATTATAAATTATAATATAATGTAAACAAGATCGTATTGAGTTTAGTATTCAACTGTTAATGGACAATGTTTTAGACGGACCCACTTCTCACGCCCACCGTTGTCGTTACAGATGTGGGAAGCAAGTTTGGAACGTTTGTGAATGATGGAATTGAGAAAAAGTCAAAAATGGCTATGCGAGAAGGTCTCAATCTTATTTAACAACATTTATTAACAATTTTTAACAGCAATTTTTCACTGTTGTTTCTAGGTCTCAATCTTTCGCCAGGCGATCGATTCAAATTTGGATTGCAGTGGAACGAATACCGGTAATGAATTAATGCATTAATTAGTTTTAGTCATGTTAAATTAATTAGTTAATTAATTTGGAGGATAAGATTTTCATGTATTTAGCTTGTTTCTTCTAGAATTGAATATACTCCACTAATTGCAAGCGTATCGGGATGCAAGGGGGACGAGCTTCACAAATTGAAAACTACAATCATGACTCTCGGTGGACACCTGGTCCCTGAATGGACATCAGAGTGCAACCTTTTGGTCATGGACGACTTAGAGTTGACTGCAAAAGCAGTCTGTGCTTTACTGGCAGCTAAGCACATCGTCACCCCGGTTTACTTTCAAGACTTGTTGATGGCCCTAAAAAATAATAAGAGGCCTCCAAATCCTATCGACTTTCTTCCACCCAAGGGCGACATGGAATTAAATGTTGACGGGACTTTCGAGCCCATAACGGGACGGTCAAAACTGTTTGCCGACAAGGTTTTCGTCTTTGTTGGGGCGAAACACTTTAACAGGATGTCCGCGGCTGTCGAAGCAGGAGGTATTTTTTAATTTATAATAATTATGCTCAATTAAAAAGTACAAGTAGAGAATCGGTTGTTTGTTACTGTCATTCATTCTTGGTTTCATGTTTAGGTGGAACTGCTAAACTATTTACAGATGTCACCATCAAAGATCTTTTAAAAGATAACTACATATTGATGAAGCCTAGTGACACCCAAAACATCATCTCTGATTCAAAGGCCAAGAGTACAATAGGTTCGTATAAATTCAAATTATACCAATAACTAATATGCGTAGCTTTTATCATGACTCGAACAATGTATTTATTTCTAGCAATGTACCAGAAGACGAAACGGTTGATCCATGATTCAGAACTAGGACTGGCAGCTCTGTACTTGAATGCAAATTGGCACTGCAATCCATACCATGAATTCAATGATAATGAAACACTTCCCAAGCTACCACAGACTCAAAACTTGGATAAAAATCCCGTTCTTGTTCCACCCACGCAGGATATGGAGACCCAGTTATCGGATACTACAAAATCTAATAGACGCAATGTCGTGGAAGAAACTATTCTCGAAGACAAAGCACCTGGAAGAAACCCTAAAGTAAAAACAGAACGGACGACGGAAAGCGAACCCCCATCGAAGAAAAGGTGCGATTCTAATTCTGATTCTTCTTAAAAACATTTGGTTTATTTTATAGATTTGTCACGATATATAATTATTACGTGTATTAATAGTTATTGATGAAAATGAAAAGACTTCCTTTAAATAGTAACAGCGTTTATATTAATTTGTTATATCATGTTATTCTTTTTCAAAATAATAAATCGAATTTTGAGCTGTTGAAATTCAAACTTGACCATAGAAAAGTATAATTAACGGATTCCTTAACATACATTACATTCTCATTCATTTTTTATCATTTCCTAATTTGCTTTATGTTCTTTACTTCAGACCTGCTGAAGAATCATTGCCAAGAACCGCTAGAGAGAAACGTCTTCGACAAGCAGCGGCTCCACGAGGATTAAGTTCCATATTTGGATTTAGTGATGATGAAGACGATGACGAGGAAATTATAATTCCAGACTCTCCACCACCACCAAAGACTTACGTATTAATAACTTATTCAAACTCATTTCCATGTCATATTTTAGCTGTCATAATTCTCATTATCATTTATACATGCTATGCAGAGTATTATGGAGTCGTCTATGCAGGGAACTCAGGAACCAGATAATTTGAATACTTCTGACATCGCTCATCCACCGCCTCGTTCTCCTGACATGTTTGAAAGCCATCCTCCAGTCTTCAAATCTCCTGAGCGAAGAGCGACACGCTCAAGTGCTCGAACTTCCCCACAAGTCGCAGTAATTGAACCGGTCGTGGCACCCACATCACCCGTATCCAGTCGGTCCACTGGGCGAAACAAACGAAAGATTGATGTGTCCCCAGAGACATCGCCCGTCAAAATTGAACCTCAATCTGGGAACAAGAAACAAAAGTCAAGCAAGAAACAGTCAAAGGTTGACAGTGAAAATTTGGTAGAGAAAGCAGAGAAGGTGATTGATTTGTCATTATAATTTCGTCGGTATAACTTTATTTTAGTTATAACTAATTGGTTTGTTTTTTTTATTAAGTTGACAATTAAGTCAGATATTAAGGATGAAGAGAAGAATGACGGTGACGATCTGCCCAAGCCTGTCGAAGTACTCGAGCGGTTGCTCAAAGGACCCAAGATTAAACCAACACTTCAAGTCGTTAATGGAAAAACTATCCTGAATTTCAAACAGTTTAAAAAGGTTTTACCACTCGGAATGCAGCAAAACAATGCAAGCACTGCCAGTGAATCGTCGCGATCGTCCCGATCATCGCGTCTGGCTGGTGGGACGAACGTCTCCAATCGAAGCTTCCAATTGACTTTCGAGGTCTTTGAGTACTCTCCACGACCAGGTGGCCACAAAGATGCTGACTCTGATAGGGGAGATCGTTACAATGACTACGACGATCGAAACGAACGACAACCGCCTCAAATTAAACGAAGAGTAACGCGAGATACAGAACCTGCCGAAGAAGTTGAACAAATGGACGTTTCTCTGCCCCCGTCGTCAAATGAGAACCCTCCTGGTAATAAGTCATTTACATAGAAATTATGCTTTTAAATAATTTGTATAATCATTCAATTTTATTAATGCTCATAATTATTTTACAGATCCAAGAGCTAGCCGAAGAACAACTCGTGCCACCAAACCAGAGCTGCCACCACCAAAAGAAGAGCCACCGCAGAAGCCCAGCGAATCGGGACGAGCTTCACGAAGTCAAACCAAGAAGGCCATTGCCATTACACAAGTATTAATCTCCGATGACGAAGATGAAGCTGGGGATGATTTGTTCCAATTTTAGCTAATATTGATAAACAAACTAGGCATATCTATATCATATGTCTTACTACTAAAACTCGTGCAAAAATAAATTAAACCTCGCACCCCGTATCAAAGACTTGTAAATTATTTTCATTAAATTTACTACTTAAAACATTTATTTATGACACAAATAAGGCACTTTTTGGCATACATCTCTGACTATTATTCGTACAGAGGACACGTTAAGCGGTAAAATATATGTATATTGATGATGCTTAATCTACATATCAATTATGTACATCATCCCATTTACTTAATTATATATATTGCTATTATTGTAAATTAAGTAAAGCTTTATATTTCTGTTACAAAAATGTATCTAGGTAGGTCGACTGCTGTATGTACATGATAAGAGAGGAACAAACAATTTACATGGAAGGCGAATTGTTCGCATCCTTCGGAGACGACCCACCACCACCCGGATGACTTTCTCCATTAGATCCATCATTAAGTATCTTCGACTCCTCCTGAACCATGTAGGAAATCCCGTCGTGACTCGTCCCCATTTGCTGCCCCGTGGGTGTGGTTGGTGAGCCGGTGTAGAACGTGGCATTGCAGCCACCCCCAGAATCTGACCCATTTCCAGACACAAACATACCAGAGTAGGTCGCATACAGGTTTTGGGGATGATGGTGAAACGAGTAGGGTGGCGTTGGTTGCTGGGGACCCCCACTGCCAAGGTATCCCTGTGGGGACACCCCGACAACGTCCTGTCCCCCATTGTACCCTCCACTGCTGCCGTAGGGTGGCCACTCGTTTTGCGGTGGGGGAGGGAGCAGGGTGGTGTGCACGGGGGCAAAGTTATTGAAACTGAGGGAGGAACCACCTAGAGAAAAATTGAGGTCTGTTTTTAGAATTTGGGGTAAAGTTTTTATTATTGGCAAAGTCCTCAACGATATCATTCAGATACACGCACCTGGATTGGTTGCGACATAAGTGGCCGACTTTCGGGGTGGTTCTCGCTTTCGCCATTTGGCTCGTCGGTTCTGAAACGGTAAGATAAGATATGGGTCACTTGTCATAAAATGGATAGGGAGGTGGTTACCTACCTGAAACCAAACTTGTACTCTTGATTCGCTAAGGCGAAGTCGTATTGCTAATTCTTCTCGGGCAAAGACGTCTAAAGGGGAAGGTGCAAAAAAGTTGCGAATTGAGTCCTGATTTGAGTTTGCATTTGGCACAATTTGTGCTTACCTGGATAAGGGGCTCGTTCAAAGGCACGTTCCAATTCTTCCAACTGATATGCAGTGAAAGTTGTCCTGAAATGGTAATAAAATCGCAAATTATAACTTTCTCCATCGTAATACAAGATCGATCTAATCCTACAGTGAAAGTTAACGAGGCAAGTTGAGACAGAATTCGACAAAAATGAAGACTGGGGTAAAGTGATAATTGTCTCAATTTGAGCTCACCTCGTTTTCTTCTTCTTTGTCGTATTGTCCACTGATTTCTTTGATTTCTCCTTTTTATTGGAGGACGTGTTGGTTTGTGGGGTTGGTCCTTGTTGTTGCTGTTGAAGTGATAGTGCAGAAATACTGCTCAAATATCCGTTCCCCATTGAGTCCTGCATCAGTCCGCCTCCCTCCTGTTTTATCATTTGGTACGGAAAGTGGGCGAGGTTGATGGGGCTGCCGGACGATTCTTGAGAAATGTGACCTCCTCCAGCTGAGGGAGAGGTTGTGTTGGGGGTCATGAGGGGCATTTGGGAGAGGTCGGGATACTGCAAGATAATAAAAAATGTTGAGAAAAAATAGATTTCTCAAAGTGCCCCCATACATTTTATATAATGATCGTTAGTGTTTCATGAACAAACTAAATATGCTGTTTAGTGTTTCATTTTGGACGTCCTAAACTACTTTTGGGCTTGACATCGTCAAAAATGTCCAAAAGCGTCAACTTTCTAAAAGGGGTGCAAAATGTTACAAGTTATTTCTTAATGACTTTTTTGCAAATCTATGGACAGATATGCAAAATCCCATTAATTTTGAGCACTTCGTTTGGTGCTTAATACCACGAGATTTTGAAAAACTTTTGTTTTAACATGTTTTCTTATGAGAAATTAGGAAATTGCCTAAACCATGCCGTATTTGACACCAAAATGCTCAAAATAAATCCGAGGTTACACGTACATAATGTACATGTCATTATTGAAGGATTCGATAATGACAAAGATTCGATAAAGCTTGTAAAATTTTGCCCCATTTTATATTTTGGACACTTTGGACGTCAATATTCAGTGTCCAGAACTGGGTAAAACCGGTTCCGGTCAGAGTGGTTAAAACCAAAGCGAAAGCCTGAGTTTGATAACAATATTGTTAGTAACTATATATGCCTTGGTAATCTTCACTAATCACAATTCTTAAATAGAAACGGTTTTAAAAATAATCTTTCTAAAGAAAACACAAAATTCATGAATCCAATTACAGAAATCTAAGTAAAATTCCTTACTTGGATAGTATGAAATCCACCTCCATTATTGCCTCCTCCTCCACCACCCCCCTTATTATTCCCACCCGCCATGAGACACACGTTGACGCTGACGTGGCTATGTTCCAGGTCATGGTGACCCATGTGGTACAACTTTCCCTCATTATTCCCCCCGTTCACCTGTTGTTGGGGATGGTGCAGGTGGTGATGATGATGATGATGGTGTGGTGGATGGCTTTGATGCTGCTGCGGGTTCGGCGAGACAGGTTCGACAAGGTCTTGCTGACCGATGGAGATAAGTTGATGATGCGTCACGCCATGTGGTGGTTGTGGTTGTGGCGGCGTGGGAGTAGTCGTCGGTGACAAGTTGTGCCCATTAATGAAACTGTGACTTTGTTCCAGTTCGGGGAATAGGTTACAATTGTCGTCCAAGGAATGGCCTTCCATAATGTAAATTGTTGCTGAATTGATCAGAATTAAAAGTTCAATTCTCACTAATTACGAGTGAGGAGGAGGACTTATTGTTGAATGCACTATATTTACTTTACACCAAGTATTGATGAATTGGACTAATTTACGCTGTGTTATTTAGCTGAGTGATATATAGATCGGGTGGCGTGGATGGATGGGTGTTTCGCTGATTGAAGGAAGTTAGTTAAGTTTAGGTTAGTTTAAGCAATTATTTTGATTATTTAGCAGGATTATGATCCCATTTCGTTTCCCTACAATCAAATCAATTATCGCCAATCAGACAAATTTCAATCAGGGGTAAGTACTAATAATACGAATTCTTCGTAATAGATACGATGGGGTAATACTAGGTCTTCTTAACTAGGACTAGGAGGACTGAACTTAACGATCAGGAGTGACTGACTGATTACTCAAATCAAGCCAACGAGGTCTAAATGCTTCTAATCAGTGACCAACTCGCTAAATATGGAACTGGTGGTCACACACAAGCCATCTCCCATAAAAGTCGGGCTGCTGGAGGCGAGATGAATTGGCCCCATGATGTTACATGTACGGAAAGATCACTGTGATCATTTTTGTTATTGAAGAGAAAGGCACACAAAATGCAGGATGATGAGACTCTCACTTTCTCACCAGTTGCACATATGCATAGTGAAAGTTGGGCAGAGTGGGATGGGAAATGGGCGTTGAACACAAAGAGAGTCCAGCCCTTTGGGGGAGTTGCATGGGTACAACGGCGTGAGCAGATTTTCATTTATTCGTAAAGTTGAGGATTTCTTTTACTTTCACTTTCGTAAATGGAGCATTAAGATAATTCATTAATTGGTGTATATTTAAGGATGTGTTCTCAAAATGGGGATATAATAATTAATAGAAATAGCATGAATTTTATGTAATATTCCATTTCAAACTCGAGTTTCAATAGTTGTAATTCTTTTTCAGAAACAATACAGTTCTATTTTTATTGTGTCTTGTGTAGAAGGTTCGATCCGTCCTATTTTTTGAATTTGGAGATTTGTTTTATAAAGCTGACGAACAAAGTTTTGGGAAAAAATATTGGAGGTTCCTCCACTTGCACCAGACGAAATTCATACTCTGACCAGAACGTTCTAAAGGAAAAGTTCCTAGTCAGTCAACTACATACATTTTTGTACCAATTGTACGGATACAAGACTTAATTGGTGAGCTCATTGAGCCAATTAAGCTTTCGTGGTATATAAATTGACAGCAGCGACATGCCCAACCGAGATGCATCATGTCGTAGAGAAGAGATGCAGTACTGTCGACGCAGCCACCCTCCGCGTAAAATGCTGTTGTTCATCATTACATATGTACATTGTTCAATTGGTTTATTGGCATCCTTCTCGCAATTTATGTTTTGAGCTTACCAGTTAATGGACACAAGAAGTGTCTAGAAAATTTTCCATATTTCATCCTGCCCTGCCAAACGACGTGTGCTGTGAGATTGTCTGAAATCGTTCATAATGTCTGGAATACGCAGGAAGGAAGATTTTATCTTCCCACAGAACCATGGTCTCAAAGTTACATAAGTACAGATTCTGTATTTAACAGTGCATACGTTGACTGGGGATGAGTGATGGATACAAAATACAGAAAATAAACTGAAGTGGTCACTTGTTGTCGCATGTCTCTTTTTTTCCTCGTCAATTGAAAACTTCCTTTTCCAACTTACATATACCCAACTTATATATATTTTTGATCGCGCATATTACGTCGTCTGCGACTGTCGACACACGCTTCAAAATTATGAAATGTAAATCAACATGTTTCTAGATTTTAAAAAATAAATTCTACAAATAACAGAATTAAATATATTATTTATGTGCCTTAAAAAACTGAAAGGATTAATATATTTAATTCCTGATATTGATAATTACAAAGTCTCATGAAATGTCCACGCCAGAAAAATGATGTGTGCAACGTGACAATATCAGTGATGATCTGACATTTCACCCTTTCGCCTCTCTGAATGAAATCCTCTCCTCTAAATCCGATAATTTCATCCGATTTTGACATTTCATCCGTCATTAGACAATAATAGGGTTTAGTTTTTTTAGGTGTAAACGGTTGCACTTTTAGAAATCGCATCAAATCATCAACCACACTCAACCTCAATTAAATATCAACTATGCTTGATCTTTTAAACTCTTTTTTTTATAAAAAAGAGAAGCATGCAAGCACGAGTTGGAGATGGATCTTAATCGAAAGGGTTGATTTGATGGGTGGTGCTTTTTAAAACCAATAGTTCCAAACTGGAGCATTTCACTCCCCATTGACGAATGTACACACATTTCATGGGATGAGAATCAGGGAGAGTGAACTTTACTTATTTTAGTGGACACAATAATTGATGATGAAAAACATACGGTGTAGACTTCATTTAGCCCGACATTTTTGTCCGAATGACCGAAAATAGGTAGGGGTTTCACTGGTTTTTCAAAATTTTCTCAAAATTTTCCTACTTTCACTTCAGAAACTTTCATTATAAGCCATTATCAATCTGTATGCCAAATTTCAGCTTTCTACTAGTAGCACAATTTTGAAATTTTGTTACATAATGCCCCACCTCCTTTACATGACCCCACCGGTCAACCCCTTGACCTACCCCTTTTTTCATCTTTGAACTTAACGCCTACCTTTGTCCAACATGCCTTTGTGCAAAATTTGAACTCAATCCCTTCATCCGTTTTTTTCCTATCGTTTCCTCGGACGGACAGACATGTCGATTCCATAAGCCCTTCCTCGAGCTAAAAACTTATCATGCTAAAGTAACCTCTGGATTAAATCTGATTTGACTGATAGTTGTGGAAGGGGTGAGCCCACGACAGGATTCATTATGTACGTCCGAGTGTGAAAGATGCCAATGACTGGTTCCCTTATTCCACCGACACCACCAGCAGAACGACTGCCATCAAGTAGCCAATTTACCAGCATTTTTACCCCATTAAAAGAACACAATGTCCATGTCAGTCAAGGATCCCTTTTATCAAGTCAAGAGTAGAAAAGAGCCACGAGCAATTTTTATTTCACACAGTCTGCTCCCTGTCACCCTTCTCCCTCCGAGGGCCCCTTACATAACACGACTTTAACCAAGTCCTCCCTACTGCTCACTTCATAAAATGCTACATCCATTGGTAATAAATGATCTTGTAAAAACAGTCGATGCGTATGTGTGTGGTGGTAGCCCAATTTTTTCACTCGTGTAAAACAATGAAGCAAAAAATCCTGTTTAATGATCCTTAATTGTGGATGAATGCAGAATACGTAATTTGATCCTGGTTAACCCCAGTGCACGCGTTGATACAATTTATTACTGTTGATTGAATAACTGGCAAAAGTTAGTGAACCTTTGACTGAAGAAAATTTTACTCATGAATTATTTTAATGTGAACCTTTCAACATTTATGACCCAAAGCAGGAAACATTTGCGATTTTTTCCTAATTTTTATATTTTCTGGTATCGATGTTCCTTCCGGTTAAGGGGATAAATAAAGTTTGGACAAGTTTTGCTGTCGGGTATAAACTTTTTGGTTCGAGAGGAGCAAAGAAAAAAATATATGCGCAAGATCGCACAAAATTCCCACGATTTCTCCATCCAGTAACAACAATACCCGTACTTGTACGAAATACGCATCTACTTAATTGTAGAGAAACACGAGACCAATAGATTCCATTCTTCTCATTAACAATAGATTACATCAAGAGAGACACGAGCAGCTCCTCTCTAAAATCATGAAATCTTATCTTCTCCTCAATCCTACAACAATAATTTATCCTGCACCAGCGAAAATGTAGATATTTAGTATCTCATCCACCCTTAATAGTTCGAATCTCACTAGGATAATAATGTCTCATCCGTACATTTGAAAATTAATTGATGAACTGCGACACGCTTTGAATAATAGAAGGAAATATGTACATACGTACATCTTCATCATGTGTAGTTTGTCCCCAAACTATAAACCGGAGAGATCGTACCTTTGATTTCAAGACCAACCCACAGTAGTCATCTCACGAAGATAGTAAAATGGATAAAATTGAATACTACAAAACATGTACATAATTGAACAATTTGACCCATGTCGTACCACTATTATTGAGCTAAACTTGAGTACACTTTTTATTTAAGGGGACAACAAGGGTCCTCAAAACCCAGTAGGAGGTCAACTCCGAATCCCATGCATGAACAAAGTTTCCAACCACTTACAATAACAATACTTGAAGTGAGACGAATTTATGTATAAACAATGTATACACGTGTATGTACAAACTCTTAATAAGCATCTAGACTTAAAAAAACCTGCAAAAATTCATAGCATGCACGTAAAAACTTTTAAAGGTTTCTGCAACTCTTCTAACTGGCGATAAATTTGCAACTCTTCTAACTGGCGATAAATTTGCAACTCTTCTAACTGGCGATAAATTTGCAACTACATAAATACTTGATATCTCTGCCAAAGTTCAGCATTTTGACGTTTACAATAATATCTTGGGTTACGTACTTGTCAGAGGATAAGTGGTTATTCACTTGACACAATAAATCTAAAGTTTCTCGTTTTGATCTGATTATGAAAGAGTGAAGGGCTTTTATTCATCTCCATCCCTTTTGTTGACTGTGGGAAAGGACACGCGACCCGGCACGGGGATCAACAAAGCTGGTCGTTCAAAGCCACAGCCACATCCGATCCTCCGATCCACCTTTCACTCTGTTGTCCCATCTCGTTAAAATTCGATAATGTGATGTAATAACTAGATAATTGTTAGAAACGAAAATTATGTAAGGAAGATATTGGAAAAATGGTATGAAAATATGTTTTCGAGAAATGAAATACCACGTTGGTGAAGGTTAAGAGGTCTGCATAAGACACATTTGTAATGGTGGATAGGTTGCTATTATATACAGTTTCAATGTGAACAATGGTGGCAACGACCTTTGAAAAGCCCTTATTAAATAGTTAGGAATGGGCATTTAAAAATAGTCTTCCTTAAGTTGTGAAAGCCATATTTATGAAAATAGAATCGGGGTGGCTTCATTTTGGTTTAGTTGACTTTTGGATGTTAGCAACTAGCATAATCGAGCAAATCATTTTAAATTGCATATTCCAGAGATATAATCACTGTCGGCGAATTATCTTAACATCACTATGTGTTTCAAGACATACGAAGAAATTCAGGTATTCATCTCATTTCTAAAATGCTAATTGTAGTGGAGCCAGTCTTCAGTCCTATCATTTATTGCAAATTCATAACTAGATGTAATATAGTTTTCACCATGTATGCTATGATTTGCCTCATTTATAAGGTATTCATGCAAATTGCCCAGCCATGGTTTTGTGGAAATGTGAGCATTTTATTGCCAGTCTTCCGTGAAAACTCCTTTAAACTACACACTGCGGTTTTGAAAGCATTATATTACTTTTAAAATATTACTTTAAAAAATAAGGTTCCATACACGATGGCAAGTGTCATTCAGGAGATTCGATTACGTACGTTAAGCATTATAGACTTATATATACGCATATATACATACATACCTTGGCAATATATAAGAATGTATTTTTTGATACTAGGCATCCAACAAAGAAACACTGCTGCCAACGCTGCTGCCAACGCTGCTGTCAACGCTGCAAGAGTGGCTGAGAGAGTTGCACAGCTCAGAGAAATTAAGGCAAAAATCAAGATCATTGCTGATGAAGTTACAACTCTGGGCAATCTTATACGATTCACAGGTATGTATTTTGTTATCAATTATTTATCTTCCTTTTCTCCAAATTGAATTTTTATTGTTACAGATGATAATAAAACCAAGAAGGACCTCCTGGCGGAGAAAAAGTCCCTAGAGGATGAAAACACAACAAACATCAGTGATAAAGAAGCAAAAATTGCAGAGATCAAGATCCTAAAAGCGGATTTCGTCGATTCAGACGAAATCTAAGCACTTCATATGTATCACGATACTTAATGTAAGAAATTAATGAAATTTTCCTAAATAGTGTATAAAAGTTGGAATAACATCTCCGAATTTGCTTAAATTTAAAACATTTACTTGATTCGTCGTTTTTATTAAAATACATTCTTTACATTCATTAAATCATCTTAATGGTCTAGAAATTTCCTCCCTAGAGCTATAGAATTAATGATAACCTCATTGTCTGGATCATACTGTTGAAACTGTTCGAAATCCCCAAAATCCTCTTGGCTAATTGGTTGATAGATAAATTCCCGAAGTCCAGTTGAACATCTTGCAGCCAGGATTGCCCCAGGTTTCATAATTTTGTAAAGATGACTTATAATTTCCCTTTTCTCCTGTGCATTATTTCCAACAAGGGCCGCCATATAGACAACATCCGCATTATGAAGGGTCTCAATATTCAGAGCAGTGCATTGCACAAAATTAACCCTGTTCTCCAAACCGTACGACGCTACGATCCCCGCCCCCATGACATTGGCTTCCTCGTTGTGATCATAATTAACAATTTGTGCTGATTGGTGCAAATGCTGCAAGACAACGATCGACGTAAGTGGCAAAGGTCCCGAACCCACGATGACGATTTCCGCAATTTCATCAACAATTTTTAACGGAAAAATGTACTCGGCTAAGCATTTCATTTCAAATTCGACGAGGAGTTGATAATTTTCATAATACATGAAATCACTCAGCTTTACGCCATACAGGATGACACGTCTTGCAAATTCAACTTCAAGTAAGTACTCGGCCACACTGCACTTCTCGACGACAAGGGGTTGCAAAAACTGGACGGTGGGATCCAGCAAGATTTGAGACACGTCGAAAGGGGGAAATTCTCGAACGATGTGGACCAGTCCACTGAAAAGGGCGTTGGCTATGGGTCCTGGAGCTAGGTCACGATCCTCCAGTTGAGATATGGCTGTGCCCAGTTTGATTATGTGTTCCAAGTACCAATCCTGGTTTTTCATGGCAAAATAATGCGTAAAATTCTGTGGTCAACTTTGGTTTTATAAAGATTTCTGTATATCCCGAACTATAAAGTGCATAATTGTCGAGTTTGTCAAACTGTTTTATCAAATACAATGATTTTTCATTTTGAATCATGATTTAACTGTGCAAGGTGTAATATAATATCAATTTGAATTTGACCACAGTGACAGATTCGAAAACTAAATAGATCGGGATATACATACGAAACGGAAGGATGTTCTTTGATACTTTGTTAATTAATGTATGATTTTGCGAGAAGAGTCGATTCTGTACGTGTTACACCGTCAAATTACAGTAAGAAAGAACAAATAACAGGTAAAAAAGTTCTGATACGTGAGCTCAACATACATACATAGGCAGACCGATTTTAAACTTAAGCCTTATCTTAAGTCGGGTCTGGTATTGGTATATCAATCAACGCAAAGTGGAGTAACTTTACCTTAATTATTATATATGTACACGTGAACAATGAGCATACAAAGTTTCATTCAAATGCAATGGATTTGTGGGTCAAACCTTACGCATTTTTTAAAAAGATAACAGAGTTTTTAACATGATGTCTGGTCTGCAATCCATTTAGCTGGAAAAAGGTGGACGTGAAGTGCATCACATAGTCGAAGAGTCAAAGCGTCACCACATTTCTACATCGGCCGATTTAAAATGCAATGTTTCATTCTTGCTATAGCTAATATGCACAATTAAAGATTGTCAGTTCAGTACCTTTATTGTGCATATGTACATATGTACATATTCAACTTTTGTGATATGTACCTAAACATTCTGTGGCTTACAGCAGCGATCACCATTACGCTAAATGATATGTATGATAAATGCTAGTATCCATCTCATTAATTGGAACCTAATTAATTACAAGATTTGTTGAAAATACTCTTGCAGTTGTAAGATAAAATGTACCTAAGAAATTACTTATTTTATGCGATCCTGAACTACTTCCTTGACTCCATCCAAATCTTTGTAGGCAACATTAGATAGTTTTATAACCATGAACATTTACCTTCATTTACACACCATTTATTTACCACTTACTCGTCAGTAAGTTTTCAAGGCAGTTTAAAGGTGCATTTCATGGGAACAATGCAATGCTTAATGCAATTCCATTACACAAAGTGAAATGGCATATTGTCAATGAATGAAAAATAACCCTTTCTCATTCGTGAATAGCAAAGGCGGAGCAGCATATACCCAAAAATACGGCTCAAAGTCCAATATTATTGCCAGAGAGTCGTCATAGCACATTTTATATCAGACTTTTAATAAGGAAAACCGTTTTTTGATCAGTATAAAAAATTGCATCGTATGAAATTCACACTCAAACTAACCAAAAAACAAACAACCCGTGCAATTTTATTTCATTACGCACTTTGCACATTGGACTTTGTACTGTTTTCCGCTCATATTTTACATATTAACATATCATCACGTAATCAAGTAAATGTTGCGTGCTACACAACAAGTAAAGCAAAGTACGTAAGCAAGTTTGCAACTATTTGCAAGCAATATTATTATTAAACCCCACGAGGAGTGAAACTAAAGGTTAACATACTTTTTGCCAACCAAAATACATTACTGGCATCTTGTTAAACAAGATTTGGACTCGACTCAATAACGTTATAGCGAGACCCACTATTCAGTCAGGTAAGTGCAAAGTACAAAGTTCAGTCGTAATAATAACAACAATTGTCTGGCAATTTGCATGCTTCACATTTTGCACAAACTAAATAACAGTCAGTTGACCAGAATAAGTCGGACAGATTGGTATTCTCGCAAATTTAGTGGTATCTGCTATTTTCACTGCAAAATTTAGTGATTGAACTCAGTTTAGTGAACTGATTAGACTAAAAGCCATTCATTGAGTTGTTCATTCATTCAGTATTATACAAGAGGGATAGCAAAATAATACGAGTTATCGGGTACATAGTTCAGTTATATTAGCTTGATACGCACAATTTGTCGTGTTAAATACTTTCTGACAATAAGTTACACAATTTAGTGTGTAATAAAATTGAAAAGTTTCGAAAGCTAAAGTTTTCATTATTGTTTTTCTGTCTGTGTTTCAGTTGGGTGACAAAAATAAAAGAAACAAACGACTTTTTGACTATACATTTTTAATTCACTTGCGGAAAAATGCATCGCTTCCCCAGTTCCAAGTTGGTCTACGCAATGCAAAATGCAGTTTGCAGGAATCAAGTAGTAGTGGTTGCATCGTCAAGGTATGATTATATTAAAAATTGCAAAACCTCATTATTTTTATGGGTAATAATTTTAATATATAAGTAATTAATCTGAAATGTATTGCAGATTGGCTTCCACTTCTCCTGCAATCGACGACAAGATGAAGGCAAAGGCGGATAAAATGTCGAAAAAGGCTCCAGAGTCGAAATCATTTGCTGTTAACATGTTCCGAGGGAGTGTCGTTGCAGAACAAGTATTTCCATATCCGGACGACATCATGTCGGCTGAACAACGTGAGACGTTAGAAATGTTGGTGACACCGACGCAAAAGTTTTTCGAGGAGCAGAACGATCCTGCCAAGAATGACGAAGCCGCTAAGGTTGCGGATTCTACGATGCAAGGATTAAAAGAAATGGGAGCATTTGGTCTTCAAGTAATTAAATTGATTTTGTCGTCCTCGTCAGTCATGCAATTATTAACTGTATAATTTTTTCATGTAATTTTATTAGGTTCCAACCGACCTTAGTGGACTCGGCATGAGTAACACGCAATACGCCCGATTAGTCGAGATTGTTGGAGCGCACGACCTTGGCGTTGGAATTACCCTTGGGGCACATCAATCTATCGGATTTAAGGTATATTTAAATTAAATGCGATTAATTATTTGTATAAAATTGACCAGTGTGTTAATAATTAATTCAATTTGCACAGGGGATTTTATTGTATGGAAACCCAGAACAAAAGAAAAAGTATCTTCCTGATGTCGCTACTGGACGCAATATCGCTGCTTTTGCTCTCACCGAACCGAGCAGCGGAAGTGACGCTGGTTCCATCAAGACACGTGCGGTCCTTTCGCCAGACGGAAAACATTACGTTCTTAACGGCAACAAGCTATGGATCAGCAATGGTAATTTTTGCATGTGCAAATATTTTTTGCGATGTCTAATATTGCAATTATCTCTCCAGGCGGATTTGCCGAGATTTTCACCGTCTTCGCCCAAACGCCCGTGAAGAATGAAGCGACTGGAGTAACAAAGGAAAAAGTTACGGCTTTTATAGTGGAACGGTCGTTTGGTGGAGTTACGAATGGTCCACCAGAAAAGAAGATGGGTATTAAAGCGTCTAACACTGCCGAAGTGCATTTTGAAGAAACTAAAATTCCAGTAGAAAATGTGCTTGGCGGAGTGGGCGAGGGTTTCAAGGTGAGTTAGGGATCGGTTGGTTATTATTATTACCAATTAAATATTAATGTTAAATATAATATGGTAGGTCGCAATGAACATCTTGAACAATGGTCGCTTTGGAATGGGAGCTGCTTTGTCTGGTACAATGAGGGCTGCTATCACCAAAGCTGTGGACTTTGCCACCAATCGTGCGTAACATTTTTAAAATAGGTTCCCAAAAGGTTTATATTAATTTTACGAATAACTGACGATGCTAATCTTTCCACAGGAGTCCAATTTGGGCGTAAAATTGACACTTATGGCGGAGTTCAGGAGAAAATTGCAAGAATGGCAATGCTTCACTACGTCACAGAGTCGATGGCATACATGGTTGCTGGAAACATGGATAGAGGGTTTCAAGACTTTCAAATTGAAGCAGCTATCAGTAAGGTATGGATCATAGAAAAATGGTTAAATGTTCACTATTATTTCCGTATGTTATGAAATGATATGACGTCTCTTGTGCAGATTTTTGGTTCAGAAGCAGCGTGGCATGTCGTTGACGAAGCAATTCAAATCATGGGAGGAATGGGGTTCATGAAAGAAACGGGATTAGAACGAGTGTTGAGGGACTTGAGAATATTCAGAATATTTGAAGGCACCAATGATATTTTGAGACTATTCGTTGCTTTGACTGGTACTTATCAGAATACAACTTTTTATACACTGCTCGAACATCAATACTAACTGAAATTATATCCTTGTTAACAGGAATCCAATTTGCTGGAGCACATCTTCGTGAGCTGCAAAACGCCATGAAAAATCCTACCACGAATATGGGACTTATTTTAGGAGAGGCCACAAAAAGAGCTTTTAAATCAGTTGGTTTAGCGTCCGTTAGCAAAGAATTAGTGCCCTACGCCCACTCTAGCTTATCCGAACCCGCTGGCCTTGCATCTCAGGTAAATACACTTATAGACTACTTTAACTTCTTATGCAAGAAATTTAATTTAATTTATGAATCATTATTAGGCCGTAGCAGACATTGGAGTAGCAGTAGAAGGAGTGTTAATCAAGTTTGGAAAGAACATTATCGAGGAACAATTTTATCTAAATAGATTAGCCGAAGCCATCATCGACGCTTACTCCATGGCCGTCGTTTTGTCGAGAGCTTCCAAATCAATAGAAAGAAATCTTCCCTCCGCAGCCCATGAAACCTTAATGGCCCAAGTTTGGTGTAACGAAGCTTATGACAGAGTTCAAAATAATTTGGGTGCAATGTCCGCCCCACGAAGTCAGAAGAATTTTAAATCAATGTCTCAAATCGCAACTAATATTTGCAAAGAGGGTGGAGTAGCACATCAAAATCCACTAGGTTTCTAAATCTCTGAAACCACAATTTTTGACCGAATTAGTATAAAAATCGTCGAGAGAGCAAGAGCCCCTTGAATTAGTCTGATTTGTTACCTGTCCTCGAAACCTTGATATGTACAACCATATACATTTTGTACCACATACACCACTAAAACAATGAAGACGATTTGTGCTATATTACAACAATAATCGTATATTTTTGTGTCTTGCCATTAGCAGAATTGTATGCAAAACTGTTCAGCGTACTTATTATTACAAGTACTTCCAAAGATGAGTGTATTATCTAAAACCTTCTAATTTTTACTTTAACGCATCCCAATATTTATTTTAGCTCTCATGCATGTATTTCAAAAGCATGAATTTTAAACATTATTTATATAGGATCCATATTGTAGTGTAGACGTAATTATATGATGCGTTTTTTTAATAATGTAATAAAGAAATCATTTATTTTATGAAATGCTAATTATTTATTGCTGCAGAACTATATTTGCATTATTTAGACCATGAATATGTATTAGGGTAAATTCATGATTCATGTATGTTGTAAATTCATGATTTGTACCAAGCCAAAACACCCCAAAAAGTTCCTTGTTGGTGTCAAGCTTTGCCAAAATCTGCAGTAAACCGGGAACATGTTATTTACATGTGCACAGGCAATTGAAATGAAATAAGAGATTTTGTCGGTAAAAAAAATAAAATTAAAAGGGGCCGCAACTACCGGATAATTGCAAAATGAGTGGCAAACCTTACAAAATAGGTGAGAACGCCACCCTTGGCCGGTACTTGGTCGCAACGCGAGACATTCTCGCTGGAGAAAGCATCATTGACGAGCTTCCAATAGTCACCGGACCAATTTGCGACCAGTTAAAAATCATCCCAGGCGAAGTTGGATCTTGTCTCGTCTGTTGTGTTAAAATGTTTCAAAGCACGTACGTCTGCACCATATGTGGACTGACCTTATTTTGTTCCGAACCTTGTGGAAAGGATGAATCGCATCTCGCCCAAGAATGCAAAGTGATACAAAAATTAATGGTTCGGACCACTCTAAAATTTCCAAGTGCAAAAGAACTGCACAATTTCGTTTTGGTAATCCGTTGTTTACTGTGTCGTGTTCAATGTGAGTCGAAATGGAGTCAAATCCAGACCTTAGAGTCAAAGGTGAACGAGTTGGAGAAACTCGGCGCTTTCAAGGAGATTTCGCCTTTATTTGACCTTTTAAATTGGGAGGACTTTGATTTTGACTCGACAGAAAGTATTACAGATCTTGCGAAACATTGCCTCGGCGCTATGATTACGAATGCGTTCAGTATTTTTCTGCCTTCTTTCTCCCGACAAGGACTTTACTTCTTATCTTCGTATATGTCGCATTCATGCCGGATGAATACGGATCGACAGCTCCACCCCAAGAAGGATGGGAGGATGGTGACCAGAGCGGCGAGGCTTATCCAGGCTGGAGAACCTATAACCACATCTTATCTTGCTTGTCTTAGTGGGACGCATGAACGGTGGGTGGAGACGACGACGGGATGGAGGTTCACGTGTCGATGTGACCGATGTACAAACTCCGAACATGAAGTTGGGACGCACGTATCCACGATAAGATGTCCCCGTTGTGGAGAGCTTTCACTATGCCCTAGTGTAAAAATTAGTGGGGAAGATGGATTAAATTGGGCTTGTGTAGGTCAAAATAAGAGCTGTAATTATGGCATTGTTCAATTAAATTATGCCGACACTACGGATGAGACTTTCCCCTGGAAAATAGTGCAATATATGGAAAACATGAAGCCGAAAGATGTCAACAATTTGGACGAAGTGGAAGCATGGTTGGACAAATATTGTGACAAATGTGATGATAAGGACAGACTAATTCATAAGGATCACTGCCTCTTTATCCAGGTAAAGTTGTACCTGTTGCAATGCTATGGGCGGAATTTGGAGGGTGGGATAACTTCGTTGGATAACGTTAGACTTGTGAGAAAGTTGAATTATTGCGAAGATGTGCTCAAAATTGTGGATATCTTATTCAAAGGACTATACGAAATGAGAGGTGAGCGACAAAGTATTGGAAAATATTAAAATCATTGATATTCATGTTTTACATAATTTGTTGGATTTCAGGTGTCATCCTCTTTGAGATGTGGCTAAGTCTGAGGGAAATTCGTCAAAGACAGGAAAATTGTCAGCTAGCAAGCTATACTGACGAGAATAATCAATTTGTGGACACTTCCGACGCCAAGCTTTCCAAAATCAGTCACGATTCTGTGGAAATATTAAAGTACAGTTTTCCAGATTCACAGGAAGCATTAATGTTAGAAATTATGCAGAATTATTATTCGCAATAAAAAGTATTTTCAAATTAAATTCGAAACCTTTGCATTTTATCTTTTTGCATCATTTTGTTTCATAAAGAAATGATCACAATCGGTAAATTATTTTTAGACAAGTTGCACTTTCCCTTTGTTTTGCATTCTCAACAGCGGTAAGTATTTGTTGTTTGTTGTACCGGCAATCTCGTCACAACAAAGTTTTATATACACGAATTTTTATTGATTATACACATTTAATTTTGTATCATGATTTATAATTTAAACACTAACTTATCAATAAGTAATGATAGAAATGTTGCTAATAAGAAGCAGTTATAATAAACAGTTGTACAAAACACGTATCCATATACGCCAAGGAAGAAAGTTACGAGACGACAGAACGGAGCATAATCTGATATTTAGTAGAACTTGAGTTTTTAATTCAACAAGAATAATTATCGACATTAATTACTTAACTAGAAACTGATAAAGTATGGGTGGTGATGGTGATTCGACTGTGGGTGGCGCGGTTGTGGGGTACGGACGCTTACGCCGTGAGCTGGACGACGCTGGGTACCGAGACGTGTTACCATTGGAAGGTCTGCCCCTCGTTCAGCACATTTTTTACGACCTGACCAAAACGACGCAAAGTTTACAAAAGGCCATCAAGCAGTACTCATACTACAAAAAGGTTGGTTCAGGAATTTACTAATTTTATGGAATGCCTTATTGTAGATGCTTCCCATGAATTTAGCTTTAGCATTATTTTAAAGTGCTACACCTCAATTTAGCATATCTTTTTTTCGCAAACTTTTATATGTAACGTTTAAAAATCATACAATGCGAATAGCGGTGTTTTACACGCGAGCATTCTTAGATTTTTATAAGCTGTGTCATTTTGCAATTGTCTGACGAGTTGTTCTTAGCCATTTGGTCTGTCTCACGATACTTTTACCTTAACAGATTGATCAATAGTTCACACCTGAATTTAGGTCTAATGCCTACCAATCTGACCAATTCTCACAACATGTTCGTACGACAGTTGACGCTGTATAGTTGGGCAAATTAGTTCACATTTTATACTTTCACCACTTCCATGATTATCAGTGTAGTATTCGTTATAAAAGCGAACTTTTATTAGTACTAAAATGTTTTTCTCAAAAATTGTATCATCGGTAATCAGATAATCTCACATTACTAAATCAGATTACATGCGAATAAAAATCTCAAATTACAAGTAATCTGCCCATGTATGGTTGAGAGTATAGTTTGCTTCCTGTCCAGATTCCTGATAAGACTAATGTTGAGAATTGGCGAGCCAGACGAAACTGACAGCTTATGTCTGCCTGTCAACCTAATTCCATTTTTTGTCCTAAATAAAATATGGGATCGAACAAGTATCTTAAATAAATTCACCTGCATATTCCCCTTCAAGTGAAAATATGCATAAATGCTGGATTTATTTTATCGGTTTATCCACAATTTAATCAATACTACTAATTAGTCTAATTTTTTACACTCGCTGCCCACATAAAAGCAAAATATACGAACTGCATGGCATTCCATACCACCGTGTTCCCGACTCGTACATAATTACTTACGATGCCATGAAAAGAACACAAAAAAATGCCCGTGTCATACTAAACTAATTAGCTTTATCTTCTCGTCCATTTCATAAAAACATGAGTGAAAGGTTTTATGTCAGCCATCATTTCCGGTCAGTTTGTTCAATTATGCGTATATAGTTTCTGATTCGTCTAGACATCCTCGTATAAAAGTAGATGCATGCAATCGTAATACTCCAGCTTTTCCAGAATAATAAAGCCAAACAAGGAAATGAGCACAGCTCGCTGGGAATCATCTATTATCCTGTTGGATTTCATTGTACCATCGATTTTTATCCATTATCTAACAAAAAGAAGAATAGGCATATGGCTTGGACCTCACCACTATGGTCTTTTGTATGGTCGTTTAAATGAATGAGATGTCGAACACATAATAGTGTTGCCTAACGTCAAATCTTTTGATAACTTATCAAACTACACTGTGTACATGTCCAGCCATGTTATCTGTATTTATTTTGATAAATGTATTGGAATTCGATAATATTATGGCAAGTCCTGCATCTATATGCAGGAAAATTTCTTCACAAACTATTATTTTGAAGAGGAGAAAGTATAAAAAATGCAGTAAACTTTTATTTTTTCCGTGTTTTTGACAACTTTCACCATTACTTGTAGACAAGTAATCAAGTGGGTGTCTGAAATATTGTCACTCTTTGTCGTCGTTCTCTACTACCTAATATAATTTAAGCCTTTGATTTATCCGTCCGTGTGTGTTGGTAGGATCGATACGCGTGTGTGTTCTTTGTGTCTCAAGTCGGAAGGACACACACATCCACATTATTATTGCTTTCTCCTCGTTATCCTTCGCAAAAGTGCGTTATTTATGTTATTACTTTGGCCTGACACCACTTTACTCGCCCTACACCACCACTCGAGACAGAATCACAAGCCATGTTGATTTTGACGAAATGACATCGAATCAGGCGAGCAATGGGGTTTTTGAGAGAGTCTGATTATGGAAATAAGAAAGTGAAAGTGGTTCCAGTCGAGCTCTAGTGAGTGAGTATAAGCGTATTTGTTCCTCGCTCTTGGAGGGCTTTCATTCATTTTCTTTCTAAAAGAATTATAATAAATAATAATAACTAACACTACTGTTTTCTTTCTTTTATTGGGGAAGATTGCTTTGGAATTGGAAACCGGCGTGGGTCCATTCAAGGAAGAAAATGTTCGACTCATTCGTGAAAACAGCCACCTTCGGATGGCTGCCGTCCGAGCGTCGGAAGACTATGAAGATCGCGTTCGAGGTAAGGACGCGTTGTTATGGCAGAGTATTTTTTTGAGGGGTGTTGGTTTAATTTTTACCCAATTTGTTTTTGCAGGCATCCGAAAAAGAGTAGGAGAGTTGGAGGAGGAGAAAGTTGATTTGAAACAGCTCGTAAAACAACTTTCGCAACGGTTAGAGATTTTGACTTTTGAAAAGTCGGGAAGGAGTAAGTTGGAAGAAAAAGATCAAGTGCATGATTTCGGTAAGATATACAGACTTGAGTTTGAACTAAATATATTGAATTTTTGTGTAAAAATAGTCATATTTTGTATTCTAATAATTCTGTTAAAGATGATTCCGGAAAATCTGTACTGAAAGATAAAGAAAATTTGGAACAAGACATGGATTATGAATGCCGGCTCCCGTTCGACTTACCAGATCCGTGCCCATTTTGTGTTCGTGTGAAGAACCAAAATAATTATGATGGGGATAAAAAGGCTGCAGATTATTTTAAGGTTAGTGGAACATATAGAGCGCTTAAAGTTTTAATTGCCTGCATACTTTCTCTTCTGATTTGGTGTCATGTATATGCACATTTGCTTTGTTCAGATTACAGATTCCAGAATAGAAGCTCTCCAACTACAAATTCGTGCTCTTAAAGATGCCGAGAAGGATAAGAACCAGTTGTTGTCAAGTATGAAGTCCAAAGTGGAAAGTAGGGACCGAGAAATTGAAAAACTTCGTCAATACGTGACCATCCGACCTGGCAAGGATAATGTAGCGAATGGAATGAGTTCAGAACTATTATCCAATAACGAGTCTAAGGATTCAGAGTTACGATTAAAATCTGCTCAAATGCAATTGGACATGTTACAAAAGAGGAATATCAATTTGGAAAAGAAGTTGAAATCGTCAATATGTAAAAAGGATTTATTTCTTAAAAAATTTGTTAAAATTTGAGTCCTTATTTTTTTATAAATAATGAATTGTGCTCTTTGTTTTTGTCTAGTACAAGAACACGACGACTTCATGATGGGAAGAACAAGGACTCCAGCCGAACGAGAGCTGCTCCGTAGTCTTGCCGCATTGGACGTCGACACCTATCCCACTCATCCCGAAGCCACTTTAAATGAAAAATTGCAGAACTTGGAACAACAACTATCCAATTGTTGTAAGGAGAAAGCAGCACTTAAAGCCGCACTGGAAAAATGCGAAGCAAGACATCGCCATCATCATCAAGGAGGAACTTTGGTGGTCAGTGAAAAATCCAAATCGTCCAAAGTACCCTCGGCTGATGACTTGCCATCTTCTCCCTCAGCCACACATGACGAAGAAGGCCAAGAATCAGTCAGTGATGGAGAAGATGGGCATGGTGGCAATAGGCGAGAGTCTGCCGAAGAAAATAAACGACGGGATCAAAGACCAAGTCAAATTGTGTTCCAAAGTGACGGCGGACTGTTTCGTTATCCACCCGCAGGTCACGGAGGGAGAAGTGGGCCGGCAAGGTCTATACTTAAATCTAAAACAATGAGTGTTGTTTCGTCCAAAAAACCAAGTGTAGTTCCTGTTCCATCTTCAAAAAAATCTAATCATAAATCCCACGTTTCTTCTTCCCGTTTCAGTGCAAAAAGTAGCAATGTAGTTCCTCCAGTTCCTCCACCCAAAAAGTCATCGAATATTAGACCTCCTGGTGCCACGAGTCTACCGGATAAAAGTGTCGCTAGTGATCAAAAGTTAAATGTAGGTGCAGGAGCAGGACCTGGAATTCGTCAAACAATGCCAAGAATTACAGGGTCCAGCACTAATCCGGGATTGGATTCAATAAAGTCGTAAGTTATCTAACTAATTAATTATTTATGCATTTTATTGTATAATTTAATGATTTAGTTTTTGTTGCTAATCAGATCGCAAACATCGCAACACAAGTCGACCGCTTCTTCTGAACGCCAAAGTAAATCTGATGTTGCAGTCAGCAAACAAAATTTACAACAGGACTTGCGAAGCAAATCAAGTTTACGTCCCTCTGAACCTATTGTACTCGCTGATGATTCTGATATCGAAGAAGTAGACCAAACTGAAACAGACTCTGAGTCGGATGAATTTCTGGATAAAAAATCAATGCTTGTAAATGCATTTAGTACCCCAAAGACTCACTCTCCTTCAGGCAGACCCGGCGCAGCAATCGCAAGGTCAAAGGGAACATCGAAATCTGAAATTGGAATGGGTAGATCATCTTCAAAAGAGGCTATCGGGTTGTCGACAGAGTCATTGACGCAGCAGAGTAAAAACAAGCTGAGATCAAGTGATGAAAAGAGGTCTATGCAGCGTATCTCGTCCTCTGGGGTGACTGAACGAGACAGTGCTGCTGCAATGCAACCTTCATCACAAAGGTAATTACTTATGTTGGCAATTAAATTCTAATATATGATGCTTACAATGCTCTGCAATTAATTAATATCGTCGCTGTTAAACATAATTTGTGTGCAGATCATCGGCAGAATCGATTAATAGTGACAGTAGAGCCACTAGCCCCAGCCCATCAACCGACGGAGAAGATCGTGTTCATGATTCAGATCTTGACAGGCAAGCATTTGATGACCACAGGGACGTTCATTATGTTGAAGTCCGTACTACTCCGCTAGAGACGAATGGAAATGGGAAAGAAAAACTGGATTTTCTCTCCTCTAAATCTAAACAAGCTAGCCGTCATGGTGCCAGTCTGAAAGGAATTGAAAAGAAGCCGTCCTCAGAACGTCGAATAGAAAATGTCCAATCTCAAGATCGTGGTAGATTAAAGAAATCTCAAAGTATTCATGTGCAGGAGGGAGAAGACGAAGAAACTGAAACTAAAAGTCCACAAAAATACCAAGAGAGAGCTGAGCCCAAAAAAAGTCATCAAAGAGGAAAACATCGTGATGACGACCAAAGAGAATCCCCAGCTGCTGTTGTTTCAGATTTAAAAAAATCTGATCACAGGAAAGGTCGAACTATTACTCCGGGTTCACAGCAACAACAACAGCAAGTGTCTAAACCTTCACAAATCCGAATGGAAAGTGTGGATGAAGATGACAAATCCTTGAATGGTATAGAATCTGAAGATGACGATGAAATAATTGCATTAAAACGACCAGGGCCAGATAGACAATCGACATCAACAAGAAAATCTGACCAAATTAAATCTGACTCCACTAAAAGTTTAAAGACCACTCCGACTCTAACAGGAAAGACGAAAAGTGGAGCAGCTACAAAGTCCAGCAGATCACAAGAGAGAAGTCGAGATGAAAAAAGTCGTGAACGTGAACGAATGTCCACCGAGCAGGAGAGGGGACCTACCTCAAGTCATGATAGAACAGCCACATCCTCAGACAAGCAATCTGCTAATGGGCATGACAAGCGATCTCCTAAAGAAACGCCTATGCGTTCTCGGGACCCTACTCCTGGGAGACAAGAGGGAAGATCGGGACTCATCAGTGAACTATCATCAGATAAGACGCCGGTTTCTAAATCCCAGCACCCATTAGAAGCACAAGTTTCCAACTTACAACGAGAATTAGAAACCAAAAATGTCAAGTTGGCCAGCATGAATCAAGCCTGTGATCAACACATTAAAGAACTAGCTCATCTCAAGGCCGCCCTGCAATCTGCTGAGCAACAATTTGTCCGCTCATCATCGAAAGAATCCGGATTCGAGCAAGAATTGGAAATTCAACGTTTAAAACGACAAATTACCAATCTGCAAAAAGACCTGGAACATTTGGCAAAAGAAAGGGACGATGCTGTCGAAGAATGTAGGCGACTTTCGAGAGAAATTTCCATTGAAAAGAGCAAATCTGAGAATTACAAGTGGTCTTCACAAAATCTCCAGCCACCGTTTTCCACTCAATCTTCTTCCCGACCTCAAATTTCACAAAGGGATGAACTCGAAATGTCACGCCGACTCAGAGAACAAGCGATGCGAGAACAAGAACTAGAGCGTGAAGTTTCCCGATTAAAGTCCAACATAAACGCTTTAGAAAGAAATAAAACTGAGCTAAGAATGGAATTGGACCACAAGGACGAGCGGCTTTCCCGTTTGAGTGTGGAATTGTCTAAAACACAAAAATCTGGCCGGCCATCCGAGTACCAAAGCATTGGGCCTGGCGTTATGCCCACAACCAGCATTGCAGCCAGAGAGCAAGAACGAGAAGTTCAATATTTGAAGCGACAAAACGAATCTCTTCGGCAAGAAGTGGAGGCAAGTAGGAAGGAAAGGGATGAGGCTGTCCGAGACGCTAGGCGGCTTGCTCTTGCCACTGACCCCACCAGTGGTGTAGGAGGAGGAGTAGGAGGAGGCATGATGTCTACCGATGTTATTTATAAGAGGTACACATTACAAATGTACATGTAGATCTTGTACCATTTTAGGCAATGTAACTATATATTATTGTGATTTTAGAGCATCCATGATGGAACAACACACCTCAGTCACGTCTCAACTCCCTCAACGAGACCAATTTGAAATGGCTCGTCGCCTCAGACAACAAGCCGCTCGAGAACATGAACTTGACGACGAGATTTCTCGTCTTCGCTCATCTGTAGGAAAACTTGACCGTGACAAGGACGAAATGCGAGCTGAACTTGACCGCAAAGATGAAAAGATGGCCAGGATGAACTCAGACTTTGAAAAGCAATTGGCCGACATGTCCAAACTTCAACTCGCCTTGAAGAACACAGAGTATCAACTCGGCCACACTGGTGACACGGCACGCGAGCACGAAAGAGAAGTACAACTGCTCAAGAGGCAGATTGAGTCGTTAAGAAGAGATTTGGAGGTATCAAATAGTGAACGGGATGAAGCTGTCAAGGATTGTCGACGACTTGCTGGGGCAGTTTCTAAAGAGGAGATTGAGCGAAGAAGTTTGAATGTCGAATATGATAAAAAGAGCAAGGAGGCAGATGAGTTGAGAAAACAGGTAACAGGAAAATATGATTATTGACACGAATGTAGTTAATTTAATTAACTCGATTATGTAATTTTTCAGGTTCAAAAATATATCGAGGAAGTGCGAAGAATTGAAGACTTGTTACTTCAGAAGGTATAAACTTGTGCCTCACCAAAAACAAATTTTCTCGTGCTTTGCCCATTTCCATGCATTTCATTAATGATGCTTTCTTGCTTTCTTTTAGGAAGAAGAAATGGAAACATTGATTGAGCACTACAGAACTTTATCACTAGAAAAAAACAATTTGGAAACGCAACGAGGCACCCTCGAACGGGAAGCAACCTCCATTCGAAGCGACGTGTTGGAAACGGTGGACCTTAATATCACCATGAAGAACCAACTCGTTTCCCAAAATGCTCTGATTGTATCATACGAGCAGGAAATTGAGAGATTGACACTGGCCTTATCAACAGCGGAAAATCAGTTGGCCAATGTGACGGATAAAGATAGGAGCTCAGAGTCTGATATAAAAGCTGCGAGGGATTTGATTTACACAATGGAGACCAAAATGGATAAATTGAAATTGGATTTAGCTAATGCTGAGAGTGCTAAAGCGAAGGTGGGTTTCGTACTTGTATCAACTATGCAAATTAAATATAATTTTATATTTTTTGTTCCTAGTTGGAAGCTGAAAACCAAGAGTTGAGGAAACACATTGAGCTTTTAGAGGAGCAATTACAAATTCAGATCGAAAAGGAAAAGACACTTCAAGAATTTATCGCCAGCTTGAGGGAGAAGGAATTTGAGGTGGAAAGAAGTTCACAAGATCTCTCTACTGAAAAGGACAAACTGGCAGATCGGCTAAAATCAATGCAAACCCGAACGTGAGCGACCATTTGATTATTGTTTAACTTCAAAAACGAGCCCATAATTCATAACTTAACTTTAATTAAATTTAGTGAAGCACTGAACGACGAAGTCGCAAAATACCGATTGAGGTCGACCGAGCTTCAAAATGAGCTGGATAAAACACGAAGACAGCTTCTATCTGAGAAATCCCAACGTGAAACTGCAATCGCAGAGCTGAGACGGTATTATTTCAAGATAATTAACAAATGTGACCTGTTCTTAAATTATTAACAATGTAATTTATTGTCCTTAATACAGTGTTCAAGAGCAGCTAAATAATTCTAGTACGAATTCCTTACTAAATGCTGCATTGGCTGGAGGGACTTCTTCCAGTTCAGCGGAGGCTGGAGCTCTAGGGTCCAGATTTGGAGGAGCAGGGACCTCGTCTGGCACAGGGGCAACTGTTCTTCTTCCTCATCCTCCCACTGGCAGTGGCGGCGGGGGTGGTTTAAATACATCAGGGTCAAGTGGCGGAGATTTGCCATTTTCACCAATGTCAGAGGCTTATTTGGACTCTCCGTAAGAACGAATCATTTGAGTTATGCAAATTGTCAACCCATGTAACTATGTTTTGATCAATTTGATAATTCAGATTGGGTGCATCTACTGCCAGATCTGGCCGAGACATTGATGAAGATAAGCTGTAACCCGGTGCAAAATTTGGATATTGCCAAAATACGCTTATACATATATTAGTCCGTCCTGTGAAAAGTTGCATGTTTTTAAAGTGATTTTTACCAAATGTTTCATAATCTATTTCATAATCTCAAATTTATTTTTCCAAAAAATTCATGACATTAAACAAGTTTTTCTGAAATTTTAATATGATCCATCCTACAATTTATTTTCAGTCGCATTAGAAAAGATCAAGTATATATCGTCACTTTACATTTCAATAATTAAGCTTAATTAATTCTTTCTGAACACCATCATCACAAACTTAATTGACGAAATAATTCACAATCTGATAATTAAACATTAATTACAATTCTACTAGTGCCATGCTTCATTTATTTACCTATTGACAACTCGCAGCTCGCGTATTCCTCGAAGATGCTGAGGACTTTTCCTTCTTTCGATTACTACGTGACCGCAAGCTCCTAGTACTTACAGTGCTTCGAACATCAGAAATATCTGATCTTGAATCGGCATCTTCCGATTCAACTGGTTTGATTCGACGAGTCCGTTTTCTTGGCATATCTGATTCTTGCTCTTGTTCGTCATGGATTTGTGGTGACAACTTTGGTGGTGGAGAAGCAACTTTCTGTCGTTGCGATAAAGCTTTTTTTGAAGTTGACGGAGTCACTAAATCCACTTCCGAGTCGTGAGATTCAGACCGAAGTCCTCTACGCCGTTGTGGTCGCAAAGTAGAGTTGAGAACAGAATCGTCCCCACTCGCCGAGACATCTGCGAAACAATCTGCATCAGTCGTAGATGTGCCAGATTTTGACCGTGTCCTAACACCCCTCTTTTTAGGCTGTTCAATTATTACGACGTCCTCCTCCTCTGTCTCTTCCACGATAGAGGTTTCCATTCTATAACTGCTCGGCAGGGTACTCTCCAACATTGGACTGTGTCTCCTAGCAGTGGCAGATCGTGTCTCTATTCCTCCAACTGATGATGCTAGTTGCGATTGCGATAGAGTCGCATTCAAAACGGAAGAGTCTATCAACGAGGCTGAATCTTCATGTACAGTTGATAATTCGGGGGCAAACCCTCCAACGGTACGCTTTGCTTTACGAGTTGCTCTCACAATTGGCTCTGCCTCTGCTTTTTTGGGTCGGTTCGGTTTGACAGGGTCATTTGTCGTTGATATTTCAAATACGTTGCTAGGTTCTGCAGTTTGGTCAACCATAGAAGCATCGAGGTCTAGATGTACCGGGGTCTTGGATCTCGACCGACGCGTCGTTTTCTTGACAGTAGCCAAAGAAGGTGGACTAGCAGTATCTTCTGCTTCGTTGTCATTAATAATGATAGATTGGTCTAGTAGAGTGGGTGTCTTTCCTCGTGGAGATCGTTTGGGCGTAATATTGACATTTGGCTCAGGTGGTGGTGGTTGTTTGTCGTCTGGTGCTGGCGTCGTTGATCTTGATCGACGCGTTGTTTTCTTGACACTAGATGATGAGGACGAAGCAGCCACAGTATCCTCTTTGGTGTCAACAATGCTAACAGATTGGTCTAATAGGCTTGGCACTTTTCCTTTGGGGGACCGTTTCGGCTTTATATCTACAGTCGGCTCAGGTGGTGGTGGTTGTTGTTTATTATCGGAAGTATGTATTGGAGTCTTTGATCTCGACCTTTGCGTCGTTTTCTTTCCACTGGGTGAGGGTGGAACAGGCGCAGTATCTTCATTGGTGGCACCACTACTCACAGATTGGTCTAGGATGGGTGTGGGTGTCTTTCCTCTTGGAGAACGTTTCGGTTTTGTATCGACAATTGGCTCAGATGGTGATGGTTGTTCTTTGTTATCGGAAGAAGGTAGTGGAGTGTTCGATCTTGACCTACGCGTCGTTTTCTTTCCACTGGGTGAAGAAGATGGAATAGGCGTAGTATCTTCTGTGGTTGGTGTCTTTCCTCTTGGAGAACGCTTCGGCTTTATATTGACAGTGGGTTCAGGCGGTAGTTGTTCGTCATCTGAAGCAGGCTGTAGTAAATTACTCAATTCCGCCACTTTTTCATCTCCGGACTTACTTGCATGGGACGTGTCCATATTATCCTCAAAAGACGTAGCACCCACTTGAGATATGTTAGCACTATTAATTGCCTCATTTGCGGGATCAGAAGCACCTTCTTCCTCCTCATGGAAATCTTGGTTGGAATAATTTAAAATGCTCATCATGAGACTTGGAGAGGTCACTGTTGGCTCAACTGGGTCGATGACAATGCTGGTCTTTTCATCCTTCGTGTCGCCCTGATGTGGCGTTCCTAAATTATCCTCAAATAATTTTTTGCGAGGAGTACATGGCACTTGGGAAGGATCCTTGGGTGGAACATCAGAAATGTCTGACCCTGCGTCGGCATCTTTTGACTCAACTGGTTTGATTCGACGAGTCCGTTTTCTTGGCATATCTGATTCTCGCTCTTGTTCGTCATGAACTTCTGTTTCTGGTGAGAGTTTTGGTGGGCGAGGAGAGACCTTACGCTTTCGGGGTAAACTTGCAGCTTTTGTTACTGTAGACGGTGTAACCAAGTCCATTAGTGAATCATGAGATCCCGACCTAAGTCCTTTACGACGTGGTGTTTGCAGAGTAGAATTGAGAACAAAATCGTCCCCAGAGGCATCAAGTAATAAACTACTAGCATCATTTGCAGATGTGGCAGATTTTGACCGTGTCCTAACACTTATCTTTTTAGGTTGTTCAATTATGGAGTCCTCCTCCTCCGTCTCTTCCACTATGGAGGTTTCTATTCTGCTCGGCAGGTTACTTTCCATGATTGGGCTGCGTCTCCTTTTACGGGTTGGAGTTGCAATAGACTCAACCTCGACTGATTTGGATCGCCTTGACTTGACCGTGGGAACAGGAAGTAGGGCAGATTCGTTTGCTGTTGATATTTCGAATATGTTGCTAGATTCTGCGGTTTGCTCAATTATAGATGCATGAAGTTCGAGAGGTACTGGAGTCTTCGATCTCGATCGACGCGTCACTTTCTTGGCACTACGTGAAGAAGTTGGAGCAGCCGTGTCTTCTTTCGTGTCAACAATGCTAACAGACTGGTCCAATAAAGCTGGTGTCTTTCCTCGAGGAGACCTTTTGGGGCTAATATCGACATTCGCTTCATGTGGTGGTGGCAGTTGTTTGTCATCTGAAGCAGATACTGGAGTCTTTGATCTGGATCGACGCGTCGGCGTCGTTTTCTTGACACTAGATGATGAGGGCGGAGCAGCCACAGCATCTTCTTTGGTGTCAACCGTGCTAACAGATTGGTCGTCTAATCGAGTTGTCATTTTTCCTCTGGGGGACCGCTTCGGCTTTATATCGACAATCGACTCAAGTGGTCGTTGCTCTTCGTCATCTGAAGTAGGTTTAAGCATGTTACTCAATTCCGCAATTTCTTCATCTCCTACTTTCGAATCCATTGAAGTATCCAAAAATCTGAGCTCCATATTTCGACGAGAAGTGGAATCTCTCTTCTATATAATACAGAAATATATTGTTATAAATTTATTGTTACCCATCGATTTATTAACATTTTATCATACCTTCATAATTGAGTGTAAATTCTCTCCTCCGACAGAGCCAGTGGAGAAATATAGTGGTCGATTTGCAGAACCGATTGTGGACATGGACTGACTCAGTAAAGGTGTTTCCCCTACAATGGATATACTTTTTCTTCCCTCTTTATGATTCACCACTGGAGGTTCCAAGAAACTCTTCAAGTTGATTGGGCTCGGGCTCGGGAAATAAGATTTGTTTTCTCGGGATGTGTCCATACTATCGTCAAGAAATGAAGCATCTACGTGAGATATGTTGCCATTGATTGGCTCATTTGCTGGATTATACTCTTCATCTTCGTCCTCCTCCTCAGGAATATCATCTTCATTGGGATAATTTAAAATGCTTATCATGAGACGAGGAGCGGGTGTCGGCTCGACAGGATCGGTGACGATGCTGGTATTTCCATCCATGACACTCGTATTGCCCCGGTGTGGCGTTCGTAAAACTGACTGCAATTTCACAGCATAACGACGCAAAGGACTTAACACGCCGCCTTGTGATTCCTTCAAACGTTGAAATTGGAGAGGAAGTTTGTTATAGCGGTTTCTAACAATGCAATCTTCCTCCTCGGAAGGTCTAGGTGGCGGAGTAGATGGAACTTGACAAGGACGAATGACAATGGGTGGAATTATCGGCCGAGCTGAAATAAAAAATGATCACTTATCACTATCTTTTTCACAGATATTCATATATCTGTGTGTGTATAAACGAAAAATTATATGGTTACGTACCTATTGAAGTCGCTGACGATTTTTTATCACATTTTCGAATAAAAGCTAAAACTCCACTTGATTTTGACTGCTCGGTATCCAAAATGCTTAGCACTACCTTCTCTCTCAACATCCACCGCAGATTTTGCTCATGATTAAGTAATCTACTCTCGCAAAATTGCTTCATCCGATTGTACTGCATTTCCAGATTCTTTATGTCTCCTGTATGACAATAGACCGCGAGGAGCCAGTCGTAAAACTCGAAACTGGGAGTTTTGTTTAGAAAGTCGATCAAAACTTGGACAGCGAATGGAGGGACATGTCTCAAGGACTTGGCAATCAATTCCCCAAGGAATCCTTTTTCGTATGCAGCTAGAAAAATTTTAACAGATAATTGTTCTAGTTATAACTTTAGCTCAAATTTTGAATGATTAATAAATTTAAATTAAATTACTTGTAAAAACTGCTACGAGAAAGTCCTCGTCCCGACAGAGAGTTTTAAAAGCAGATGTGTCAAACATGGAGGAAAAAACTCCAGCACTCGTACTCATCAAGTTGACAAAAAGTCTGTAATAACATTTTCACAGCATTTTCTTAAAAACATGGTCAGGTAGGAAAGTAGCAGTAAAATAAATACACTTACTGTGACAGGACTAAAGGACAAGATCTTTTCAAGAGTTGCTTAACCGATTCTTCCATCCCAGTCGCAGTAAGAATCACGGCCACAGCACACCAGGGTAATTCGTATGAAGTTAATCGACCAGGATGCGTAAGGAAAATCATCATTTCTTCTCCATAACCCTGATCCATTAACCACAAATGGTAGACCTCCGCTTCCTCTTCGGCTGTTAGTTGCATCACAGAGAGATAATCGCCGCATAGCTTGTCCCTGTAGAAAAAAGATCGATGGGTGATTGATAACCTTATTAGTTTTTCCTACTTAATTTAGATGAACATACTTTTGCTCAGGAGTTACAACGTCGCGAATATCCAGCAAGAAATAGGCAGCGATACGGGCCACATCTTTTGGATCGATTTCATCCAAAAGAAACAAATTGAGAATGTATCCAATATGCTTTGGAGGATAGACAGGCTCATTCGGTTCAACGTGCCATTGTTCCCTCAATTCATCCTCGTCAAATGTTTCCAACAAATAATCAATCATCATTGGACGAACCTATGTAAATAGACAGAAATTCTGTATCACTTCTCCGTTCGTTTATAAATGGAATTCTCGTTTAAAAATAACAATTTACGTACACTTCTAAATTCGGGACCCAACAAGTCACAATCCTGAAGAGCTCTTTCAACATTCTTTCGTCGTTTCAAGTGATCCTCCATCATTAAGCTGATTATATCACAGTCTGACTTTTCAGGGAGAACTTGAGCATTGAACATCATTCTCAATGCTGACGAGTAGCGAACAATTTTGTTCAATCCAATTGAGAGATTATTGATAAATTCTTCGCGAACTAAATTAGAAAATATATACATTTCATTGATTGAACCAAAATTCAGTTACATTAGATTTTTATACACAAAAACTAACCTAGATAAACTTCATCTGGTCTTGTTATTGTTGTAAATATGGCACGAAGCGATTCCCACGCAAAGTTAGAATAGTAGATAAAGTGTTGCGTCTCTGGGGCAAGAAATTCTAGATGACATTGATGCAAGTGCGTCCAGTGGCTGGTTGCCACCACTCTTAAACTAAAAGTGTAGGACGAAATCCAATTCAAGATCAAATCGATGGTACATCCTACATTTGCATATCCACCGTCCAACCAAATTCCAGCCAGTTGTATGATCATTGCAGGGCGGCGATTGTCGAGAAGGGAGGAAAAAATGTAGAATCGATCTGCCATCTGAAAAAGTATATCGAATAAGTTAGCGTGTAAATATTACCCTTAGGAAAATTTCAGGGAAATTCATGAGAAATTCTCTTTCTTACCTCTTTGGGAACACTAGAGTCATAATTTTGAGGAAGGATTGGTCTTACTCCGTATGTTTTAAACATGTGCCTAATGTGGGCTGGTTGTATCATTAAATTTGTTCCGTCGTCAATCAACTTCCGAAGGAGTTTCTCTTGCACACCGAAAAACTGGAATGAGGATGTGGCCGATTGTGACAATGTAATCGCTTCTACAAAATTAAATTAGGAAACATGTTTACTTGTGCAGTAACAAAACCAATGAAATTACTATATCGAAATAGTGATATCTATTTTACCAAACGACAAGGAAGCCGGATACATATGGATGTCCAAAGTGCAATGTGGATTTCTCCATCGTTCCAAGGTTGTAGGAATAATTTGAACATCACATACTGGAATAGCACGGTATTGATCCGTAGTTTCGACAGGAATTGCAACCCAGAAAGGACATAGTTTAGTTACGTCCATGAAGCATAACGATTCTGGCATTCGGCTTGAATACCACTGATTCAAGTCGAAAACTCCAACGTAGTAAATTCCAATTCGAGCCGACTCCCAAGCGAAGAATGTCAATTGTTTGCTATTAGGTCTCGATGGAAGGTTCCAGATTTTCAGTGGTCTCACGTAAAATCGACCTTCGGCATGGTCATTGCCTTCTCCGCTGATGGCGTCGTCGAATTGGTCTTCCAGTTTGAAGGACAGTTTCTTAATGCATTGTACAAAACCCTGGAATTCATGAAAGATATATAATTTTAGTTTTCTTTAAAATTATTAATTTATATGAAGATTCAGCTAACCTTGTAGATATAGCCCAAATTTCCCAGAGCTGGCTTATCCTGAAATTCAATGCAGTATAATTCCACGTTCGAGTGGCCCATTTCCAACCCGGCCTTGCCATACATGACCCACAAATAACAGTAATTCTTGGGATCATCAACCGGCTGAGAGAAAGAGAAACCAAACACGCCGTTACATGGACGGGGTGGTATTGAGCTAGTATATCTGTACAAACAATCCATTGAAAATAATTCATTAATCATTAAGCAATTATAATATTACTATTAAAATTTATTAAACTCACACTAACTGCAACCTATCCACACGCCAAATCTGAAATCCTCCGAAATCAAATCCCACAATGAAAAGCCCAATCTGCGATACGTATTCGACTGCAGTAACGCGAACATTTCTCTGGAAAAACGTTCTAATTTTTGTCTTATCCGGGCGAGAAAAGTGATAGCTGGCAGTATTCCCTTCCCTGGTATCCAAATCGTCTTCATCCGATGCATCTGAAAACATTGAATGAAAAGATTTCATTACACTTTTGCTACACTTGAATTTGTACGTTATTTATATCAATTTACAACACTTACTCAAAACGCTCAGTCCGATTACTTTCTTCTCCCCTATCAATTGATGCCTCTTGAGAGCAATGTTTGGCTCATGTGGTGTCACAAAGACAGGTTTGTAGGGTCGTTTTACAAACACATTTTTATACTGAGCCAGACTAGAATTTGGCAATTGATCGAGGCCGAGGTCCAGAATAATTACTTGACCGCCTCGCAATCCAACCGCCACAACGCCAACCATCGCCATCATGGCTTCATTAAAGAAATGACTGTTGAATCCGGTATCTTCAAAATGGCTTATCACAGTAATACTCGTCACCTACATATACATTTTACGAGTGAATTTATTGATCGATTTACTTTTTCATCAAAATCCAATTAATTACCGCTGACGGAAGCATGACCAATTTAATGGGCTGGGCCTTCATCGGATCAAAGATGACGAACCCCCCTTCACAGTTTCGAAAGTTCAGTCCAATAACGAGTCGTGAAACTCCGTTTGTAACTCTTGGGTTGTGAAGTGTTAGTTCCGTAGCACAAGTGATGAAACAATCGTCAGGAAATTGGTACGGTTCTGGACAGACAGCGAGAGGTCCTTGCGTCATCGTGTACTCATCAGAGACCGGGAGTGGGAAGCATCGTATCACTGACTGACTGTAGGCCCAGCCCCACTCACAATCTGTAATTAATTAAAAATCATAATTAAGACTTAATCTTAATATCTAAAAAATAATTCAGTTTGTAAGTTCTTACTGTCTGATACATGTCCATTAAAATGAACTCCTGTGAGAAGGGTAGGCTTTCCAGGGATGTCCCTTGGCAGAGCATACTCATCCCCATAGCTTATCGGTGCGAGGAGACTTTCCAGATTTCCAACTTGGGACTCCATCTTCAATCTTATTGCTTATCAGCCAATGTCGAATTTATTCAAGAATTCCTCGCTTTGAGTTCAGTAAACCCAATTCCATTGATGTAAAGCTGCTGCAGCCGTACTCCCTGAGCAAATACAAAATTAACTGACTTTCAATTATTTTTACAATTGCACAGTACAATTTGTGTACACAATAATTAAACTAAAAATTAAAAACGACATAGAACTAACTTACCTGCGAGTCACAGGTGTCACAGATCGCCAAAAAAAGAGTTCTCCTTCGTAGCCCTTAGCTTAACAAAGCTTAACTCAAATTGAGTTACTCAATCAAATAATTAATTACATTAATGAACAATTAAAATCTAATAATTAAATCCAAAAGATATTTATTTACTGCAACTTTTATGTGATTCCGGTGGAAGAGCGGGCCCGCGTAACTCAAATAAACACGTGAATGCTGTTCTCGTGTCTCATTCAACTCAATCTTGAATACTATAAAAGCTTGCTGAAAGTTAGATTTAATTTTTTACCACTTTTTGACAATACAAAATAATAATTGGCAATATCATAATTTGTATTTGCAAAGATGAGACCCTTGACAGAGGAAGAGACACGAATCTTTTTCGAAAAGTTGGTGAAATAGTAAGTATTTTAAGCTTTGACATTTTGATTGTTTTTAATATACTCGGTATTAAATGAATAGTATTAATTTGCTTTAATTGTCCAGCATTGGAGAGAACATCAAAATTCTGATTGATCGTCCCGATGGTCCGTACTGCTTCCGCCTTAACAAGGAACGGGTATTTTACGTGTCGGAAGAGATTATGAAGAAGGCTGGAAATGTGGCCAGAGAAAATTTAGTCTCGCTCGGAACTTGCATGGGGAAATTTACAAAGAGCAAAAAATTTCGACTCCACGTAACCGCTCTGGATTATCTTGCGCCATATGCACAGGTATTATTAATGGGTTATGCTAATTAGTAAGGTCCTAAATGTTTAAATTCATACCTAGTTAATAATTATTTAAATATTTTAAAATTCAGGGAAAGATGTGGCTCAAGCCGTCGGCCGAACAGCAATTTTTATACGGACACAACGTCATGAAATCTGGACTAGGTAGGATATCAGAAAGTGTGGACAGATATCAAGGTGTTATCCTCTATTCTATGAATGATCTTCCATTGGTGAGTGTAGCGCTAGCATTTATTTACTTGCATATCCTGTAAAACTGCATCCATATTGTTAATTGTTAACAAATGTATTCATTAAATTGCAGGGCTTTGGTACCGCAGCGAAATCAACATCCGACTGCAGGCACTCTGATCCTGGGACCATTGTATGTTTTCACCAGAGCGACATTGGCGAATATATTCGAAGCGAGGACACCTTAACGTAGTTTAAACTTTATACTTAATCAAATAGTTTTGATAAAAAAATCTATCAATTTATTGTAAGACTTGTTATAATATTCAAAAGTTTTATAAATGTTATCCCTAATTTCCTTGATTTTTCGGTTAGGGTTAACATTGTAAATATGCATAAATTTATACATTTCAGACAGAGTTTATTTGATTCTCAAGTTTGCTACACACTTGTAACGGGATGTTCATTGTTTATTGTTTTTAAGTTTAATTCGTCTTTTCCTGTTCGCCAAGAAAGAAGTTGTTGCACCGTACGCAACACGCTACAAGAATACCATGCAGTATTTATGGTCGTTATTTCTTTTCATGGGGAAACTCAACTCAGGCATTTCTACATCTTTAAAGAAAAACATCCAAGTTTGTAGATAATGTTTACTCTCAAAATATGTCATTTCTTCTTCACTTTGAGTTTTATTTCAGTTTAAAAGTTTCCGTCTCAAGAAAAGCAGACATTACATGCTTGTTCCTTCTCCTGAAAGTCTGACTGATCTGCTCGAATTGTAGGTTGGTGGTTACTCTTCACTCTGTAAATAATCATGCTGTTCTTCTCTCTGTCGGTTTCTGTATGAAAACCTTTTACTTCCGGGTGGAAAATTATTTCGCCCAGAAAAATCCTTTAATCTCGGATAATGCGTATGTACCTTTGGCCTAATTACGCCGTGTGTAATTAATTATGCTGATGTTCAATGTCATGCTCTACGTTGTGCATAATTTTCTCACACAAAACTCCTTTGGTGAAAGTTGTACTAGATAATTCTTACTTGCTAAATTTCCCATATTTATCATTTCGTTTGGCAAGCCGGACGCTGACGATTACGGGCATAATTCACTGTAAACGTAATATATAGATAAGGCAGAATGCATATTTATGATCATAGGTACCTGAAACCATTTAAAATAATTAGTCCCCTGGTTCAAAGTAAATCGGTACATATCCCCGCAAATCTGAGACGCAGCAATTTTTCCGATAAAAGTATATTTAAAGTACCTTTATCACTAGAAAATCTTGCCTTATTAAAATGAGCTCCCATAAATTATGTGTTCCAAAACACGAGTACAAAATGTCCTACGTATTATTAAAACCCCATTTTACTGATACGGCTCATGTTCATTTTCATGAATTTTCAATACATCCTGCTATTACAGTTTTACTTTTCTGCACGTAACAAGTGAGCATGAATGGCAAACATGTATTTATCTACATATCAATTGGGGAAAAACTTTGAACTAATTTTCTCCTCACCATTTCCACCCATTTTTCCATGCCAAACCAAAACCTGGCCCGCCTATGTAATTAATTTAATGCGACGATTTTATTTATTACGTACAGAGCATAAATACTCTTTAGCAGATCCAATAAAGATAGAAATAAATAGGAAAGTAGGCGTCCAAATCGGCAAATTCCTCCAATCGATCGAATAACTTGACCCAAAATTTTTTCTTTTATTCAACAACCAGCCAACTACGCATCTGATATCTCACGAATGAATATGACCCTGGCATACATGCCGCTGTACCATAATTAATTGCAAAGATATTTGAGTGGGTGTAGCAAGTTAAGCTTCCATTTGCGAGGCTTATGCCGAATGAATGCTCATCACGATAACTTTCACCGTATTCCGTCCGTTTCTTCATCATTCCGTATATATTATTTCATAATAAATACAAAGTCCACAATTGTGCCCTTGTTCATGCTTACCTAGGACTTATCCTGGGACGTAATTCCATCAAACTTTGATGGATGTAAATATGTAAGTTTCATATGAAACGTGCTCCCATACCACAAATTCGGGACTTGCAGATTCGGCAAAAGTTTTCCATCCATCCCAGAAACACGTACATACATTAGGGAAAAGAACATGTTTTTCTGCGAATCGTGTTGCAAAATAAATAACAGGTGCCACCCGAACAAACGGACGACCACAGGTGAAAGCGAGAGAAAGTTGGTCCAACCAAATTGTAGCTAGCTAGTCATTTCCCTCAAGTATTTCGGAAAACAAAAAGAATAATAATAATATTGAGCCGAATTGCATCTCCCATTTGTTTCCCATCACGTAAATAATCTAATGGAAGGCAAGAGCCAAATAATGCATTTATGTATGTATCTATCTTTGTATGCTTCGTTATCACACAGGCAGGCAGCAGAGAAAGTAGGCAGGGTTGTGGTCTCGGAACGCCACCCCAACTTCTTTTTTTTACATGCATTCGCCAATATCTGCAATCCATAATGAACACGGATTTGGCAAGGATAGCACAAAAGTGGTGGAATGAAATGAATGTAGATACGTTGTATGGTTTGGTTTCGGATTTAGGATGAGACCACTTTTTGGATCAATATTTCCACTTTTCTGTCAAGTCATCCATTATTCTACAACACTGTTTACGCCATTGACTAACTAACAAAGGTGGCTGAATTATTTGAATATATTGCGTTTCACTCTGAACAAAGTCATAAATCTGAGAAGAGTTCCGATCTATGAAGGGCTGCTTTCCCAGTAAATGTCAAATGATCAAGAGTAAAATTTTCTGAAAAATATCGATCTTTTCTATAGTGATGAAATGAATGAATGTCTCCTCTAATTGGTGACAGACTTATTCATGACGTAATTAACTTAATTGTTTGTCAAGGTCATTCATTTAAGTAAATTGACATCGATTGATACACAATGTTATTAATTCGGCTCGTCGTGACACACTAATTCGAACTTGGTTCCTAACAAATTTTAGGCTTTACGTGTTTACATGGTGGTGAAAGCATCGCGTTCAATTTTCTCCTTATTTTCGTGGCTCTTGGTTATTCGCGTGTCGTGTATGCATGCAGGTTTTGTGCGTATGTGATTTTCCCATCAGTTGCTGATTGACAATCTACTTAAAGATAAATATATCGACATGCATGCAACTCTGAACTGACGACGGGCATGTGTTGCATAAAATTGCGATCAACAAATCAATCAGAATTTCCACGCGAGCCAACTTTTACTTAAAAATCCTGACAAATTCCTGCATACTTGGTTCATTAATGTTTAAAGCTTCTTCGTTTATAAATAAAATCTCACATTTTCTACCTTTCTACGCCGCATGTATTCAATTCTATACGAATTTTTCTCCCTTTCTCCTGTCTAAACGCAACAAAAATGAATAAAACAATTTCCACACCTTCCAAACCGAGCAAAGGTTGATGTCTGTCTAGTCAAAACTATTTCCAAAGAGAGAAAAGAAAGAAAACTCATCAGTCGGATGAAAAGCGATGCTCCATTGTCCATTTTTTTCTACGTGGGCTCATCTTTGTTTGTTGGCCTGCTTTCATTTCACCTGTTCAATTCACATCTCATCTCTTTCTGCGTCATCCACACTTTCACAATATCCTGGCTCGAGGTCTGAAATGAATTCACCCATTAAATTGAGTTAGTGAATTTTACGACAACTTTTGCTCTCATTCAGATCATGCGTCGGTTTATTTGAGACGGAAAAAAAAGAATATTCTGCATTCCCGATACGGAAGGAAGGAAGAAAGGCCAACCTGGAATAGCAACGAAGGAGGAAATTCATCCTCCGACCTTCGCCATCAACTCCTTGTTTGTGAGGACGATGATGATGATCCATCTCACTCTGTCGTCGTCTCAATTTATTTCATGCCCACAAAAATGACGACGAGAGGCATGAGGATGAGTAATCCGGCGTCAACCAAGCATGCATACAAAACCGCATAGAAAATCCTCCTCACCAACCGACGTATGCACACACTTACTTTCACTAACTCACATTTTGAGTCTATTTTTCTTAACCGCAAAATTTTACTCAGCCATCAACCACGACGAGGACGAGGAGTAAGTAAACCGAATCAAGTAAACACAGGAGAAAGCAGTGAAAGTTTGCAATATTGGAAAGCTTCCTACTTGAAACCAAGATTGGTTTCTGGTTGGCTTTTGAAAGCATTATTATTGTGGTGAGAGTCAAATGGAAATTTCATCGAAATTTGGATCCTTTCTATTTCTCCAACGTGTCGGAATAATTGGACCTCTTATTTATTATTGTGTATGAAAATGACGCAGTACTAAAGTTTTGTATGCATTCATTATTTCTTTGTTTTGCAAATTTGATCGACTTTCTCATTTTTTTCGTGCTCATACGTTTCTTACCGTCGAGTTTATTTCTCAGGACGTTAAATTCAAATTCATTTCCCCAGCCTCGTAGTCTCTCTCTATCTCTGTTATAGCACTAGCATACGAATTGAGAAGACGCAATTTAGCTAGTTACTATATGCATGGGGTAGTAGTGGTATTAGGCCAACAACCCATTCATATTGGCGAAACTACTGCACATTCTCTACCCAAGTAAACTAAGGTTTTCTCTCCGGTAAGCCTTTTACCCGGGTGGTTTGCTGTACAACTCCGGTGTGCTCTCCGTCCTCCTCTCCGATTTACTTGCCTGCCACTGCTTTCCGTCTGCCTTGAGCATATAGCAAGCCTACCACGTACATTCAGCATTCATGGGAACGGATGCACGGGTTGGGTTGGTTGGGATGGTTTGAGACGAAGATGAGGAGATGAAAGTAGTTCTGCTAGCTTCAGTTGTCTACGGATCGATACTTGTCCAACACGTTTTACTGCTCTCTCCATCCACCAAAGGACTACTGCTAGGCTGGCTTTCTTCAAACACGGTACGGTGAAAAAGAGTCTTGGCCATTCAACCATCCAACGAGTTGGCAGAGTCTTCTATACACCCTGGTCAAAACAAGACTCAAATCCCACTTTCTCCAGAAGTGAAAGCAAATTTTGGAAAAAACAGAGGAGGCGTAATTTTCAACAGTATTCATTTTCCAGAGAGAGAAAGAGAGACTTGGTGGGGAGTGAAAGTTGTGGGGAGAATGTGAAAGTGATTCTCGTACTGGAGTAAGGAGAGAGAAAAATGGTACAATTAGGTGTACAATTGTTGTTACTCGTGGTGTGATTTGGATGCCAAATTTTTAAGATAAAGACTTTATCAAATATGTAACTTGGGAGAAAGTTGGGGAGAAAGTTTGCCATATTTTTAACCGAATTTGATACTATTTACATATTTTGGGGGTAAAAAAAATAGTACAAAAATGTATACCAACGCGATCATCGGGAGTTATAATGCGATAGCCAACAGGTAAAAGTGTAATTTATTCATACGTGTAAGGCATGATTTAATATTTAAATTCACTCTCCAGCGAACATCACGCCATGATCATGAAGCCACCCAACGCACGTCGCAATCAGCCGAAGAAGTCGCACAGTAAGGAAGGTCACGCTCCGACGACGAGGGGAAATTCTGCGGAGGAGAATAATCCTGTCGCCACGACGGCGTCGGGTGCGAACAGTGTCAACTCGGTGTTGTCGCCATCCTCGGTCAAATCCTCGCTGAATTCCCCACCCACCGGTCCAACCCACCCGCATGGTCATCACACTGGTCCACCTTCCCTCCCTGGACTGGAAGTTTTGGCAAATGTCTCCTCCGTCCTTGTCCAACCTGATAAAAGTTAGTGATTGGTTTTTGTACATAATTAGTGTTTGTGATTTTCAGAATTTAGTGGATTTTAGTATTTTAAAAATGGAATTATTGATTTTTGACTATGTGGTTCGGAAATTTGGTACTTTCATATGTTAATTCATCGATTAATTGTGTTCAATTTGTGATGGACAGATAGATAAGCGAACATCAAAATTGCATTCATTATCGGTACTGGAAAGTTTAGACGACTATTTTCAAGTAGGTGCATGTATGTGCATACACGAATTTATTCGCAAACTTTTCGCAAGAAATTTGCAAGATTTAAATACAATACAGTTTCCCATCCGTTAATAACACGTAGCAATACCCTGACTTGAGCCTAGTATCAAATCTACTACGAAAAGTAGCAGATCTTCAAAACTACGTAGTCTTTTTCCTCCTGCCCTCGTCCACTCCATCCATCCATCCAGGTAAAAGTAGAATGATTGGATCGCTCCCACGAGACCAATTCCGCTATCCCCCTCCTTCCTTTCCCCTGTACAGAAAAGTGTAACTTTCCCTTAAATATAAATGCGTTCGCAGAATCTCAAGTTGAAGTTGATCCCTGTAAATATAGCGCCACATACTGCGTACATCTTTTGGTCTGGTTTAGTTGCAGTACTTGTAATCCAATCCAATCCACGGGAGACAAATCTCAATCCAACCAACTTTCACCTGTTTCTTCAACTTTACATTCCTACTTGGTCCGCTACTTTCCCCCGAAAATAAATTATTCCTGACTTTGGGTTGAACTTTGAGATTGAGTGGCGTTCTCCTAGTCCGACTGGAATGGAGATAAATACATTCATTTCCATAATGTTAATCAACTCCTACTTATTGTTTTCTTGGGCAACAAAGTTTCCACTCGGTATACTGATTATACGGGTAGGCACTCGTAATGCGAACCAATTTACTTCCCAACCAGTCACAAGTTTTCTCCAAGGAGAAAAGACAAATACGCGAGGTGTGCCGCATATTTGGGACAAAAGAGGATTTGCATGCTATAAGTATATCGTGGCTTAACTATTCATGAGTAAAGTAAAGGAGGGAAGAATTCCCAAAACGCAGTAATTTTAAAGGTCACGGAGGTAATTAAGCGTGTCATGTAGTTTACTAGGAAATTAACGCAGTACGATAAATGTCAACTTGTTCAGGCATGCGTGAATGAAATTATGTATGTCCCTCTTCGGAATATTATTATCTATTTAATGTGTAATTAATTTACATACTTAATTTGTTTAATTGCAGTATTTTCACCCGAAGTGAGCAAAATCGGGTTTACAATTTCGGTCGGAGATCTTCCCACGAAGGCGGGCGCACCTACGTCGGAGGTCATCACGACCTCGCCGAAAAGCGGGAGTTGTCACGAGGTGAAGCTGGAGATAGAAAATACTCGCCCCTTGTTGAAATGCGTCCCCTCCGAGGGGACGAGTTCGAGGTCGCTGTCTCTCCAAACGTTGGAGGGAAGGTCGATACTCCAGCTGCACACGATTACTCCGTACTGTTGCTCGTGGTATCAGGTAAATATTGCAAAAAGTGTGAGAAATAGGGGTTTGATTTTTTTTGCTAATTTGTGCAGAATTTGGAAGCTAAAATCTCGCTGACGAACGGGGATAACTTTGGATCTATAGTAAAGACTGCGTTCGGACCTTGTAAGTGTAATAGAAGATTTGTCCTCACTTGTCGGAAGGACGGGGGAATGGGGGATGAAAACAGTGAAAAAATCCAGTTCTCGGTGGAAACACTTATGACACATTCTGAACTTTTGGTTAGTATTTACATAATGGCTAATTTACATATTAGGAGTTATTGGCAAGCTTTTATAACGGGATTTGTACGCATTTCAGATTAAAGAAAATTCTGAAGTTGTCGCTAAAGTGTCCACGATTGGATTAGACTGTCGAACGGCTTACAAAGGTAAAATTAGTGGACAGTGCATATGTAAACATAAATATGTTCCTCCAAAAATCCACATTTAAGTACAACCAACCGCACTATATTATTCTGTTTTTGCAGTGACCTTTGTAAAAGAGACCGAGCTCAGTTCCAATTTTAAGGCTCTTTTCATCATATTTGCTATAAATCTCGTGAGTGCAACTTACCAGAAATAATTTATTCATCTTATCCACGACATTAACTGCATCATGTCACCTCTTTTTGTGTCTTTAATTTAGCACATCGCATTCGCCGAAAAGTTGAACACTTGCTTTGGAATGTGCCTCTGTTGTATTGCGGGCTCTTCTGTGGCGGCGTGGATATTGTGTCTTCTATAAAAAAATATCCTCAATGCGTCGTAGATACATGGCTACAAACCCCAAGAAATACATACACACGTCCATGACAAAACTATACCTTACATGCCAAAATGACTCACTCACTCATTCCTTAAAACAATCCTTACTGATTAAGAGACGACGACGAGGAATTGAAATAATACTTAATGATTACTAGAAAAACCTACTTATATAAATATTTACTATACTTGAAGTGAGTTAGTTATGTGCTGTGCGAATGGAGCTAAACTCACGAGAAACCCTAGTCTCAGCACAAGGTACTTCAGGAGGCCGTAGGTTTAAGCTCCACCCGCACAGTACATAACTCGTTCACTTTATGTATAATAAGAAATGCTCTTTACTTACTTATCGATGTTCCAACCATTCCTTCCTGTTCGAAAAAAACTAACTTTCACCTACTAATTCTTGCACCAATATGTAGATATTTATTACCTTTAATCATCAATCATCAATATCGTTGATACATTTAATATCCAGTTTACTACACTTTACAATTCCGAATCAAAATCTAACCAATATTTGACTAAAAAATTGTACTGTGTTCAAAATGTGCTAAAAACAAATTTTTGATCAGACTTTATCAAAATTATTCGACCTCTTAATATCCATGCCTCTATATTACCTTACATATTACCTCTAAAATCTCTATCCTAATAACGAATCCAATAGAACAAAGTCTGCCAGTTACACAAACAAATCCCTAAAAAACCAATACGAAGAATGAAATGCAGGACAATTTATTCCACGTGAAGAAAGGAAAACTGAGATTATGCCATAAAATAATACTGTAATTCATACATACATATTTATGAGTCACAAAAAATATATGATAATTTTTCGGAGCTGGTTAAAAAAATATTTGATAATAAAAATAATTTGTACTGATGGACGAGTTGGTGAAACAAATTGTGCAACGGAGACGAAAAGTGTGCAAATATTTGATTTATGCTTAATTTTGTTAAGAAAAAAAATTTGTATTTATTTGTCAAACTACTGAATCATAAATACTTGAAAGAAAATTGTTACTATAAATATATACACACAAACAGTTTATGTAAAACAAGAGTTAACTATGCAGGAAATAGTTTATATATATAAAAAAAAATAAAAATAAATTCGAATTCAATCTTTACCATGTTTTGTAAAGAGTTGAAGAAAATCCGAAATAAAATACGATTCGCATATAAATTTATGATTTTTTCTCCACTTTTCTATCCCCGAACTGTCCTGAAGTCAAGTGTTTTTCTCAATTTGCTTTCCCTCATTGTTTCTTCGGTTCGGGCATTTTGCCCACATTCTGAAAATGTAGTAGTAGTAATTCTAGTCCAAAAGTAAGTGTCCTGTTTGTATCGGGACGACAGGGAAAGCGACAGACTGGCCAAATCACTTTTGTTTTCATTGTTTTTTTCCCTTCTTGTTTTGTTTTATCATGTCAACTCGTGTTGAGAATAAGAAGGAAAAAAAGAAGAAGACCTTGTCCCCAGATCACTTCCCTTTTCCTCCTTGTGAATAGAAAATGTCTTCCTGTCACTCGTGCAGAATGGAATGAAATGTGTCGCAAAATCCCATCTGATTACGTAAAATATGGCAGGCAAGATACCATTTTGTTTGTGTGTGTGCGTCATATTTATGTTTTTCTTTGAAGAAATAAATGTCTGACCATATTCATATCAAGGTGAATGAAATATGATAAAGTGTCCTTTCTGATTTTATGGTCAAGAAGGGAATCTCATCATGAAGAAACCTCATGATTTCCGACATGACATCATCCACCCAGTCAGTTCGGGAGCAGATAAATATACGGAACAGCATATCGTATTAGATTACATTTCATTCAATTTTATACTCTACGTAGCCTCATCTCATGAAGGCACGCTTGTGGTGGTGATCGTCTCGTAAATTAGGTGAAAGTCGAGTCAAGTGTATGATACACATAACCACCACTCAACCATTTCCTTTCTCCAGAAACTTTCTCTTGCTCTCTAGTCAAGTGTAAAAGGTTCCACGACTTGAATACCAGCCAGTTCACCGCATCATCGTCCCTGCTATGTGCCCTTATTGTGTGGCTGTTATTCGCATATTCTCATTCTCATCATGAGAGGAATGCACGCCTCTCTTCCGGAGAGAGGGAGGAGGAAAAGACCTTTTCTCTCCAGGGAGACATTTTACTCTGTTTTATTTTATTGAATCTCTTTTTTCTCCAATCCAATCGACTACACTTTAATGTTTAGAATTCTGTTCCATCTTCTTCTCCTAAGCGAGAGGCAGAGATGAAAGGAGAGAGCATACGAGTGGAAATTGCTTCTTGGAATTTGCCCAGAACTGAGTGACATGAAGCGTGACGCGATTTGATGTGACCTAGCTTCGTCCAGAAGACTGGACCTTTGCGAGACCTTTTTTTAAAGCAGATGGTCCAACTTAACGAGGCGGAGAGAGCACAATTTTTTTAAACTTTACTCCGATCTCATTACACATATTGAATCAAAGAGGGGAAGGGGACGATATAAAATAAAAGTGGACGAGACCACGTATGTTCTTATCGTCAGTGGCGTCCGGCGGGGACAGAGGGACAATGTCCCCACGGTTATTCGATGTCCCCATCATCTCCCCATGTTATATAAACCCCTCTCTCCCCTATCCTGCAATGTTAATGCCCCCACAGCTTCCGCGGCCACTGCTGGGATGGGATGAGATACGTAAACAAGAATAATATAATAACCCCGTTATCTCCTGGAAGGGTGGTCAATTGAGATGAAAGAAAGCGAGAGAATCCGTGCAGTTATTGCATTCAGGGAGAGTAAACTTGTGTTAAAACATTGCCATAAATGTAATGTAATGACACGCTATCACCATTATGGGAAAATGCGAGGATGTTTTCTCTTCTCCGGAAATGGTGCAGTTTTAGTGGAAGTAACGAAACGAAAAGTAGGGAACTTTTATAGGGATTTGGTACTACTTTTAGATTTTGTAAATTGTGTCATTCTACGATTTCAATTGTTCTTATCATCCGGTGATAATCGAATGCGTACGTAATTGCATTCGTGTTTACGATTAGAATATGCATTATCGTGCATAACTTTCCCTTCCACGCCGCCTAATGACCTTTAGTCTTTAATTGTATTTAACTTCTCATACTGCTCAATGCCTTGCAGCTTCCACGGGTGCTTACATATGAAGTTAGAATGATGATGCTCACTATATCCAGGGCAGGTGCACGGTGTGCCGAACATTAGGAAAAACGGACAAATTATTTTCAGGATCGAGCCCCAGTCGGGGCATTATTTTTGTTTGTATTTTTGTTAACTTTTTAAGGGTGGAGGGTTCAGAAACCACTATCCCTTTGCCCAATAACGACCTGGTGGCCGTGTGTACGGAACGAAAAGTACGAAAATTTGATATTTCTCACTTTTCGTTCCGTACACACAGCCACTAGGTCGTTATTGGGCAAAGGGATTGTTGTTTCTGAACCTTCCACCCTTAAAAAGTTAACAAAAATACAAACAAAAATAATGCCCCGACTAGGGTTCGATCCTGAAAATAATTTGTCTGTTTTTCCTAATGTTCGGCACACCGTGCACCTGCCCTGGATATAGTGATCATCATCATTCTAACTTCATATGTAAGCACCCGTGGAAGCTGCAAGGCATTGAGCAGTACTTATTGCTGCATGTTTACATAGACTAAAATGTGATAATGAGTAGGTTGGTAGATATTGGGGTCTGAGGCAATAATAGGTAGGTTGCGAGTTAGCGGGAGTTCACGTAAACGCTAACGTAAACGTAAAATTTGGCGTTAACGTTAACGTTTACGGGGTGTACGAATTTTGCGTGTGCGAATTAACGTGAACGTAAACGTGTGCGCTGAATTTGAATTTCATTTCAATGGTTTGTTTACATTCTTCATGCAATATTTTGCTTATTGTAATTATTTAATTTATCTTATTATAAACTAGCTTGAAATGCCAGTGTTTTCAAAACAAATAGTAAATTTACTCTCTGAATTGACCGACTTCGAAATAGAGGACATTCTTCCTTCAAATAATTAAAATTAATCAATTAAAAGAATTAAAATTTTTAAATTAAACTCAATGATGAACGAGTTCTTTTTCCTTAACTTTCGCTTTTGCAAAATAAGTTTGAAACCTAAATGCGCCCTTAAACTTCGGGGCGGGATTGCTTGTCGGCGGAGACCCTTTGTGCATTACTCTAAGGATTGCATATCCCAACAGGTAAGGGGACCATATTTTATCAATCTAGAGCAAGTCAATTCACTAAATCAGTTAATTATTTCATTCACAGATACGTCGACTTGATGTAACTTTTTCCTCCTACTCATTGTAGTCACGGATTTTTCATCACGGCAGCCAAACTTCGGATAACTTTTGTGAAGCAATGCCAGATCTTGAGCATTATTTATATTTTCCATGAAATTGTGTGTATAAGAAAATCTAGATGCCATGTACTAAGGCTTTATTTCTGTATTGTATAAACAATAAATTTACTTGTTTCTAATTAATTCAAATAATGCTTTTGTTATTTCAGCTCTTCATTTTGTGTAATATCATTCACTTTCCATACTTCCTTTCCTCCATCGAAGCTTGACGTTGTTTTAATAAATAATACTATAATAAATTACATAATTACTAATTAATTTCTTAATTTGCAAACTGCTACAAAAGCAACAGAAGATTTATTTAGTTAGTTTAACTTAAAGCCTCGTCATTTTTTAATCCTTTCATGAGAAATTATCAGTTTACTTTTGTTTTAATGCTTCAAAATTAGTTATATATCACTTCAATTAATTATAAGCATATATTTAATGCATTTATCAATAATTAACGCAAAAAATACATGCCTGTTGTTCATTTTTCTTAAATTTGCATGGTGAAAAAACTTTACGTAAATCGTGGATGGTTACGTTAAACGAACGCTAAATGGGCTGATTTAACGTCCAAAATAACGTGAACGTAAAGAAAATTCACGTAAACCTTAAATGGGCGCCGCCGAACAGTGGCGGGAAGCAAAATTTTACGTTTACGTTAGCGTTTACGTGAACTTCCGCTAACTCGCAACCTACCTAATATACTTTTTACACACTGCACTGCCATCATTTACATACTTAAGCATGTACAAACAAACACATGTATCGTCGTCACCCTTAAGTAAATAAGTGACGTTTCCTCTGCGGACTGACTGAGTCATAAACCACAATAATCCTAAACCAATAACACAATCACTCCCATTCTCACACGAAATGATGGTCTTCGTGTGTAATTGGGTCATTAGGATGACACAAAAATATTTATGTAGAAATGAACAGTCCTAAATATCACATGATGATATTTACAAAGGAAACTTATGATGAACATTTGGCGTAATGAGTTTTGTCAATTTTTCTGCAATTATTTTCACTCCTACAGTCCACCAATTTGGCATTCTGTCATGCTTCTTATTTATGTCCATACGCGTTACATGGAATTAAATGAAGTAATGAAATTACTTACTTTATGCAAGCGAAACACTTGTGGTGTGGTTTTTTGTACTACGTGATATTAATTCAAGTCTTATAATATCAGATTATCCGAATTAAGTAACTAAATGACACTGTCCAAGTATGGAAATATGTAAATAAGTATAAAGTCTAACCACAATACAAAGCTGCACTCCTTACACATATGTACATATATACATAGCATTGTAATACTGACTTGCATTATTATTTTCGTGGCTAACTAACTTGTTGCACATGGTAAAATAAAATGAGCAAGTAAATAAATAAACAGAAACTACTTATCCTTATCTCTTGCATTGCATTGCATTAGTCATCATCATCATCATTGTGATGAATGAATGGCATGCATGCATACACAGGAGAATAAGAACTGGTTAAAAGTCAACCCACGCTAAAGAAAAGGGTTATAACAACAACGAAACGACTAGTCGACCGTTTATGTAGTTAGTTAGTTACGAGTCGTAGTATTATCATCAAAGCAAAAAAAAGCTAGTTGTTCATTCGAGACGACACAACTGCGTGGTTTGGTTTGATGGCTGCATAAGGACGTAAAGTTTCCCTTGCAAATCTCAAGTTTATAGAGTTTAGCATAGTTTGCACATAATACATAATTATGATGAGGGGTTGTACGTACGTACTCTGGTGTCTGTGTCCTGTGTAACAACACTCAGTTTTTGCAGAGTTACTATTTAGTGGTGAATGTGCATTTGTTTTGTACTACCAGCATAGCAGCGTAGATAATAATGCACTATCAACACAGGTGTATTTACCCTTTTAAATATTGACTTTGACAAAGAATCAATTTATTGGAACTAAAATTTCGAGCTTTATTGAGTCGAAATGCTCACCAAACTAGAACCCATATCTGAAGTGAGGGAAGAAGATGACGAAGACAACGAGGAATTGTGCCATGTTCTCATCACGGAGAGTGATCCCTATAAAAATGGCAAGTCTCAAGTGCAAATCGGGTCCCATAACTTAAATGTGATTGTTTGTCCTAAAAGTTGTCGGAGTGTGATGATTAGTGATGCTAAAACTGACCCAGATACTAATAATCGTATGCGTTTGTCTATTAATGGGTTCGATGAAGGGGAAAACGCACCATTTTTAGACGACCAAAACTCATCCTTACTCATACTGGACGAATTTGTACGATTTGATCTCATCCGGACAGGTATGCAAAATTTGCATTGCAAATATTTTAGCACAGGATATTTGGAAAACAAACACAATTTTGTAACATGACCACCGGCACTAAAATTTCAGGAGCTTTATGCTGCACCGGGTACAAAGTGAGCGTGCAATACGAGGACGATTTCATGCTTGGGAAGCATCGCGTCTCCCAATCCGAGCTGAACTTTTGTTGCCAAAATAATCCTTCATGGTCATCATCCTCGCCGAGCTGTTGCCTCTTATCACCTTTCCTCCCGTCGACGAAATCAATCCATTTTTTCTCCCGATCTTATCCCCCCGAAAATGAAATGACTGAGGAAATGGAAGAATTCGACGTGGCAAGTAAAACCGTCCAGGGAACGAAATCTACTCAAAATGATCTCAAAATACCAACAAAGAAATTTAGGAATTCAGCATTTATCCTCGAATACCCGTCACTAGTGGCATGTTTTAGAACCAATAAAGTGGGTTTACCAACAACCACAACGCCCGAATTTTAACAACCGGCTTTTATTTTCATTTTATTTGGAATTTTATTTTATTTTATTTCACGTTTTATGTCTAGAGACGGAAATTCGGGGTGAAAGCGTCCTCCTCGCAGAATGAGATTGGTTGGATTGAGACTCATTCCGATGTTTTACTCCCGATAGAAATTTACCTTAGGAAGAGAGACAATGATCTCTCGTACACTCAGAAATTGACGTGTAGGAAGATTAGAACGACGGCATTTCTGGTAAGGAAAAATATATTCGAATAAAATTTCGTATCCTGGTTTTAGCCCGAGTCAGGGCTTATACGCCCTTCATGGTTGTCCGTCTGTCTGTCTGTCTATCGATTATGCTCGTAAAACTTATCTTATCGATTTAAAATTTTGCACACACGTAGAACATGCAAAAATAGGAGTCAAGTCCGAAGATGAACAAAATGTGTTAAAAAATACAAAAGTTGTAGTGGTCGTATTCTACCCACCTCAATTATAAATAACAACCTGACTCGGGCTAAACGAGCCTGCCCTGTGAATTTTTCTCTAGAAAATAAAATAATTTTTTCCCCAGATTCAAAACGAGGCCGGCGAAAAGATGGGGACGATCGAGCTGTTCCGCGGATTTCGTGGCGATGTTTCCAGCTATGGCGTGTCAACGATTGATGATTCCCTAGGACCTGAGGGTAAAGCCGTGTTGATCTCGGCAGCCACTGCTCTGGTGAGTCAGATGATGATAATAAATCATGAGCACAAACCTGATCCGAGAAAGCCTTACAAAATTACACAACAAATCATACCTACGTAAACGTACTCTTCTTCTTACAATGTACAATGCATTCGCAGGACGTGGAGGAGCGTGAATCCGAACTAAAATGTACATTCTTCTGGACTCCCGTCATTGTTGTGGCTGTCATCGTCCTTTTCAGTATTCTGCCCTGGATGCACTACTACAAGAACAATTTGTGAGTGGGTCAAGAAACGACGTGTGCGGGGCGAGTGCATTATTATACGAATTACAAATGTGGACGTGGGGTAAATGCCAAGATTGGTTCGTTCTATACTTGGGAAAATCACGTGCTTTTGCTGCGATATAGATATATATGTAACCAAGAGTTTTATGGGTTGACTTATTTATGTACCTTGACCAGTAATAAAAAAAATGCGCATAATTTTTATTCAGCAAATCTCAAATTATCTGTAAAAATTCAGTTAACGTGCAGCTTTAGTTGCGTATCAGTATATGATTTATTGGGCTTTTTAATGATTCAGGTTGAATCTTGATCGATCTAAATTTTCATAGACTTCTAATGCAGAATGCAGAATCGCATTATTGGAAATCTACTAGATAAATAATAGATTAAGTTCTCTATTCATGAATGCGGACCACATTTCTCAAATTTCTGCAAACAAATCTCAAAACTGCGAACTTTTACCAGCGCATTTCTTCATCCACTTCACATCAAGTTTTCAAAATATGTTTACTACTTACTTACATCACCCAGATTGCCCTTCAGTTATGTAATGGTTGGTAATATGGACAAGAAGAAACTACTTGTGATAAATACATTACGGAACAGAACGCTCTGCATGTGTACCTACATTTCATTACGTTCTCATGTTGGCGGAACATTAGTCTACTTCATTTGGTCCAAGTCCAGTTCAATTTTGGGTTTCATTTATTTTCCTGCGTAACAAAGGGTGTGGTTAATGTGTTGGAGAAAAGTTGAGCAGAAAATGTATGTGCAAAATTTAAATTACTTTCTTTCTGCATATGAAATTCGCTTCTTCTTTTGAAAATTATTACATGAATCCCAACCCAATTGAGGGCAAGATCATATTTCAAAGAGTTGCAAATATTGAACATTCTTACAGAAAAAGGGTTACATATTATCGCAAATTTGCTCAAAATGTCAAACATAATTAAATTGCGAGGATCTCATTTCGTTCATTTCACTATTGCAAAACTTACACAAAGCATTGTGCCATTCCACTTTGGCGAGGAAAATTTTCCAAGAAATAAAAGTTCACAACATCCCCAAAATGAAATGAACATGACTAAATTAATCAAATATTGATACTGACTGACTAACTGACAGATGAACACATTGAATTTCACAATTCGCCGAAATAATGCGGAGGATGCGTCATTTTACAGTCTTTTCATCGAGATGAGAGTGAATTGAAATGTCAGCCCCACCCACCCACCTGCCCGACCGAGTGGCTGTTGTTGTTGAGTCTGAATGAAAGCCTGTGTTATGTTTACATTAAAATTGAAAGCCTTTATACTTTGGATTTGAAACAATAACCAACCTGGACTCGTAGAACCACTCTCTCCTCTCTCGACTACTTTGTTCTTTGACTAAAAGGGAGGAGGAGGAGGAGGCGGCGAGTAGTGAATGCATGCTGACACTTTTGCCGTTAAAATTTGTCAAAATGAATAATTCCCCGAAAATGAAATGGATTTACATTACGTCCACAACACCACATGCCTTTTATCTCACTCGGGATTTAATTAATTTGAAGTGTATCAAAGTCAAAATCTCGGAAAGCCTGTGTTTGCTCAGGCCCGAGTTAGCAAGGCTTGTTTGCACTGTTGCGGCAATATTGTTAGATATGCATTAGGATTTGACTGTAATAAGTCATGTATGCACAAGATTCGGGAGAAAGCATGTGTACATACATATGCCCCATATTTCAAAATTTAAATAAAATACGTACCGAAAATTAACCGTTGTGTACACACAAATCTCGAAATATTTACCGTGCAATGTACACAACTGGTAAATATTAATAAATTGCAGGCCCACATTTTCTGCAATATGGGATAAAATAAATTAGTCATTTATTACATGGGTTCCAATGTCCACGAGGGTGGAAAAACCTGGTTGGTTGGTGCAGGTGGGTTCTTAGGTTCAAAATAGATTTTAATTACTTTTGCACACCGGTCGGTTCTTGTGGTATCGAAAATGCCAAGCAACTTACGCGGCTCATTAATCCGCCTCAGTTTTATAGAATTACTTTCACCCACTACGACCTAATTGTTTTTCATGTATTGAATACATACATAAAAGCAATAAGGTCAACAAAGGTGACTCTACACGTACGTAACAGCAAGGTAAACTTATTATTATTACGTCTTCGAAACCCTTCTTGACATCGATCCACTCGGTGTGAAAAGCAGCCCATTATTTTCATCTCAACACCACCACCACCCAAACTACGTAAACTACGCCGTCAAATCAATAATCACCGAAAACCAAAGTTCTATTTCTACCTTCTCTCCAGCAACCCCAGAGACATTTTAATCAGTCGAGTTGGTCCCTTTTTCTTGATGAAAGGCGAGCGAAAAGTTATTATAACGGAGGATATAACGATTTGCCGGGTTTACTTATTAACTTCATTAGTCCCTCGACTACCTTCCTTCGTTGGTGGACTAACGATATTTCGTGCCCCACACGAAACTCTACTACGGCTACATTTTAGCCGAGATGGAAATGAGTAATGGGATTACGGACTTAGCTTCCCGAGAGCACATCTATTGATTCAATTGATCAAGATGAAATTTAGAAATTACGTTTTTAGTCCTTTCTCTTACCCGCCCACGAGGCGAGGACGAGGAGTTTCCTGTTTTCAGCATTTTCCACCCCGACAGAGAAGAAGAAGGGAAACACGGCTGATTAAATTATGCTCGACACTTTCCCCACTAAACGTACTACGTATGTACATACTACCGCCTAATTTTAATTTATTATGCAAGGTAGCATATACGAGTGAAATGTATCTCTACTTAAAAGTGTAGTGTAGCTATCTCAAAATAAAAGGATGGAACTACTAAAAACGAAAAAAAAATGTGTTGAGTATCCTTCATAAATTTTACTTTGTATCTCTCTGGTGAAAGTTCCGGTGAAAGTACGTAAGTAGCAGCACGGAGAAGAGACTCCTCTTCCCTTTCTTATTGTGCATACATACTTACTCGGCACTTTTACCCTGCATGTTTTGTATGTATGTCTGCTTGCTTACTCTTCCAAGTAAGCAGAAAAGGAGAATATAATTTAAAAGAGATCTGACAAGAGGGGGGAAAGTAAACTAATTATAATTCTCATAACAGTACAATACATAATTCTTCAAAGTAAAATATCCCTGCTAAACTAAGCGAAGGACGGAGAGAAAGTGGGAGAAAGGGATGAAAGAGTTTCTCTCCTTCAGAAGAAGAAGAAGCAGGACAAAGCTAAGTAGAACGGTTAAGTGCTTCTTTACACATGGAGAAAGTGGAGAATTAAACCGGGTAAGCTCCCAAAGAAGAAGAAAGCAAGTAAAATGTGTATATGTAATGTAAAGTCGCTGTATTTCCTTTTCCGTCAAATGACCATACCTTACTTACTTACGTTGCATGCACAGAACACCGAAATTTCCTGCATTAGTGGAAGAGTAAAACTCTCACACAGGTGTAATTCCAAGTCAGGTGCATAGATTCAAAGTTGGTCTTCGTCTCTTCAGAACCTCTGGAGGCGAGTTAGCCCCAGAGCTCAAACTAGATTTTCTCCTCTCTCATCCATCCGGACCCAGCGTCTCGAGGGAATGCATCATGTAACTCTTCAACCTTCGTCTCAAAAGGTAAACAAGTCTCGCTCTGCCTAAACCTCCTGCGACGTTACTGTGCTTTCATACTTTTGTATACTTACTTGATTCCAAAACCTCTCCAGCCATCCAGCAGCCACCTCTCTAAGTAAGTGTAGATGAGAAAGATAACGTGTCCCAAATACAAATGGGGGAAAGGAGAAAGCAGTGCGGAGACATTTTTTCCTGCAAGATTATGTCCTCCTCCTCCTCCTCTTCTTCCTCTGTGTTGATTAATACGGATCCTGCCAAGGTCATATAATAGATTGGATGAGTTACTACTGACGAAGAAAAAAACTAAACAAATCAAATCAAATGGTAATTGCCACACAGGAAATGTCACCCTTTTCCGGCGTGTAGCACGTCCCATGGATGAGACAAAAGTCTTATGCAAAACAGTACACCCCCTTCGTTTGAAAGGTTTCTCATGTATTATTGATAAAACCAATTTCCTCGTAATGTATGCAAAGAAGAAGAAGAAAACAAGGCTACAAACATACATATGCCTTCCTCCTCCTCTTTTCGTTACGTATGCATGCATTTGCTTACCTAGATAGGCTGATTTGTTGTGTCGTTCGTGTTATAAAATCAGTTTGCTTTCTCCCTCTTCATCTCTTTCTTTTGTGTCTATCATTGTGTAACCATTGTTCCGTTGTGTACGGAATCGACTCGAACACAACGCAACACAAACTAGAGAATTGACAAACGGACGGAAGTTGAAGTTGGTTTGTACACTGGAATTGGTGACTGAAGAGAAATAAATGGAGCACAATTCCACCCCACTTTATTCCCACTTTACAATACTCTTAACTTTGACCTTTTCTAAGAAGAGAGAGAGAGAGAGAGGAAACATCACTTAAGTTGAATATACGTAGAAGATGGAGACGATCTTCTTCTTACTTTTTTTCTTCTTTTGGACATTGCTTAGTTGGATAGATATTGGAATACTTTTTTTATTTCTCTTCAACATATTTGACACAAGTACTTTACATGGTTTCCATCCATCCACATTTTTTTCCTCCCCGAATATAATGCCTGCTCAATATGTCGCAGTCAGTAAAATGGTTGATGCTGGTGCTGGGGCTGCTCACTTTTTTCCTGTATCGGCTCAACCATACAATAATGTTGGGATTACAATGGGCAGTCGGCGGAGAGGAGAAGAAGAAGCAGCGAAAAAAAAGCTTTTTTGATTCTCGATACAAAATCCGACCCATTACTTTCTCCAGAGGGTCTTGATTTTTCCAAGGGAGAGAAAGTCCAACCACAGATTGCGGGGGGAGATTAATTGTCCCGGGTTAACTGAGCATTTAATTTAGATACATATTTAAATACACATTCCTAATTAAAAGTGGGTTTTTCGACCATCTGTGGATCCTCTCTCCTCGCAATATGTGAGTTATTGATGGAACTAGATTCATGTTACAATTGCAATTTCTCCCTGTCACGAATTTCCTTGGATGGGCTTCGTTTTATATTTCCTCTCATCTCAACTCTCTCCTGTCCATCCATTTTCGGTACGCTTTCACCTAAAAATACACTCTCTCTCTCTCTCTCTCCCCATTGAACTGACCGAG